CAACCTTCATGATTAGCTGTATAGAAAAATACTGAAATTATGCAAAAGGGATAGAAAAAAATTTAAGTGTTGGTAGGGAATCTTTTAAAATATATTTTTTATTGATTTCAGAGAGGAAGAGAGAGGAAGAGAGATAAAAACATCAATGATGAGAGAGAATCACTGATCATCTGCCTCCTGCATGCCCCGTCCTGGGGATTGAGCTCACCACCTGGACATGTGCCTTGATGGGGAATCGAACTGACATTCAACCACTGAGCCATGCTGGCTGGCCTTTCAAAACAAACCTTTAAAGCTACCAACATTAAAAAAAGCAAAATTGGGAAAAGGGAGCAACAACACTGAAAAAGAAAATATATATAGGAAACCACTACCTATCTTAGAAAGCTGAAATGTTCTATAAAAAAGTTGTGGTTAAGTGTTCCAGCTACCCAGTAGTTAGTTCCATTTTACTGCATGAATTGGACTCCTTTGCAAAACCTTTTGGGAGTTACTCTCCTTTAAGGAGAAAGGAGACCGCCTGCGAAGAAACAAAGGGCATAGATTAAGACTTGTTAAAGTGCTGATTAAATAATAAAGTAACTTAAAATGTAAACAAAATGCTTATTAAGTAAAAACTGGCTGGCTTTCAAGGCATAATTTAAAGCTCTTCTCAAGTATTTTCTCCACGGTGGCAGGTCTAGACAAACTGCTCAGACATTCTACCCATGGGGCTGCCCATGAGGCCTCTATTCTTCATTCTTGCTCCTGAGCTTAATCAGTATCAGTTGTGCAAGCTTGGCTGTTTTCAAGGGAAGAAGATGGGAAGGAGTTCATGTCCAAAATAAATAAATAAATAAACAAACAAACAAACAAATAAATAAATAAATAAATAAAATACAACTATTGTATTTATCTCTATCCAACCTACCTATAGGAGCCCATGAATTAGAAAAAGATGCTCCAGGTTCTTAAGTCAGAAAGTTCCAAAGGTCACCTGGTCATTGACCTCCCTAACAGGACTAAAAGAGATTAAAACAAGATAAAAACCAGAGGTTTTCCGGAAAAACAAAACAAGTGGGGGGGGAGGGGGACCACAAAAACAACGTACCTCAAACTGTAGCCCATGGTGTCAAGAAATTATTTCTTTATCAGAAATATATATATTTTTTTTTCTTTAAAAAAAATATATTTTATTGATTTTGTACAGAGAGGAAGAGAGAGAGACAGAGAGTCAGAAACATCGATGAGAGTCATCGATCAGCTGCCTCTTGCACACACCCCACCAGGGATGTGCCTGCAACCAAGGTACATGCCCTTGACCGGAATCGAAACCGGGACCCCTCAGTCCCCAAGCCGACGCTCTATCCATTGAGCCAAACCGGTTTCGGCTTTTTTTTTTTTTTTTTTTTTTTTCAATAGGCAAGGCACTTGGCTGGAAGGAGTATTGTCCATAATGTGCTTAATTATTCTAAAAGAAAACCCTTTTTTTTTTTTTAGATGGAAATAATTGCCTTTTAAAACTTACCCCTTACACTGTTTTAATTCGAATCCTTTAAAAATGGTTTGATCTGATCAATTCTTTTTATACTTAACCATCGTCTTCGATTCAAATGAAGTAAGTTCAGTTCAGATTTTCATAATTGCTCATGCTCCTCACTGACCTTCTCCAACAGCAAAACATCCAAATAATACTCCTTCACCACCCGCAGAGACATGTGCTCTTTTTTGCTATTGAAAATGTAAGTAAAGTTCTGGGAAAATCCTATCGCCATGGACTTTCTTTCTTTTTTTCTTTCTTTTTTTTTTTTTTTAAACAAATATATTTTATTGATTTTTTACAGAGAGGAAGGGAGAGGGATAGAGAGCTAGAAACATCGACCAGCTGCCTCTTGCACACCCCCTACCGGGACGTGCCCGCAACCAATGTACATGCCCTTGACCGGAATCGAACCTGGGACCTTTCAGTCCGCAGACCGATGCTCTACTGCTGAGCCAAACCGGTTTCGGCTGCCGTGGCAATTTCAAGAAGAAACAACACGCAGTCTTCAATGAACATTTGTTCTGTCTCTTCCTCATACACACCATCACACCAATACCAGGTTTCCTAAGCAGGTACTGGTGTGGAAGGGACAATCCACTCCTGTGGTAAAGGCAAACGTCCTCTTGGAAAAGTTAAGAAATCAGGACAGTTTGTATGCGCTGCTGCCGCCTGGGTGTGCGACCTTGAACAAACTCAGGAGACGGTACAAGTTAAAAAGGATAAAGAAATACTACTTTTAAATCAATTATTTAAAAACGTTATTGAGGCAGAATTTACACACCATAAAGTGTATTACTCAATGATTTCCCACAACTCCACCAAGTTGTACAGCTCCCACCACAATCTAGTTTTAGAAGATTTATTTCCATCACCCCAGCAAGATTCCTAGTGTCCATTTACAATCGGTGCCTGGTCCCAGCCCTAGCCCCAGGCATCTCTGAATCTACATTCCCCTGTGCCTTGGAGATAAGGAAAAGAAGCCTAAGGATCTTTCATACTAGCAGAAGCACACTGTTTACTAAAGAACCTACTCTGTCAAAGTAGTCTTTAAGATTTTAAAGGAGATACAAGGGAATCTTGGACACTGGGCATATTTGCCGAGTTATAACAAAGTGCGGTCTTTAAGTTTTATTACCTTTCTACTTAGAACTAATAGACTCACATAGTTATACGAAATTTTGATAATGGAAGAATATTGGTCTCAAGCCTTGTTAATTTAACTAAGAAAATATTCCTATGTCCTAAGTTCAAACAAAACAAAAACTTCCAAGTAAAAGAGTAAACTCCCAAGCATTCCTATAAAATTGAGTTAAATATCATTAAGTTTTTGCTTAGGAGACATTAGATTATATATATACCGTTTCCTTAAACAAATTATATTTCAATGGGACTGAAATATAAACAATTCTTCTGAAATGTGAGGTGGGCTTTTCTTTCCCTTCCAAGTTCGCATGTGTATATTATTCTAATGTATTTTGAGTAAATATACCAAATTCTCATGCTTTTGGTTGACAACATACTTCCCTAAGCACTTATTTCCTTCCTCCAGAACCTATGTGTGCTATGTGTGTTAGACACCTGTGTGTGTGAGCCTCAGGTCTATCTTGCTGACATCGGATTTCCAGGTCTTCTTACCTCTGGAAGGAGCACTGGCTTCCCAGACATTTAGTGAGAATTTACAAGAGACCTTTTTATATTTGAAAGAGAAAGCTGTTAAGTGGTGATGAGAAATTAAAAAAACAACAACCTCTAACCTAGACAGGACTCCACAAGAAGTTATTTTACACTACTTGTAGGAAACGGCTATTTGCTGTCTTATTTTTAATTCCCTGCAATTAACAAAACAAATGTTAGTTTTGCGTCTTTGATGTGTTAGGTATGTTTTAGACCATAGAGTTGGAATTGCCCCAGGGCAGTTACCGAAGATGGAACTTTTTTGGGGAAAAACAAGCCCTTATAGAAATGAACACATTGTTTGTAGCTTTGATGGGTTTTCAAAGCAAACGGGAAGTTCGCACTGCGAACAAAACCAGAAGGCAGAGGCTGGAGTTTGGGTCTCTCGGGATTTACTGAAGAAAGCCGTGGACTGGGCCTTTTGAAAAATGCAAAAAGCAAGTGTGACTCGTGTCCGTCTGAAAAGCACGGATCCGAGGAGCTGCTCGATGCCACCCTCCGAGCTCGGAGGGAAAGCCAGCCCAGGAGATCTCAATGGGAACCTCCCTGTTCTTGGAGTGGATAATCCCTGAAATTTAAAAAAACCTGGCGGGCGGGCGGGCTGGGGGAGGGGAACCCTGCGACCCCACCGATGGCCACAGACAAGAAAATGCCGAATCGCCAGGCCGGGCCGGGCCGGGCCCCGCTCCCCGTGGTCCCGGCGGGACCGCTGCTCCGCGTGGGCCGGGCCGTCCCCGTCCTCAGGGCGGCCGGGGCCGCTGGCTCCTCCAGTGGAAACAGACCCCTCGGCGGGGAGGGGAAAACAAACCCCCAAACTTATTCCTGCACTTTTTTTTTTTTCCTTTTCAAGCGAACTGCTGCTCTGTCCTTTCCAAGGAACCCGGTCCCTGAGTTCCCCCGGGAACCGCGGATCCTGGGGCAGCTGGGGAGGATGGATGCTCCTCTGCACCCCACCCCCACCCAGCACCTCCCCGAACCGGGCGGGACAGGGAGCCCCAAACCCAGAGAGGGAACAGGAGGGGGAAAGCCACCCGCCCTGGGGCTGCGGGGGCTGCATTCCCGCAGCTGCGAGCTGGTGGCCACTCCATGCTTTGTCCTCCCCCCAAACATCCTCCGGGGCGCAGAGATGTCTGATTTCTTATTGAATGTCCTCACCCCCCGACCGACTAAGAAAGGAGAGGGGGAAGGGGAAGGGGGGCGGGAGGAGGACGTGCAGCCCCTGCGCTCCGCTCACTCCAGCCCCTCCCTTTCCTGCCGTCCCTCCCGCCCCCGCGGCCCCCAAAAAAGTTGGCCGCCCGCAGAGGAAACCGAAAAAAGTTGCCGGCCGCGGGCTGGCGGCGGCTCAGCATCTCTTTTGTCCGCGGCGGCCCCGCCCTGACGTCACCGGCGGCGGCCAATGGGCGCGCGGGGAGCGCAGGGGGCGGGGCGCAGGGGGCGGGGCGGTGAGGGCGGTGGGGCGGGGCGATCGGGGCGGGGGCGGGGCGATCGGCCGGCGGTCCTCCTCCGGCCCGGCCCGGGGGGCGGGGGGGCCGGTCCCATATAAACCCCCGGCCGCTCGCACCCGCAGCTTCACACCCGGGGCGAGAGGGCTCCCCCAGCGCGAGTGCCGGTCCCGCAGCCCCAACTGGTCTCCATCCTCCTTTCCTCCCCTCCGCCCTCCGCCCTCCGCCCGTCCCCGACCCCGTCCCCGTCCTCGGACCCGTCCCCGTCCTCGGACCCGTCCCTCCCCGAAGGCACCCCCGGGCGCGGCAGGCCCCGCGGTTGGACGGACCGGGCTCGGAGAGGGCGCGGTCCGGCGCTCAGGATGCTGCGGGGCGCGGGCCCCGCGCTGCTGGCCGCCCTGTGCCTGGCGCTGGCGGGGGCGGCGGCGGGCGCGCGGCGGGGCCGGAGGCAGGAGCAGCAGCGGCTGCTGCCCCCGCTCTCGGCCGCCGTCAGCGAGAGCAAGCGTGAGTGCGGGATGAAGTTGGGGAAGTTTTGCGCGCGGAGCGGGCGCTCGCCCCCCGGGGGACCGGCTGTGGGTGCAGAGGGCATCGGAGCCGGCGCCGCGGGCCCAGGGCGTCCATCGGAGTTCGGGGGGCTTCTGTGCTCTCTCTTAGCAACTCTGTGGACTCATCCAACTCAGCTTCGCGGGGAAAGGGATGCGGGCGTCTGCGCGTCCTCGGGGCTCGGTGTGGCCTGGCGGCCGCGCTGCCGAAGAGCTGGCCAACTAGTTCCAGCTGCGGGGAGGGAGGCGGCTGCGGAGCTCCGGGGTCCGAACCCCAGGGGAAGGCGGTAACTGAGTTTGCATCGCCTAGGGGCCCCTCAGGACGCTTCTCCGAGGAGGAGATAGGAATGCCTACCCGCGGTTCCCAAAGACACACCCTCCTCTGGCTCCGGGAAACTGCTTAAAACTGCCCTCTGACCCACTCCCCCGAGAAGGTCGTGGAAGTTCCTTTGCATGTTTTAAGATGCAAATTGTAGTGATCCCGCTTTTCAAAATGTTTCTTCTTCCTGGATGGGGACCCCCCGGCCAGATGGAATGACATCCCTGTAGAGCGTTTAGCTAAGTTAAAAGAAAGGGGTAGGGAAAGGAGGGAGGGAGTGGGGGAGGAAGACCTAAATATTGACGTGTACAAACTGTGGGTGAGGCGTGAGAGAGCTGGCTTCTACCTCTCCACGTTAGTGCCCGACTGCTTCTCCCTCTCCGCGATTAACCTACTTTTTCTGTGTTTATTGCTCAGGCTCCTCAGTTTCCTTGTGCAAGAAAATTCCATACTCTGGAGAGAGGGGAGGGGGGTGCAAACGGAATCCCTTTTTCGTTCATTCACAGCTGGCTGTTACGATAACGGGAATCACTATCATATAAACCAACAATGGGAACGCACGTACCTGGGCAACGTCCTGATCTGTACGTGTTACGGGGGAAGCCGAGGCTTTAACTGCGAGAGCAAGCCCGAAGGTGAGCGATGGCCGATCTGGTCCGTGCTGGGGAGTGTTGCTTGTTGGGGGCATGTAGCACTGGCAGTAGAAACCCGTACACCAGTTTTTCAATACAACGATCTATCAGTTCCTCTTTAAAAACATTTAAAAACTGCTGATATCTGCTTTTTACGTGTTAGTTTTACCTTTGAAACCAAAGAGCAAATTGCATCCCCAAGTAATTCCTCGAGTCTTTCTGTTTTACTCTCCCAAAGGTTTTGATGAGATAATAAAAGATTTGCGTATTCTTCCTCTAAAAATACTTACTTATACAATTTTAATTTATTACGAAGTAATGTTAAGTCTTAAACTGTAAGATTATGGGCCAGAAAACACTTTGGGCATTATTATAATGTAAAGTGGCTTTTTTTTTTTTTTTTTTTTTTACACAAAACCACTAACCACTTCAACGTTCTCCTTCTTTATGACCATGGACATGCAGTTTGCACAGAGCAGCACAGATGACGCTAAAATGGGAATGGCAGGATTCACAAGGAACTCTGCCTGGTGGGGGTTGGGCTCTTCAGATTGTTTGCTTTTATGTGGACTTTGGCTGGACTCTGAGTCAGAGATCTGAATCTGAAGTCCTTCTCTCACCATCTAGCCTGTCCTGTCAAGGCAGCACTGCATATAGCTGTCTCTTAGGACCTGAGGATCCTTTACAACAGAAACAAATTTACGGAAAATTAGGGAACTTGCCAATGATCCAAAGTCAAGGCTTGATGAGAGCCTAAGTAAATTCTAGGTCTCCCACTTCATTTTAAAAGCTTCTTGTGGTGCCGTGTTGCTCTTAGAGGGGAACAGCGTTCTCCTTTGGGTGAGGTTAGTGGCACAGGGAGGCTTTTTCCTATGTGAGGCTCACGTGTCCTTTCCTTCTCCCCTCAGCCGAAGAGACTTGCTTTGACAAGTACACTGGGAACACTTACAAGGTGGGGGAAACTTATGAGCGTCCCAAGGACTCCATGATCTGGGACTGTACCTGCATCGGGGCCGGTCGGAGAAGAATAAGCTGTACCATTGCAAGTGAGATGATGCTGAAATACCATGAATATGAATTTCTGCAGTGCTGCCACTGTCACTTTCTGAGACTGATGACTATGTAGATCTAAGTTTGGGGGTTAACCAGGTGCTGTCACCCAACTGATTCCTGTGCTTCTGGGAGATTCTAAGCACAGATAGAATCAGTGTGGTTTTAAGTGTGCGTGCGTGTGTGTGTGTGTGTGTGTGTGTGTGTGTGAGAGAGAGAGAGAGAATGTGTGTGTGAGTGTGTGTGTGTGTGTGTGAATGTGTGTGTGAGAGTGTGTGTGTGTGTGTGTGTGTGTGTGTGTGTGAGAGAGAGAGAGAGAGAGAGAGAGAATGTGTGTGTGAGTGTGTGTGTGTGTGTGTGAGAGTGTGTGTGTGTGTGTGTGTGTGTGCATTGTAACCAAGTGGATCTCCTGGGTTCCACTCCAATAAGACGTACTTAGAGAAGTTGCCCATTTCACATTCCTGGGCTTCTTCAAGCCAGACTGATCATGTGTCTGCGGTCATACCACCCTGAACGCGCCCGATCTCGTCAGACTGATCATGTGATTACCTGCAATGATTGGAAGATGGTCATGAAGAGTGAACCTTCCATTGTGTGGTCTGCTCTTGTTTGCAATGCAAAGACCTCTTGCATCCCATACAAACAGTCTAGTTTCTTTGTGACCAATAGTTTATACCCAGGAATTGGATCTCTCTATTCCCAGGAACAATGTGGAATGATGAGCTTAGGAGTGTTTCCAGGATACTTTGGGACTGGGTTGATTCTCAGTCAATTACAGTTTAGTTCAGAAGGTCTTTCCAGTATGATTCACTGTGATATAAGTGGATTCTATTAACATATCATTTGCTTTTTTCTTTTTTTTAATCCATTCTTTAAGTCACTTAAAAAAGTTATATCCAAACGAACAAGATAGTCCCTTGTGAATAGGCCCAATCTGCTTTCCCCATACTTAATGTTAGGGTTTATCCAAACTTATTGGCAAATGGTAAGAGTCAGTGGTCCATAGTGTTTACAATCTAGTGGGTAGATGTGTCAACGTGTTTAACAGCCTAGAAAAGTACCTGGTTTTTCACACTTGATATGCACACATCTGTTTGCTTCCTGCCAAAACGATATGTGTAACCTAGGATAAAACACACACTCTCCACACTCCGAAAGCTGAAATACTATACCCAATATGGGCGTTCATTGATTGAGTCTCGGGCTCACCCTGCTGGGTCTGCTTGGAGGCCATGTCTGCCAGCCTTGCTTTTCTTCAGGACCCAATTTCCTGCCATCGCTCTGGGAACCCGGATTTATGACCTTTTTCTTTGCCAAGTATTTTTCTCTGTGGTTGCCCATTGTGCTTAAACAAAGCATTTAATTGGATGACCCCAAGTCACCAGACTTGTTAACTTTTCCCCTGTCTCTGACGGGAAAGCTGTTCTCTGAGGACTTACAGTGGCTGACCTAAGTATCTACTCTGGGTAGAACATGAGACGACGACGACTACTACTACTACTACTACTACTACTACTACTTCTTCTTCTTCTTCTTCTTCTTCTTCTTCTTCTTCTTCTTCTTCTTCTTTTCTTCTGCTTCTTCTCTCTTCTTCTGCTCCTTATCCTGCTTCTCCTTCTCCTGCTGCTTCCTTCTGCTTCTTCTCCTCCTGCTGCTTCCTTCTGCTTCCTTCTTCCTCCTCCTCCTCCTCCTCCTCCTCCTCCTCCTCCTCCTCCTCCTCTTCGTCTTCCTTCTTCTTCTCCTTTTTTAATGTTGTTTCTTTGTCCCACTCTCTTTAATTTTCTTTCTTTTCTTTTTTTTTTTATCATGAACAGACCGCTGCCACGAAGGGGGTCAGTCCTACAAGATTGGCGACACCTGGAGGAGACCACATGAGACCGGTGGCTACATGTTAGAGTGTGTGTGTCTTGGTAACGGGAAAGGAGAATGGACCTGCAAGCCCATAGGTGTGTGACTATTAGGGACGATTGAGGGGTGGGAATGCACAGTCCAGATGCTGGGCTCAACCAAACTCCACATGGACAAGAGATCTGAATTCCAATGAAAAAAAAAACAATGAAATGGGAGTTTTACTTGAAAAAATGAAATGTTTTATAATCCATAGTCTTAAAGAATCAGATAAAAAGTATTCACTGCAAAGAAGTCTTGTCTTAACTTTGTTTCAAAAGCAAAAGATAAAGTTGAAAGGTTCAGAAAAAAGTTTATTTTGTCTAATGTCTAATCTCATGTTTTTCTTGTCAAGATATGTTATTTAAAAGAAAAAAAATGATACTTCTGACATCTTAGTGGAACACACTAGACCGAAACATAAAATTGTATGTGCTCTGTCACACCTTAGTACATTTTTTTTTTCCAAGATAAAAATTGTAGAGTTTCTTTTGGTCTCAATCCTAAATTTGAAAGTTTCTGTCTATATATTTTACTCACCATTGTTTTCTAATTCAGATACTTTTATTTTTCTTTGTGTTGTGTTTTCGTTTTTTTACAGAAATCCAAATTCCAAAGGCTTTCTTGCCATTTTTTGGGGGGTACGGGGGCATTCATAATTGGCCATTTATAATTAGATTGGAATTTCGCACATTTCGTGTCCTATGGAATGGACATATAGATAGACCCTTTTCACTTAAAATACTGGTGTGAAGAAGAAGAATACCAGCTGAAAATATACAGCCCATATACTTACTAGAGGAACAGAGTTTCTGCCTGCCAGCCCGATTGGAGCTTTCTTTTGCTGTGGTTACCATGTGCTTAGTTACAGGGCATGCTTTTCTGGTAGAACAGAGTACTACTTAAAACATGTGGCTGGGTTTTTTGCTTACACAATACACTTTAAAATTGCAGGGGAGATGGTACAGTTTGAAATAGCTTTCCCCCCTCTTTTTCCTCCACATTTTCCCACAGCTGAGAAGTGTTTTGACAACGCTGCTGGGACGTCCTACGTTGTCGGGGAAACCTGGGAGAAGCCCTATCAAGGCTGGATGATGGTGGATTGTACTTGTCTGGGAGAAGGCAGCGGACGCATCACCTGCACCTCCAGAAGTAGGTTTTAGATTTGCATGTGAAGGTGATTTTCTGGATTCTTAGAGAGAAATGTAATGTGATTTCTAGAACACACCCAGCACATCAATGTGTGTTTATTTTTGTTGTTGTTGTTTTTGTAACTTTTGAATGTCAGGAAAAGTTCTATATGAAACCCATTCTGCTTCTTCCAAGAAGATTAAATTTTAAAAAATATCTTTGTTCATTATAGACTATCTGCTACTAGGAACCTTAATATCCAAATAAAAGCCAAATGTGTTGTGGCATGAAGATTAGTTGCAAATGTCTAATAATCTAAATTATCACTGAGGTATTTTCAAAGTATTAAGAGCTAGGAGTCATTAAAATAACATGCCGGTGCATATTTGGGCATGTGAGTACTATTGACATAGAAAGGAGCAAAGCTCTAAAGTTTTAGGTTTCCTTATGCTTCACATTTAAATAAGGCCTATTCATAAGCAAAATTGATGGAAATAAAAAGTGCTTTATCCCATTGGTTAAAATGATGTGTCTGTTGTGGGTTAAGGACAGTGTCTCTTGCTCAAAGTCCCAGTTAAGCTTAGTGATGCTAAAGAAAACTGACCTCTGACAGCTTTGCTGTTCCTTCTAGGACATCCTGGACCTAATTGTCTTAAGGCAGGGATGGGGAATGTCAACCCAGTGCTGTACTGGGCTGGAGAAATCATTTGGTCTGGCCCTGCCAAGGCATTAGGGTTGAGTTAATTAAATGTTTGGCCAAATATAGTAGGCTAACTTTCAAGTTTATACATTTTTTGTTGTTGTTAATCGGAAGGGAGGGGAAGACTAGAGAGAGAAAAACATTGATTAGTTGCCTCCTGCATAGGCCCCGACCAGGAGAGGGCTGGGGATGGAGCCTGCAACCAAGGCATGTGTCCTTGACCAGAATCGAACCCACGACCCTTTAATCCACAGGCCAACGCTGTAACCACTGGGAAAAAGAGGGTAGGGCTTAAGTGGACAATTTTGTATGGCCTGAGAATGATGTTATAAAATATCCAAATGGCAGAAAAATGGTTCCCCTCCCCTGCCTTAGCGGTTCGAAACATTTTGTTTTGTTTTGAAACTTCAAACTAATAGCAACTATAGAGTTTATAGAAGTAAAATAGGCATTAACTATGGATGTTATAAATAACTTTAAAATAAAATCTAAATATTTTGACCTATTTCATTTATCTAGCTTAAAATGTTTAACCATCCTCAAATGTTCATCATCCAAATTTAAATTCTTTGCTAACAAAAACTAAATCTCTCATGGAAAGTAATAGCGATTATGACCAAATGTTGCCCAGAAATTTGATGGTTCATTAGGTCTTTTGGATTTAAAATGTTATTATGATCATCAGACTTCCAAGACCTCGGTGGTAATGTTTTTAGCTTCAGATAAATTAGATACCTGACTTAAACTCTCACATCTGTTATTTAAAACTCTTCTAATAGCAAATTGGGTAAAGTTTCTGGAAGAAAAGTCATTTGTTTTATGAAATAATTCAACCCCCTACTTTGTAAAAGAAGGTGCTGAGAATGAGAAAATGAATTGGATATTAACTCAACTTTCAAAGAGCCCTCAGTAAGTAGGTCGAGATGAGGGAGGCCTAGGTACTCATCTTCTATAAAGCATAATGTTAAGACTTCAAGATGGATACTGATCATAGGGCTGTGGAAGTTCAAGCGAAGTCAATCCTTTCAGCTGGGGATTTGGAAAAAAGCTGTAATCAACCAGGTCTTCATTCAGCTCTCTGTTCTGGCGGTAGATCAATGTGGGGATCTATTTGTGTGAATTTACATTAACTGTCCAATTATTTTTCTCTCACCCAGTGCAGAGAGACACAGACAAACCAAATCTTCTATACTCACTTTGTAGCATCTGGGCAAAGCCAGAGTATAATGGAAGCAAACTATTTGACAGATAATGGAACACATAGACCGATGGTGATTTAGTTATAAGACATCATTTTACAATTGTAATCTCACTTTTCCATTGTAGAGTTAACACTAAGCAATTCAAAAGAGGTCGTTTTAGTAGTGTTTTAAATAAGGGTGTGTGGGAGAGGGGGAGGGGTGGTAGAGAACATAGTCTGAGAAGTTGGTAACCCCCTGAATTTTTCCTAGGACAGATGAAGAAAGGGGCGCTGCGTCTTTTTCTAGCTTCTTTGGGGCTTCTCTCCAAGACCATTGGGAACCTACTTGCCTCCTACTGTTCCTAGTTTTCTAAAAAAAAGGCCCCTATTGAAAGGCACGTCACATTCAGCAGCAATTATTGGAGAGTCTGGAAAAAAAAGACAGGGGTGATCAAAAGCCAGAGAATGAATTTGATCAAAAGAGCAATGTGAAAACTCTAAAAATAATAAAATAAAATAATGAATGAATGCTGATGAAAAAGTGTTTTGGCAAACAGAAGTGGAGCTAGAGTAAGTCCCATAGGTCTCTTTCTGCTGGAACAGACATAACCCATTGTTTGGAAGTTTTGCGCCTGTGGCACCACAGCTAAATAGAAACATATCATCAAAAAATAACCTACCAAGCTTTATTATTATTTTTAAAATATATTTTTATTTCAGAGAGGAAGGGAGAGGGAGAGGGAGCTAGAAACATCAATGATGAGAGGGAATCATTGATGGGCTGCCTCCTGCACGCCCCCTCCTGGGGATCGAGTCCAAAACCTGGGCATGTGCCCTTGACTGGAATCAAACCTCAGTCCTCTATCTACTGAGCTAAACCGGCTAGGGCAACTTATCAAGTTTTAAACGACTGTGTATATATATATATATTTTTAAATATTTTTTATTGATTTTTTTTTATAGAGAGAAAGAGAGAGGAATAGAGAGTTAGAAACATCGATGAGAGAGAATCATCGATCAGCTGCCTCCTGCACACCCCCTACTGGGGAAGTGCCCACAACCAAGGCACATGCCCTTGACCAGAATCGAACCTGGGACCTTTCAGTCCGCAGGCCGATGCTCTGTCCACTGAGCCACACCGGTTTCGGCTGTATATATTTCTAAAGTTTCAGTTGAGCATGCGCAAGCTTGACCTGACTCACATCTCGGAACGCTTCCTTTCTCACACAGACAGATGCAACGACCAGGACACCATGACATCCTATCGCATCGGGGAGACCTGGAGCAAGAAGGACACCCGGGGGAACCAGCTCCAGTGCATCTGCACGGGCAACGGCAGGGGGGAGTGGAAGTGTGAGAGGCACACGTCCCTGCAGACCACGTCCACTGGTGAGGGGCAGGGCGCGCTGGGCAGAAACCGGGCCGTGGCACCGAAAACATCCCTGCACATGCCCCTTTCCCTTGGCAGGCCATCCGAGGGGGACCTGCAGGGTGTAAGCCGAGTCCACTCACTGGACTGTTAAAACCTTTTTTAACGTTAAGCTTTAAACGATGATGAAGATGAAATAAAGATGGATCTCAGGCGGAAAACACACACACAACCGATTTACAAAGTGGGGGGGGAGGGGCGGCTTCTGGAGGACTGTGTGGCGGCCCAGGGCATTGGGCCTCGATCAGCCCCCGGTCACACAGATGGCAGGGGTTCACTGCAGAGGGGAGGGATGTCTCAGAATAAGTCAGGAAGAGAAATGGCCAGATATTTGGGGCTCACTGGAACTGTGGAGACAGGAAGGGTGAAGAAGACCGTTCCAGGTGAAGGTAAGAACGTGTGGACAGCAGGGAATGATGGGCAGTTCAGAGAGACAGGGCACAGAGCAAGAAGGACGTGGTCTGACATGAGCCAGGATGAAGACGGGTGAAGCATTGTGAAGCCATGGCCTGTGAGCTTCCTGGATGGGGAAGGAGTTGTTGAAGGTACCTGCCCTGTGCAGTGGCAAAATACTGTCTGGGATTTAGAAATATAATCCCAGTAGCTCCATCTGAGCTGGAAGGTGGAGACCATCTGGCATATGCTGAATGCAAAAACTAATGCAGAATGGGGGCGCTATTCCTTCCTGGGGTTAGGTTAGAAACATGTGCATTTCAGAAGTGATCCGAATGGATCCCAAAGGTCCCTACTTCAGAAATAGTTCTTTTCTCTTGTCCAACGACGTGACTTTTCTTTCTCTTATCCAGATGTTGAAATGGCCGTTTTTCAGCGTCAGCCCCAGCCTCAGCCTCAGCCTCAGCCTTACCCCCAGCCTCCTTCATATCCTCACTGTATCACAGACAGCGGTGTGATCTACTCAGTCGGGATGCAGTGGCTGAAGATACAAGGAGATAAGCAGATGCTTTGCACTTGCCTGGGCAATGGAGTCAGCTGCGAAGAGAGAGGTCTGCCTAATCTTTAAAAAAAAATAAAATTAAAAAACAACACTGAAAGCCTTTTTATGATTTAGTTTTTGAAAGAATTGGCATTGATACATTTTCTTCCAATCTTTTTAATCTATGTATTTTCTTTAGTGAATATTAAGTGTACTATCTTTCTTGTTATAAGAGGGTTGCTTTCTGAATAACTAATCATCCATACTTCATACTATAAATCTCAGATTTCTGGAGGTTTAACAACATCTAATGCATCTCTTCTGGGCTACAAAAAATGGTAGTTAGTAACTATAGCAATTATAATTAATGCACTTGATGTTATCCCTAGAATAACCTCATGTATTAATACTTATGCCACCAACTGAGGCATGCATATCCCTCCAGTATCCTTTGAGCAGCACCCTTAATTAGCCTATGTTAATAAAGTTTTACAAATGGGGAAACTAAGGCAAGACAGCAGAGGTGGTAACAAAGGATCTTTGCAGAGAAACAGATTTTGCTCTATCCACAAAAGGCATGGCCTTCTGAGGAGTGCATTTTGACCGAAACTCACCAGTTGATCATCTATATTTCAGTCTCTAATCCTATATAACAAAAGCCTAATATTCTAAGTATTCAGTTTGTCCAGTCATCCATTCAACCAATCAAAGCATAATATGCTAATTATATGCTAAGGCTGCTCAACCACTTGCTACAATGTGCACTGACCATCAGGGGGCAGAGCTCTGACCAGTAGGTTAGCTTGCTGCTGAGGTCCGGCAGATTGGGACTGAAGGAGATGGGCCAAATATGCCCTGGACCCTTCACACATCCCTCCCCAGCTGGCCAAACTCCCGAGTCTCTCCCTGGCCCCAATCATGCACCGGTGGGGTCTCAGCCTGGCCTGGGCCCTCTCATAATCCAGGACTCCTCAGAGGATGTCAGAGAGCCGGTTTCGGCACAATCCCACAGGCCAGGCCAAGGGTATACACCAGGCCTCAGTTTAAGGTATAAACAAACAGCGGCAATCCATGCAGCTTATTTACTGAGACCCTTTTGGTTATGCTTGTAGCTGTCACTCGGACTTTTGGTGGCAATTCCAACGGGGAGCCATGTGTCCTACCATTCACCTACAACAGCCGGACTTTCTACTCCTGCACCGGCGAAGGGCGACAGGATGGACATTTCTGGTGCAGCACGACTTCCAATTATGAACAAGACCAGAAATATTCCTTCTGTACAGACCAGACTGGTGAGTGTCCTGAGGGGAACCCAGCTGTGAGAAAGACCCATTTCTCATGCCCTCTTTTTATTTGTCAGCAATGTAGCCATTAATCTTGAGGCTGCATGAGAAGTATCACTTTTCTACACTCTGGACCCAAGAGACGTGGAGTAACTTGGCAGATGAAGATATTTCCATGGTCCTTCGTGCCCTTGGGAAATGACACCAAGGGAAAGGGCCACCAGTTCCTTTCTCTCTGACACGTCGGGCTTACGATGTGATTACAGATGCTGGCATCTTAAAACCAGCATGTCATCCCACGGGGCTGAAGAATATGCAGAATGGATGACTGAGTATTTTTGTTTCTCTTTTGGTTGAAACACTGTTTTTATTCAAAGCAATCACTGAAATGTTTCTTGGGCTGGGAACAATGGGAGTGAAAATTGGACTTAAATCTCTTTGGAAGGTAAAGGTGAGTGCACTTCACAAGGTGAAGGAGACGTAGAATGCTGTCACCAGGCAGCTTTGGTTCTGAGATGGACTCCTTGGAAATTAGCTGCGGAGACCGGGCTCTCTGGACCTTTCTGTAGCCATTCCCGCTGCACATGGGAAGCTCAGTGTAATCTTTTCTTCCTCTTTGTCCTGGGCAGTTATGGTTCAAACTCGAGGTGGAAATTCCAATGGTGCCTTGTGCCACTTCCCCTTCCTGTACAACAACCACAACTACACCGACTGTACCTCCGAGGGCAGGAGAGACAACATGAAGTGGTGCGGGACCACGCCCAACTACGACACTGACCAGAAGTTTGGGTTCTGCCCCATGGCCGGTAAGAGGAAGCCCTTGCAGACACCATTGATGGAGTCAGACAGAACACTGGCCACTTTACACTACTTGACCCATTAACACTTAACTTTTGAGATCGCAAACAGCTTAATGTGACATAATAATACATTTATATGAATTATGTAATTATTTATGCAATTTTAATATTCCATTGATATACTTTAATGCCCCAAAATATATAAGTACAATCAAGATACTGTTTAAAATGTCTGCGCATTTCCATTTTGCACAAATTTGTCTTTTGTATAGAGCACACAACTGGGTAACTTTGTCAAATGTAACTGACTGAGAGGCACAGACTTGACAATATTTACACGTGATTTTGGCTTAACTTACATAAGCTCTATCGTTCATTAAATACTCAAATGACCAAAACTATTTTCTGAAAAGTAGTGATCTTTTTTTAAAGAGCAGGATGGGGCTCTGGTTTGTGTGAATGAAGAAAGGGGAACCAGTGTCTTTTATTTTAAGTTTTCAAATTTCAAGAGTCCCACAGATTACATTTGAGTTCCCAGTTGTAGAACCAAAAAGACCTGTACATTTCATTGTCAATGAGGCACCAAAATGCAAGATGAAAAAATCAGCTTGCTTTTAGTTCTCTTATTTCAACCAAAGAGAATTTAGAAGAAAAACATGCTGGAGCTTACAGTGCAATGCTCATACTCATATGCATAGTTTCCCTTTGAGTTAGAATAAACTGGAACTAGAAAGTTACGGAGCAGTAGTCAGATCCAGGCTTCTAGAACAACGTAGACCCTTTGAGTCCATGTGTAGGGATCACTGTGGTTTACTGTCCACTTACCCTTCCTGTAAGTACTTCCTGCAACTCACCTCCCTTTTGGACTGTGCTTTCCTCTCTGCTACTCAAGCCTCTATACGAGCACAGGCAGCACTGAGATTTCTTCGAGGCACACCAGACTTCTGAGGGAGAGCTTGTAGGATGACTAAATTAGACAGATAATACTGCATACCTTTTAAGAACTTGTGACCGTTTATCACTTGGACATTTCTTATTCCTTTCCAAACAGCCCACGAAGAAATCTGCACGACCAGCGAAGGGATCATGTACCGCGTTGGAGACCAGTGGGATAAGCAGCATGACATGGGGCACATGATGAGGTGCACATGTGTGGGCAATGGTCGTGGGGAATGGACCTGTGTCGCCTACTCCCAGCTCCGAGGTACGCTCGCTCCGGAGTGAGACCATTTGGGAGGATAAAGGGTCCGGGGAGTGTGGCTTTGATGTGAAAAGTTGTGCTTCACCAAAAGGAAGAGAGGTGCAATCCCAGCACGTTAGTCTACCGTGCTGGGCGAGCTTCACATTTAGACAGCCAGTGAAGAGAAGTTGGCCCAGCGATTCGGAAACGTTTCCAGGATTCGGGTTCTTAGGCTGACTTCAAAGGCTAGCGCATGATCATTGGATCCGTTAGTGTTTAGTTATGCCATTGGATTCATGTCCAGAAAAGTTTGAGTAGTTTTTGTAAAGAAAAAAGACTTTGCTATTCTAAGATCAGATCCCGATTTAAGGAGAAATATACATTGAGGGGCTGATTCATTTTGTCCAAGTAAGATTTTCTCCTTTAGACCCGGGTATAGAATATAGGGATATTGATTTATTGAAACTATTTTAGTTCTTCTATTTCTTTTGATTAAAAAGTAAGATAGCTGAAACCGGTGTGGCTCAGTGGATAGAGCGTCGGTCTGCGGATTGAAGGGTCCCAGGTTCGATTCCGGTCAAGGGCATTACACTGGTTGAGGGCACATTCCGGGTGTGTGTGTGTGTGTGTGTGTGTGTGTGTGTGTGTGTGCTCAGGAGGCAGCTGGTCGATGTTTCTCTCTCATTGATGTTTCTAGCTCTCTATCCCTCTCCCTTCCTCTCTTTAAAAAATCAATAAAATATATATATATAAATATATATTTTTTTTAAAGTAAGATACAGGGGAGTACTGTGAGCTAATAAATAGTCCGTGTAGCTCGTGTTGGCATTGGCCTGAATTTTGTGTGTTCAGCCGGTAACACAATCCAGGAGTAATGAGAATGACATACGGTGTTGCAGAGCTGAGAGGGACCCTGGTAGGAAGGCAGACAAACAAGCTCCTCATTTTACAGATGGAGGAGCTGAGAGCTGAAGAGAGAAAGTAATTTTCTCAGGATCGCTCAGGGAGTTAGGAACAGAGTTCGCATGATTTTTGTTTTTAACCTTATGAATGCCATAGATGTCATTTTCTTTTCCAAATCCAAATATCTCCCCACGCCCACCATCACACTATACTGGGTGCTGTATATAAGTCTGCTTAATCTTCCTCCTATTTATCATAACAGACAGAGATCTAAAGGGCATTATCAACTAAGCAAGAACGTTTCCGAAAGTAAGACATGCATTTGTTAAAAAATGGGCTTTCCATAAGAAAGTGTAATTTACCACATTTTTAAAAAAAATATTTTATTGATTTTTTTTTTACAGAGAGGAAAGGAGAGAGATAGAGAGTTAGAAACATGGATCAGCTGCCTCCTGCACCCTCACCCACACTGGGGATGTGCCTGCAACCAAGGTACATGCCCTTGACCGGAATTGAACCTGGGACCTTTCAGTCCACAGGCTGATGCTCTATCCGGTTTCTGCTACCACATTCTTTAGTTTATACAGGAGACTTCTTTTGTATGCAGAAGCTGTAATACTGACTAAACTTTGAAAAGTGTTCGTTCTCTGCCGCTAGAAAAGTTTTTTTAATGAGAGGTCTTGATAATGTAGTGGAAGGAACGGTGTGCTTTGAATAGCATAGCTTTTTAAAATTTTCATCATTAAAGCCTAAAACCTGTTCTCCACCCATCCCGCTGTTCCCTAAATAGATCAGTGCATTGTGGACGACGTCACTTACAATGTGAATGACACATTTCACAAGCGCCATGAAGAGGGCCACTTGCTCAACTGCACCTGCTATGGTCAGGGCCGGGGCCGGTGGAAGTGTGATCCCGTCGGTAAGTAGCCTTGTCTCTCCCGATGGATTTGGCCCCCCAGGACAGTGAGCAAGGTTCACATTAGGAGAGTGGTTGGATGTTACTTGATTGAAGCTGGATTCGGACTTTGGTCAGTGGCTATCAGAGAGGTATGCAAAGTCTTTCTTCTCATCCTGGACCATATATAACGTTGATTTTGGTAGTCATCTATGTTTGCTAAATTTGGTGACAAATACAAACTTATTTTAATTAGATGCAATCCGTTCTGTAGTTCTGAATCATAAAGATGGTTGCATTATGAAAGAGACTTGCCCTTTGCCGATGGTGCAAGAACATGGGCAAATGATTAGGTCAGTAAATCCCTCCCTCCACATGCTTTATTTTTCTTGGCTGCCCTTTCTACTGGGGCTGAGCAAACAGTGGAGGTTGAGCTTTAAACGAGCTGTGTTACCGGCTTTGAGGTAATCCATTAATACTCCGATCAGATACTCGAGTTTGCTTGACCCGAGATTGCCAAAGCCAGGGCAGAAGCCCGAGAGGTTTTCTCAGAAACTGCTCAGCGAGTATTCACAGTTAAAAATCTGGCTCATTGATTTACATGCACAATTAAATCTGCTAACGTCTGAGAAAGTGTATCAACTGACATATTGTCCTTGCTGTTCAGATGGGAAATCAGTTGCATTAATGTGGGTAAAAATATATGTCATTTTTTACTCAAAATATTCAGCCTATCAATACCTACTGAAATTTAAATCTTCAATTTTTATTTTAAAATATTGTTCTTTTAGAAAACTAAATATCTCTCCCCATGGGTACCTTTTTGTTTGTTTTTGCTACTAATTGTTCTGGACAGTAAAAGATAAGAATAAAGTATTTTTTAAGCAACACGTATTTATTTGAAAGAAACAGTTGCCAGTTTCTAGTGAAACTAAGAATGAATGCTCTAGCACACTGAAATTAAGGAATTTGTAGCTTTAAGTCTTCAAGGCTGCTTCACTTTTACTTGTCTGTGTTTTAGACCAATGCCAAGATTCAGAAACCCGAACATTTTATCAAATCGGAGACACCTGGGAGAAGTATGGGCAGGGAGTCAGGTACCAGTGCTATTGCTTCGGTCGTGGCATTGGAGAATGGCATTGCCAACCTCTTCAGTCCTATGCAGGTGAGTAGCTCAATTACTGCAAAGTGAGAACTGTAGGCTGGGTTATCAACACAGGGCGGCCTCAGTGTTTACTAATATTCTGATGCTTCAGTTAAAATCTCCTTCCTTTTCCATCCTTATACCACTGTCTAATAATCAGCTGAATTTTTGACAAACAATGATTTTTCTTTCTTCCCAGTCAAGAAAAAGATACAGCAAGTGTGCAAATGTGCCTGGGTGTAATTTTTTTCTTTTTTAAAAATATTATTTTTATTAATTTCAGAGAGGAAAGGAGAGGGAGAGAGAGAGATAGAAACATCCATGATGAGAATCATTGGTTGGCTGCCTCCTTCACACCCCTAGTGGAAATCAAGCCTGCAACCCGGGCATGTGCCCTGACCAGGAATCGAACCGTGACCTCCTGGTTCATAGGCCAACGCTCAACCACTGAGCCATGCCATCTGGGCTGTAATTTGTTTCTTAAAACTGTAGAACATTCTATTAGGTTAAAACTTTCTGACTGATTTTATCTCACACCCATACATAGGGATAGAAACCAAACAATGAGCTGTGCTAAGAGTAAGGGGCTAGCATTTTATGTCATGATTCTTCACAGAGAAGTTGTACAGAGAAATTACGTGAAAGACAATATAGGGTTTGCTTTCATCCTGCTTTCCATCTAGTCTTTTTGTCAAAATTTCCAATTTGTTTGATCAGTTCGAGTGTGGAACAAAGTATCCTGGGTCAAGAGTTGAGTAACGAGGTCAATTTTCCACCCACACAGTTTAAATACCCTCCAGTGTTCATTGCTGGGAGTTTCACTGGTTTTGTTCATTCATTTTAGGAAAAGAAAATTTGATCTTAGTTTCCACTGAGTGATTAATTATAATAAAATACATTGAGTTATGAAAGTCTAATTGCTAGGCATCAGTTATTTGAGCAACTACTGAAATGCAAAGCTTCCTGTTACCTTTAGACTTAAAACATGGCCTGCACTCAGAAATAGAAACAGATTTCCAGGGTCTCAGAATGTACCTGTAACAGGAATTAAGAATAAGTTAACGGAATCCCTCCATCATGGGATCACAAATTCACTGTCCCTGACCACAAGATATGAAACACTCCAGCGAAAGGCAGTGCTCACCAAAGCACGGGTCCCGGCTCTCTTTGTGCTTCTGAAGAGACTCATTCCTTCATCTGTAAAATGAGGCGATCAGAGCTGATTGCCCTTAAAGTTCCCTCCCGCATTAACAGACTAATGTTCTGGGATCCTGACGACCACTCACGCAGACACACTCTTTCTATGACCTCTGACGTGATCCTGCTCTCCCCACACTTTACACACTGTCAGGGCTGCCTGGGTGACTGCTTTGGGCAGGCTCCGAGCACCGATTGACCTGGCTCTAAATTGTATTTCATGGTGAATCTGAGTATACGAGTCATTAATTTTTTTTTATTTTTTAGTAATTTTTAAAAATTTGGCTGCAGGATTACCATAGGTCCAGAAAGTATAACTTTAATTATACTTTAATTATGCAGCCAGCCGAAACCGGTTTGGCTCAGTGGATAGAGCATCGGCCTGTGGACTGAAAAGTCCCAGGTTCGATTCCGGGCAAAGGCATGTACCTTGGCTGCGGGCACATCCCCAGTATGGGGTGTGCTAGGGGCAGCGGATCGATGTTTCCCTTTCATTGATATTTCTAGCGCTCTATCACTGTCCCTTCCTCTCTGTAAAAAATCAATAAAATATAAATAAATAAAAATTATGCAGCCAGAAGATAGAATGTTCTAAGTGATAATGCTTTCTGCTTTCTATGTTTATGGCTGTTGGTGGGGGGTGGCAATCTGTTGAAAGTCATTTCCTCCTTCATGGTTTTGAGGGAACTTCACGTCGCTGCTGGCTGGAAGCATTTTGGTGAACATGTCAGAGATGAAGCTCGGACGGGAAGGAGCTCCTCTGTATTGGAGTCTTACATGGCCACCGTGTTCCTACTCTTTATTATTTTTTAAATATATTTTTATTGATTTCAGAGAGGAAAGGAGAGGAAGAGATAGAAACATCAGTGATGAGAGAGAATGATTGACTAGCTCCCTTCTGCATGCCCCACACTGAGGACCGAGTCCACACACGGGGGATATGGCCTGGCCAAGAGTCAAACCATGACCTCCTGGTCCATGGATGGACGCTCAAGCGCTGAGTAACACTCCCCAGCCTGTTACCACCCGTTAAAAAAGGGTAGTGGTCCAGTCTACCACAGAGGAGATTTAGGGGCGAGGGGCCTGACACGTCTCCTCAGTACACAGCTTATCCATGTGTCTAGTTTGTTCAGTGATTCGTGACTTGCATGTGGGACTCTAGGAATATGGAAGAAGGAAGGAACAGCAGGCTACCAATAGATTGTCTCTGAGCCTTGCCCTGTCTGTTCCTCTGACCGAGGACCTGTTGAGTCGTTCAAACCAACAGGAGATAAGAGGCAGTTGGTGTGTCAATAAACTAGGAAGGCACCGAGCTCAGCAAACTAAACAGGAAAGAAGAACTGAGTCGCAAACCCATAAATGTTTAACTTCTCCAGGGTCACCATTACTGGAAATTGCTCATTTTGACCTTCTTTTTACACTAGTTTTTAAAGTATGATTTGTATCATATCTTTACTTAACTATTTTATTGCTTGGCTGATCATATTGAGTAAGAGAAGGAGTAAAGTTTTCTCCATGGTAATTATTCAGTTAGGATAATGTTTTTTAAAGTTTTATTGACTCACCAGTTTTGAAAGGAATATCAGGATTTTAAGTTTAAATGGTGCAAATGATGTCAGAATTTTCAGCTTTTTTGTTTTCTAATCCTATGTAGCCTGGTTGAGTACAGTGATCATAGGAATTTAATTGACCTTACAAATAATGGGCACAGGCTGTCTACTTCCTGAACAAGAATGTGCTAAAAGTGTGACCTCCCCTTTGTGTTCTGTGCAGTTCCCTTCACGGGAGCTGTGGCACAAGCCTAACATTGAAAACAGAATTTCAAAGCAATGCTTATAGTTTTAGAAAGAAAAGAAACTTCTGCCTTAGCTGGTTAGGGGTAGAGTGTTGGCCTGTGAACTGAAGGGTCCCTCCCAGGTTTGATTCAGGTCAAAGGCATGTAGCTCGATTGTAGGCTCCATCCCTGGCCCCTGGTTTGAGTACATGCAGGAGGAAACCCATCGATGTCTTTCTCATCATTGATGTTTTTCTCTCTCTCCCTCTCCCTTCCTCTCCGAAATCAGTAAAACATACATATATGAAAAGAAACTTCTGTAGGTTTGCTCCATCATTGAGGTGAAAATCACTAAGTCACCTTTACTTTTCCCTCCCTTCTCCCTTGTTATCCTCCTGGAGGATGTGGGTGCATGATTAGGTTTAAAGGTGGGCAGGAAAGTTTATCTGTGTTGCCTTTATAAAACATCCTCTTCGTAGACACTTAACTATCATCAGTTTTTTAAGATTAGAGATTTTTTAGGGCCGTGTTAGGTCCACAGCAAAATTGAAAGGGAAATTTCCCTTATGCTCCCTGCCTCCACACATGCATAGCTGATTGTCAATATCCCCACCAGAGTCATGCATTGGCTACGGTCAGTGGACTTAAAGTCCATCGTGTAGGCTAGGAATCAACATATATTCCACAGCATCATGAACTTTTCCCCCTCAGCATCCTGATTGCCAAACTAAGTAAAACACTTATCTCTTTATATGAGAAAATTTATAGTAGGATTTATGGGAAGGATCAATATTTAAACAACCTTATGCCAATGATTGTAAATAATGTAAGGACACAATATTCCCATAGTTACTGATTTGCATGGCAGTAATACTTTAAATCATCACATCTCTAAAACTTTGATTCAGTGTTTATCTTTCAAAACTCATTTACATTTGTGAGTATATTTTTTTTAATATATTTTTATTATTTCAGAGAGGAAAAGAGAGGGAGAATGAGATAGAAACATTAATGATGAGAGATAATCATGGATTGGCTATCTCCTGCATGTCCCCTACTGGGGATTGAGCCCACAACCCAGGCATGTGCCCTGGACCGGAATTTTCAAAGAGAATTTAAAAGCAGAGTTAATTTTTAAATCAACATATTATATTGTAAGAGTTTTCAGGAAACCTACATCTGTTGATCTGGTGAAGTGTTTTATTAAACGCCCAAAATTTTGCTCTGTTTCACAGAATGGCAGTTAGAAATTCTTAGAAAGATTATTATAAGGAACTTTAATTTTATTTCTATGATGGATGTCATAAAATGACAGTTTAGGAAAAAGATAGTGTTCTGTTCTGCTAGCATAGTAATTCAGCTAATTCGTTATTACCCTGAAGTGTGTCTACACTATGAAGACTTAATTACACTTCTCTTATTTTGCTTTAAAAGCAAAACTAAAACCATGTTTTATTTTTTATTTATTTTAATTTTTTACTAAATTATTATCTGTGTACATATACCCCCCCATACTTGCCCTCTCTCCCCAGAGTTTTGTGTCCATTGGTTGTACTTATATGCATGTATACAAGTCCTTCGGTTGATCTGTTATCTTCCTCAGATCTCCCGACCCTCCCTGCTGAACTTGACAGTTTGTTTGTTGCTTTACTGTCTCTATATCTATCTTTTGGTTCATCAGTTTATAATGTTCTTTATTATCCATAAATGAATGAGGTCATGTGGTGTTTCTCTTTCATTGACTGGCTTATTTCACTCAGCATGATGTTCTCCAATTCCATCCAGGTTGCTGCAAATGATGAGAATTCCTTTTTTTATGGCAGCATAATATTCTATTGTGTAGATGTACCATAGTAAAACCATACTTTAAATCAATGTGTGGAAATATTGAATTTAGTGTGTCCTGCAAAATCTCATTTCAATTGATAGCTGCTCTAGAAAAAATTTCTCTCCTAATAATTTGACCAAACAATAGAGGGTAATTACTGAATAAAAATAAAATAATATTTTTTCCCAAAATGATAAGGCATTTACAGATAGCTTGTGCATTTGAAGATGAGAAATAAGACTGTTTTTAACTAGTACTTTTGTCTATTTGTCTAAGAGTCTATTCTATTTAGGAATGTGTTTTACATCATGCCTTATGGCCTTTGGGATGCTGTGTCCTCCTGAGGTGGCAGATTCATTCTTCTTCTTTTTTTTATTTTTATTTATTTTATTGATTTTTTTACAGAGAGGAAGGGAGAGAGATAGAGACTTAGAAACATTGATGAGAGAGAAACATCGATCAGCTGCCTTCTGCACATTCTCCACGGGGGATGTGCCCGCAACCAAGGTACATGCCCTTGACCGGAATCGAACCTGGGACCTTTTAGACTGCAGGCTGCTGCTCTACCCCCTGAGCCAAACCGATTTTGGTGGCAGATTCATTCCTGATGACAGCTTCCACAAACCAGAATTTGCTTCAAGGAAGCTGAATATAATAAGTATATGGAATCTGCAGGCACTCCGTATTATGTTTTTGTGTTATGACAGTTCCACAATTTCTTACAATTCTTACTTTGAAAATGGAGAAGAAAGCAAGCTACGAGGCATTTAAGAAAAAAAAAAGTATTTTATTTGTCATAAAAAGTTCTAATTACTCACGATAAGCAATAATTTATCACCTAAAAAAGAATTTGTGCTCTGTTTCCAGTGTCAATAGGTAAAAGATTGATCCCAATTCATTATTACGTATATTCACATTTACTGATGAGCCAAACTATTTTTAGTGATCTCGTCCATGTGCACTGAATTTCAAGCTGAAGTGAATGAATAGCTAAACTAACCAAATCTCACAGTTCCATCTTCAGAAAGGACTGGTCCTGTCCAGGTTATCATCACCGAGACCCCCAGCCAACCCAACACTCACCCCATCCAGTGGAATGTGCCCGAGTCATCCCACATCACCCAGTACATCCTCCGATGGAGGCCTGTGAGTATGCCACTCTGAAACCTGGACACTGCGTCTCCTCACATTGACAGATGCTGAAATTATTTTCCTTTAGATTTTGAGCTAATAGATTGGATTAACTATCCATATAACGTTTATCTTTATTTAGTGACAAAACAATCTGATCAATGGACATACAGGCTTAGCTTTTCTGGCATTTAGAAAATTTTATTTCTTTATGTTAAAAAGAACTTCTTAGCAAAGACTTAGGAATGATCATGCTTAAAATTATTCTTCCTCAACATGGGAAGAGTATCTAAAGTTTTTCGTACATTTTATAACTGTCTCAAAGGATAAAGACTGTCGGTGTCATTTTCACCGTTGGGAGAAAAACAACGGCCAAGTTAATATCTAACTCTTTTATTTTACTTCCTAAGTGGTCGTTTCTTAAAATCTGACTTCTGACCGTCTGAAGTTCTTTAGATAGATTATGCCACATCCTCTCTGACTAGTCTTCCTTGTGAATATGGGTGTACTTTTTATTTTATTTTATTTACATTTTTAGAAAAATTCTCCAGGCCCTTGGAAGGAGGCCACCATTCCAGGTCACTTAAACTCCTACATGATCAAAGGCCTGAGACCGAACGTGGTGTATGAGGGGCAGCTCATCAGTTTCCAGCAGTCTGGCCAGAGAGAGGTGACACGCTTTGACTTCACAACCACCAGCACCAACTCCATGTCCGGTATGTGCCACAGCCACCCTGTCTGTGCCTCAGCTTTTCTTTTCACACTTGATTCATATTCAAGGATCACACTCACATTTAAAAAAAAAAAATTATATTAGAGCCCTACCATGTTTAGCTCAGTGGTTGGAAGGTCCTGACGATGGATTGAAGGGTTCCCTGTCAAGGGCACCTATCTTGGTTGCAGTCTTCATCCCCAGCCCAGTCGAGATGCATGCAAGAGGCAACCAATCTGTCTCTTTCACTTCCTTGCTTCTCTCTCTGTGTCTCTCCCCGCTCCTTCCACTCTCTCTAAAAATCAATGGAAAAAATATTCTCGGGCAAGGATTAACAAAAAAATTATGTTCTACAGATGATAGTAGATTTTCTCGATGGCTGAGGCTCTCTTTCCCTTCCTGTGACTCTAGGCAACACCGTGACGGGCGAGACAACACCCCTTTCTCCCGTTGTGGCCACTTCTGAATCTGTCACTGAAATCACGTCCAGCGGCTTTGTGGTCTCCTGGGTCTCAGCTTCAGACACGGTGACAGGATTCCGTGTGGAATACGAGCTGAGCGAGGATGGAAGCCACCCCCATTACCTGGGTAAGCCGAAGTGCTGGGAGAGGTTGGGAGTGGGAGGCCCTGCTTAGGAGATGGCACTCGGGCAGGCGGTCTGTGAGCTCAGTCTGACAGCTCGGTCTGAACAATACCTCCCAGTATGAGGAAGGGAAACGACCGAGCCTTTCTAGGACTGCACTGGGCTTTTCCTGAGCCAGCTTCATGGCTTCCTGGTCCCTGCTGTGACCTGCATTGTGTGTTTGCCCAGACCCGAGTTGCTAGTATGAAGACTGTGGTAGAAAATGTTAGCTTTGGGGGTGCACGGTAACCTCCTTTGTGCTTTTCAAAAACCTCATGTTTAGGGGCCTTTTAAAAATTTGTTTGTAGAATAATCTATACACCGACTGGGCCAGATTATTATTATATGCATATTAGAGGCCTGGTGCATGAATTCGTGCATGGTGGGGTCCAGCCAGCCTGGCCAGGGAGAGGGGACATGGGCAGTTGGCCAGCCTGCCTGGTCGAACTCCTGGTGGAGGGGACAATTTGCGTATTAGCCTTTTATGATATAGGATATATGCTGAGTGGCCAGATTATTATGCATTCAGAGATCATCATAATCTGGCCACTCTGTATATACTAAAAGCACACCGATCATAAATATAGAGCTCAGTGAGTTTTTATTTTTATAAAGTGAATACACCCACCTCACTCCCCATCACCCCTACCCATGACCACTGCTCTGATTTCTAGTTACTTGGTTTACAAGAGGACTGTGGTCACACACTTATGGGTGCATTACAAAAATTATGCATCTCTAGAGAACCAATTTGAAAAAATGAAAAAGTAGGAAGAAAAGTGATCCCATTGTGCATTGATCCTTATTAAGTATCCATGAGCACATTTCCTTCTAGTCTTCCCCCCTGCCCCTCATGAATGTGTCATTTTTTAAAAATATTCTTCTCCTGGGCTGTGAAGTCATTTGAGGGACTTGGTATCCTTAATCAGTAACCTTTCCTTCTTATTTCAAAGACCTTCCAAGCACGGCCACCTCTGTGAACCTCCCCGACCTGCTGCCTGGCCGGAAGTACATTGTGAACGTCTATCAGATATCCGAGGAGGGAGAGCAGAGTCTGATCCTGTCTACCTCACAGACAACAGGTACTGTGTACCATCTCGTGTCAAAATAGCCTTTTTTGTTTTTCTTTTTTCTTTTTTTTGTAAAGCAGACCAATAGCAGTCTTTTCTGACGGTTTCCTTTTTTTTGTTTTGTTAGCACCCGATGCCCCCCCTAATCCTACCGTGGGCCGAGTTGATGACACCGCCATTGTTGTTCGCTGGAGCAGGCCCCAGGCACCCATCACAGGTCAGCTCAGCCTCCTCTTCCTGGCTGCCATGGTGATCACGATGGCATAAGAAAGGGGTGAGGGACAGATTCTGGTCTGAGGACGGGGGTACCACTCTCATTTCCTACCTCATTGCTAGCCTAGGGTGGAGGGGTGTGTGTGTGTGCGTGCGAGTGTGTGTGTGTGTGTGTGTATGTGTGTGTGTCTGTGTGTGTGTGTGTGTGTGTGTGTGTGTGTGTGTGTGTGTATGTATGTGTGTGAGTGTGTGCATGGCTATTCCTATCTCTGTACGAAATGGTTCTTAAAAGAAGTGGCGGCATTGAAAGGGTCTACTTCCCGAGAACCACTGCCTCCTGGCCAACCCAGCTGACTTTTCCTTCTTGGATCTGTAGGGTACAGAATCGTGTATTCACCCTCAGTTGAAGGCAGTAGCACAGAACTCAACCTTCCTGAGACCGCCAACTCCGTCACCCTCAGTGACCTGCTGCCTGGCGTGCGGTATAACATCACCATCTACGCTGTGGAGGAAAATCTAGAAAGCGCGCCTGTCTTCATCCAGCAGGAGACCACTGGCGTCCCCCGTGCAGGTAACTCAGAGACACTGCCCATGCTCTCTTATCTGCTAGGGTCTAACAGGTAACAGCTTTCATCTTCATTTTGGTGGAGCAGCCATTTTTATCTCTGGCACACATAAGCTAATTACTAAAATTCTGCACACCAAAATACATTTTTTGCTAATCTGGCAAAAAAAAAAAAAGGGTTAAATTTTGATTCATTCACACTGGACAGCTATATATAGGCTGGTGTCAGGTTTTTACTTGACAATCTAAGGGAAAAAGAGGTCCCCTGACTAAATAGCCAGGAATTGCATGTTTTAAAAATTCTTGTGGCATACAGTTGGAAATCGCTGTGTTAGAGGAACCGAGCCATCCTTGAATTGTGTTCATTCTATTAGCCTGCTTGGGAGGACCAGGAGTGTAAGGAGAAAGAATAATTGTCTTGGGTGTGTGTGTGTGTGTATTATTTCTATCAGAAGTTCCTATATGTTAATAATCATAGATTAGTGTGTTCCTAAATTTATGAAATTTGGCTGAAATGTCCTTATTATAAAACAATGTCAAAACTGTCTATTGATTTTCCTGATTAAAAAAAAAAAAAACTGACATCATGAAGTCTTTGTATTTTTCCCTGGAAACTCAAGGGGTCAGTTCATCTATTGCTCTTAAGTATCATACTATGATTCAGTAAAATGAAAATTACCGCATATTTTTCTGTTGTCCTCAGTGGGGTGTTCTGTTTTTTTCTGCATGTTCATTTCAAACCCCTTAGTAAGACACTTCCTGTGCTGGAACCTCACCTGCAAACTTACGTATTTGAAATAAAACCTCCCAATGTCAGGTGAAAGCAGTGTGACTAGACCATGAACATAGAAGCCAAAAAGCATAGCCTCTGGCTCAGAGACGAAGCTTAGCATGGCCTCCTGCGACTCAGGAAACTGCCTTTTAAAAAATAATCTTCGGCCGGAATGGTGAATGACCAGTGGGCTCTTGTCTGTCAGATAAAGTGCCCCCGCCCCGGGACCTGCAGTTCGTGGAAGTGACGGACGTGAAGGTCACCATCATGTGGACAGCCCCCGACAGCGCCGTGACCGGGTACCGCGTGGATGTGATCCCCGTCCACATGCCCGGGGAGCACGGCCAGCAGCTGCCCGTCAGCAGGAACACCTTTGCCGAAATCCTGGGGCTGACCCCCGGGGTCACGTACCACTTCAAGGTCTTTGCCGTGAACCACGGCATGGAGAGCAAGCCTCTCGTGGGAGAACAGACCACCAGTAAGTCCTACCCCCGCCCTCACCTCCGCCTCCGTGTCCACTCCCACTGCCCATCTGGGCTGGGCGTGCAGCACGCCATTGGCTCCTCTACAGTTCGGAAGCGGAAAATGCTCAGCCAGTAAGCGACATCCGAGTGGACACAAAGCACATTAAACTCGCAAACAAAACTCGCCTAATGGTAATCTGTTTCCCAAATACCTGCGCCAGTGAAATGGCACTTGGAGAGGGGAACATAGAGAGCCTAATTTTCTTTGCAGTGGAGGCGTGGATTGAAAAAAATCTGAGTGCACGTTTGTGCAAGTAAATATATCTAGAGCCAGCTCCAGATGTAATCTAAAACTTTTGTAGCAGAATTGTTTACAAATAATATCTACGAGTCGGCTTCTGTTCTGCTTGTTTGTTTATTTTAAAGACAAATTGGTTTTTTTTTTTTTTTTTTTCCGATTTCACATGTAAGGGAAAATCATCTGGCATTTGTCTTTGTCTGACTTATTTCATTCAGCGCAGTAACCTCTAGATCCAGCCACGTGGTTGCAGATGGCGATGTGTCATTCTTTTGTGATAGCTAAGTCATCCTACATTTTCTATATGTACCACTTCTTTATCCAGTCATCTTTTCATGGGGACTTGGGGTGTTTCCATATGTTGGCCACTGTACATAACGCAGCCATGAACATACGATACGCATGTCTTTTCGATTGAGTGTGTTGGGTTTCTTCCGATAAATACCCAGTCATTGCTAAAACAGTTAGTGCTCTTTAGGCATCAGGTCCTCTGCTCAGTTCTTTAGAAGCTTTATTATCTCATTTAATCCTAGTGTTGACCTAACGAGGAAGATCTCACTGTTACCCTTTTTGGGTCCATGAAGGAACTGAGGCTTAGAACAACATTCTGTCTCTTGTGAGGTCTCCGGTCTAGGAAGGGATGGAGCTGGATGGACAGGTTCATGCTTCCAATTATTACACCTAACTACTTTGCAGACATTTCCTGCCTCTTAAAAGCATTTTAAATCACTGCAGGTTCACTGCTAGTTATCATACTCCAGAAGAGAACTCACAACTTACTAGTAGTGCTTCTTCCCGTCCGTGCAAACTCGCCAGTGTCCTGCCATGATTCTGAAGTTCTGAGTCTTACGTTGTAATTATCGTCTAACTAGAATCCTGTGAAAATTACTTTTATTGCCCCATCAAAGGACTCTTCCTTAAATAAACGAGGAACACACAGTTTTTGTTCCGTGTGGAGCTTTCTGCTTGCCCTCATTTTATCGGGCTTGTTTTCTTAATTTTCTTGGCTCAGCAGAGTAAATACTTGTGTTTACAAGTGTTGTGTGCCTTCTTTTTAATGCCATCTCTATAATGTTAGTGTCATTCCGAAAGGTAATGAGGAAGGAAAAATTAGACTTTCCACAGAATCACAGCCAAGTAAAACAAGGTCGGCCATTTCTCATGACTGACACAGAATTTTACAAGGATGTGCGCTCCCTTCCTTAATGGCTCAGTATTTCCAAGGCTTTGATGTATATCGTTTCAGCCCTAAGAAAACTTGAGAAAGTTCAAACTGTAGAATTTCAGTGTGATAATTACTGAGGTTCAGGTATTTCTTGATGTGTTTTATCCTTTTTTTTTTTCCCCCCCTCTAGAATTGGATGCTCCCACTAACCTCCAGTTTATGAATGAAACTGACACGACTGTCATAGTGACTTGGACTCCGCCTCGGGCCCGGATAAGCGGGTACCGACTGACCGTGGGCCTGACCCGGGGAGGCCAACCCCAGCAGTTCAATGTGGGGCCCTCCGCCACACAGCACCCCCTGAAGAATCTGCAGCCTGGGTCTGAGAACACGGTCACCCTCGTGGCTGTGAAAGGCAACCAGCAGAGCCCCCCGGTCACTGGAGTCTTTACTACCCGTAAGTCAAAATTCAGTCTATTCTCAGGGATGCCGTCGGTTCTCACTGACAGTTACATTCTTTGTTCTTGATCCATTTTTTTTTTTAAAGTTAACTCAAGAAACTTAGTACAAGATTTAAATAAGAAATAAAAATTTAATTAATTTTTTTATAGATTTTTAGAGAGGAAGAGAGAGGGAGAGAGAAACATCAGTGTGAGAGAGAAATACTAATTGCCTCCCGCATGCACCCCGACTGCGTATTAAACCTGAAACCCGGGCATGTGCCGTATCAGGGAATCAAACCGGTGACCTTTCATTGTATAGGGCGATGCTCAACCAACTGAGCCACACCAGCTGGGCAAAAAATAAATTTAAGATAGTCTTTTTTTTTATATATATATATATATATATATATATATATTATTGATTTACAGAGAGGAAGAGAGAGGGATAGAGAGCTAGAAACGTCGATGAGAGAGAAACATTGAGCAGCACCCCCCGCCTCCCCCTTCTCCCCCCCCCCCCCCCCCCCGCGCACACCCCCTATTGGGGATGTGCCCACAACCAATGCACATGCCCTTGACCAGAATCGAACCCGGGACCCCTCAGTCCGCAGACCGATGCTCTACCACTGAGCCACACCAGTTTCGGCAAGATAGTCTTTTAAAGATCAAAGTAGTGCTACACATCGTGTGGTCCGTGGACCAGCTGCTGGCTCATGAACTGTTTATGACTGGACAGTACGGAGCTTGTGCCGGAATGCAAAGCGTGAAGCATACTGCTGAGTCCAGTGGTCATTTTTTGAGGCAGAGTTTTCCTGAGGAGAGAAACAATGCATGAAGTTACATATGTTGCCAGCCCCCTTATTTGCTCCAGGACTAACATTGAGTAACATGGTTGAAAACACCCAATTATTTGAAAATTGAATCCTAACATAGTAAGTGAATTTACCAAATACTAGTCAAGGTGAGAGGAGATCAGCACCTATGTCTACATGCTACTATGGGTATCGAATGGCAGCAGTAAGTGTGGTAAATAATGTACCGAGTGAACAGGCACCAACAGAACAAAGCAAAGAAGTGATTTCTCTGCCAGCGTTGCTGCAGCAGATTTAAGTGGTCCTGCAGAACAGAATAGCTTTTTAAAAAAGAATTTCATGTTTCTTCAATGTCTCTTGAAATTCCACAGAAGGAAAAATATTGACAATAATTTTCGGTCACATCTGTCCTTTAGCTCAATTTTACAGCAAGTGGCCTTTAAATCTCTTTCATTTCACAGTGTAAGCCCGTCTTCATCAACTGACTTCTACTAAACACACTCTCGCTCATTCTACAGAGAATTATGAGAGCCCTTATTTCTGGCTGAGCATTATTTATTTTTAATGTGACATTTTGAATTATAAGAACACCTAATATAACACGTTTTTTAGCGCATATATCTATATCTATATCTATATCTATATCTATATCTATATCTATATCTATATCTATCTATCTATCTATCTATCTATATATATATATACACACACACACACAACTAGGAACTAATTTGCCATTTTCATAAAGCTTTCAACAAATTTACTCTGACTAAAAATATAGATGTTTAAAAGCACTCAAAAAATGAATGTAAATTTAGTTTAAAAAAAAAAACACAAGCAAACAACAAAACAGCTATGGAATTTATCTCCCAAAGAAATTGTCTATAAATTTTTTCCTATAGGAATTTATAATTTACCAAAAATGTACTTCCATTTAAATTTAGTGTATGGAGTTTGACTAGTGAAGGCTTCTTTTTAAGTAATTGCTGTTCATCAATAAGTAGAATCTGCTTTTTGTTTGTAAGTTTGCTATTTTATATTACATGTTACTGGGATACCCTAAAATCTATTAACATGAAATCAGTATCTTGATATTCTTGTAACTATAGAACTTAAATAGTTGTCCTTCACTGCAATGGAATATGGGTCTCGGTAGATGTAGTCTTTTACTGACTACATAGGATTCCACAATTATATAAATATATCCGTAAACGTAGACTTATATAGTTATCATTTTTACTCCTGCACACAAGATGCATTTCATGTGGTCTCTTTCATTGGACAGGGTACCTATAAAAGAAAAATAATTTTTAATGCTACTAACAGTAATAGAGTGGAGTAGGTTGGGTCAAAATGGACTATTTTAAACTTTTTAGGAGACTTTGATATGTAGGATGTCTTGTTTTTTGCTCTGCACAATATATTTACATATTGTCAAGACTAATTTCACTAGCTAGAGGTTACCATATTACCTTGTACATAGTATATATATATATATATATATATATATATATATATATATTTAAAAAGTACTAAATAGATGATTGAGGAAAAGATGAAGAGGAAAGAATGATGAAAACAGCTCAACCACACTTAGTGTTATTATAAATAAACCCACGTAAGCAGAGAGTTTTACAATGTTTGCTGAACTGCCAGTACTCTCTGCGGCTCTAACCATCAGCAGGGCTTCCTGGGAACAACTTTGCTGGGGTTTGCTAACTTTTTAAGAGCAACTGTGTGGGTGGGGGAGGCATTCCTGGGGGGTAAATTCCATTTGCTCCTTTATAAATCCGGTACATTTCACTCCTTTAACAAACAGCCAGGCTGTTCTTTACCTCACAAGACCTGCCGACTTCCAGTCACATCCTTTGCTGGACATCAGTGTGTCGGTTTGTGGTTTGGAGATGTTCCTGTAACGGTCTTCCCAGGCTGAGAGGATCCTCTCCAGCCTGGGGAGCTTCTTGCTGGCGGGCTCAGGCAATGGGACCTTCCCAATCGGAAAGCCCAGGAGAATAGAATTTGAAAAGGTTGTGGCTTTCACAGATGTTCAGCGAAAGGAGCTGACTGCTTACCGCATCGTTTCTTGTGGCCTCTAACCTAGTCACACGGGGCTGGCGGTGGCATTTTGGCCAAGTCAGCAGCAGCAGCTAAGTGGGGTAGGATTTAAAAGACACTGGAAAGGGACCACGCGTCACTCACCCTGGTTTCCCGCCCCCTCCCTTCCCCAAATGCCATCAAAATAATAACAGACATGGAAACAGCTCACCACGAGTAGTGAGCCATTAGAACGGTCATGGCAAAGTGGCCCACACACAATTTATTTTCCCATTCACAATATTTTATTTTATTTTAAAATATATTTTGTTGATTTACAGAGAGGAAGGGAGAGGGAAAGAGAGTTAGAAACATTAATGAGAGAGAAACATCTATCAGCTGCCTTCTGCACACTCCCCACTGGGGATGTGCCCGCAACCAAGGCACATGCCCCTGACTGGAATCGAACCTGGGACCCTTGAGTCCACAGGCCAATGCTCTATCCACTGAGCCAAACCATTTAGGGCAATATCTTAAAAACATACTTTTAAAAAATTGCACATTAGAATCCAACCTGGGAATAGAAAAGAAGAAAGAATTGTAATAGTGGTTCTGAATTCCCTCATGACAGAGTCAGAATAATTGACTGAAGCTGAGTGGAGACGGAGTGTTCACACATTTCAGTCCCTGAATATATGCATAGTTCTGGAGGGCAACACTGGGCCTCACCAGCCCTTCATGATTTAGTATAAATGCATTTAATAGCTTTTATTCCTCCGGTAGGCACAGAATTTGGCTGGGAGGTAAAGAGGAAGCAACTGGAAACTAGGACCCAAACAAATGACCAGGACCAATTACACACTTAAAATCCTCGACTTTGACTCACTCAGATGTCTTGGTTTCTGAGGCCTCACCTTTCACAGAGCAGCCAGTTATTGGAGTGCTTATTCCCTTTATTACAAGATTCAGTTGTTCAGCCCATTCTATTTTAGAAATCTAAATTTATAAGATCTCTAGGACTATTACAAATGTCTGTCTTAACTTTCTGTACTCCTCTTTTCCTTTTTTTTTTTTTTAAATATATTTTATTGATTTTTAACAGAGAGAAAGGGAGAGAGATAGAGAGCTAGAAATGTCGATGAGAGAGAAACATCGAGCAGCTGCCTCTTGCACACCCCCTATGGGGGATGTGCCCGCAACCAAGGTACATGCCCTTGACCGGAATCGAACCTGGGACCTTTCAGTCCACAGACCGACGCTCTATCCACTGAGCCAAACCGGCTTCGGCTCTTTTCCTTTCTTTAAAAATTTTTTTAAAATAATATTTTCACTAAGAGAAATAACAGTGGTGCCAGAATGCTAGACTATGTGAGTAAGCTTCTGTGATAATCCCTGATTCCAGTGGTAGGATATTAAATATCTGCAGTATTGTTATTCTGAATGCTCACATATTTAAGATCTCTTTAGAATTTATAACTGCATCCATGGTGGCCAGTTTTGTTTAACTTTCTAATGGTGTCCCTTATTGGAACCAAATTTAATTAGCCACCCTCAGGGAGTAATTCAGCACAAAGCTGTTTTTAGATCACCATCTAAAATTTAACATTGTTCTCAAGTTAGTGACTAGCCAGTTAACTCCCACGCGTCCAGAATGGAAACCATCCCCATTTCTTCCATATACACTGGAATATTTACAAACTTAAGTTACCGTAATTTTCTTTACAAACCCAGAGATGTCACCAACAAATCTGATTCTGAAGTTGGGCGACCAGAGTTGATATCTGAGGTTTGTGGCTATGGACGCTTTTGGTGTTCAAAGGATTAAGAGCCAGACAGGTAGTTAGTTGGCAGTGACCAGTTTTGCAAACTAACACTATAGGGAAATTTACTGTCCTCAAACTTAAATCCTAACTATAAGAAAAGACGTAAACCTGCCTTCTGCCAGGTTTCAGATGACTTGGGTAACTCCTGGAAGACGGGGAAGCCCTGACCTACCCCAGATCCTCACCCAGCGAAGGGACAGGTGCTGTTTTCTGGGTTCACCTGCTGACGAAACTGAGGTTCTTGATAAAAATACTCACTATCTGCATTCTAGGCAATCGCCTGTGGGTCTAATGTTTTGACATGTGCATTGATCCCATTTCACAGAGAAGCCCATGAGCTCCATCCCACATTACGACACAGAGGTGAATGAGACCACCATAGTGATAACATGGACACCTGCTCCCAGGATTGGCTTTAAGGTAAATCGTAGATGTTCTCATCTCTTGTGGTACAGCCCCCAGGTGTCCCTGTTTCTGGATGCAGCAGAAGTCGAGATGTTCAAAAGTCAGGAGATCTGGGGTTTTTTGTTTGTGTGTGTGTGTGTGTGTGTGTGTGTGTGTGTGTATATATATATATATATATATATATATATATATATATATATTTTTTTTTTTTTTTTTTTTTTTTTTTTTTTTCCCCAGAGAGGAAAGGAGAGGGAAAGAGAGGTAGGAACATCATGGTGAGGGAATCATTGATTGGCTGCCTCTTGCATAGCCTACACTGGAGATCAATCCCGCAACCCAGGCCGGTGCCCTGAACAGAAATTGAACCTTGACCTCCTGGTTCATAGGTCGATGCTTAACCACTGAGCCACTTTGGTGGGGTTTTGTTACCTGCTTCTGTTCAGACCTCTCTGACCACATTGTCGGGGCATAGCAGTACTTTCGCTTCACTGGCTAGAAGGATGGATGAAGGCAAAGAAAGTGCTTTGCAAAGGATAAAACATTAGCATGCAACTGTCACTGCTGTGATCTTATTTTCTCCATCCTTTCCCTCAGGGAACTACATTTAAAAACACAAGGAAACTCCATTTGATCTGTTGCTCTAAATGGGTGTCAACAAGTTCATGAAAGTCCATTTAGGGAGACCAATTTCAGTGTCACTCAAAAATCACATTATTATCCAATCGGTTTCATCTCAACTTGTTCTAAGCTCCTGTGGGTGAATGACTTAATGGAAGTTAAGATTAAGGTCTTCCCTGTAGTGTATGGATTCCTGTTCTCTAAAGTGATAATATTAGGGGAATGAATATAAATGAATTGTTTAAATTCTTTTTTTTAATTTAGAATATATAGAGAGAAATATTTATTGGAAATCAAGACTAACCCCCCATGATTATTTGTTTAGGAAAATACACCAAAGTTCATTTCTTCTTTGAGCTGTACAAATGGTCATATTGATGATTAAGCTACTTATATTTAGAGAAGCCCTTTTTGGTGATTGCCAGCTTACCTTCTAAATTTCCCTTAATAATGTCAGAAGCCTTATAACCTACAAAAAGATGTCTCTAGAGTGGAATATCGATGACACAATGTTACTTAGGTTTTTGAAAGGAACTCTTAAAAGGATTTCAAACCATTTGTTTTAACTCTCCTTTCGTAACATACGGTCCGCAGTTACAGCTCTGAGCCTACTTCTTCAAAAGGAGTGTCACAGGGGCTGGATCCCACCTGGCAACTCAATGGTGAATTGAATGGCAACAATGCCTTAAAGCAAGAGCTAGGGGATTCCTTCCAGTGAAAGGAAATAGTAATGAACTTCCATGTGGCCCAAGGCCCCTGCGTGTGTACTTATCGTTTGCACCAGGAGGTGATTTATCTTGAAAAATGGTAGGTAATCACATTTTCCGGGAGCCTTTTATTACAACCACCTTTGTGCAGCTTCAGAGGACACCTTCCCCACGCCAGCCCCCCGGGACCGAGAATCCCGGCTGACACGTGTGAACGAAGGTCAGGCTCCAGCTCATCCCCCAAGGAGAGCACACGGGGCCATCCCCGAGATCACGGTCTATGAAACGGAACCGCAACCTCTCGGGAGAAACCCAACTCTGGGAAGATTTGTTCTTGGGGCTCATTTTGCTTTTCTTCTTCTAGCTGGGGGTACGACCAAGCCAGGGAGGAGAAGCTCCGCGAGAAGTGACTTCAAACTCAGGGAGCATCGTGGTGTCTGGCCTGACGCCAGGTGTGGAGTACGAGTACTCCGTCTCGGTCCTCAAAGACGGGCGACAGAGCGGCACACCCGTTGTCAACAAAGTGGTGACGCGTAAGAGGAGTTCTCTGCTCTTTTTTCTTAAGTGTTTAAACTGTTCCACTTTCAAAGAATAGCTTAAATCAATCATCCCCTCCCTCCTCCCCCCCCCCCCTTTTTTTTAGAGAGAGAGAGAGAGGAAGGGAAAGGGATAGATATAGAAACATCAGTGAGAGAGAAACATCATTGATCAACTGCCTCCTGCATGTCTGCTAAGGATTGAGCCTGCAACCTGGCCATGTGTCCCGACCGGCAATCTAACTGGTGACCTGGTTCATACGTGGACACGCAACCGCCGAGCCACACTTACCAGGCCCACGTCACTTTTTACGTAGGATAAAGGCATAGGAGGAAGATCTACCCCTACTTAGATTAATAGCTGTTGCTAAATTTCAAGTAGCAAGTTCAATTCATGCCATATAGTTCATGGCATCCGAAGTGTTCTTTCCATGTCAAGAATATTTATGAACCGGTAAGATGGAAAGGATTTCAAGAGTATTGCAAAATCATTGGTCATTTAAAAAAAAAAAAAATTCTGTCAGAGAATTGCTTTTCATCTTGGTTTCATAGTACAATGTCTGTATTTTTAATGACTCTTTCAGAAAGAGAGATAGAACGGAAGGAAGAAAGGAAACATAAAGAGGTAGGGAAGAATTCCATAGGTCAAGTGTTTTGTGTTAACTTTAACTTTTAATTTTCCATTATTTTTCTAGCTATAACTCCCCCAACAAACTTACACCTGGAGAGCAACCCTGACACTGGAGTGCTGACAGTCTCCTGGGAAAGAAGCACCACCCCTGGTAAGCCTGTGAAGTATCAGAGGGCATGCGTAAGCAATACCTTCCCAAGACAAGGGTTTTAGGAACCGGTCCTTTCCGAGAAATACACGGTGACAATGGAAAGTACCTATCCCTCCAGAAGAAGCACAGGAGGACATGCATCTGCATCATAGAGCGACAGGGAGGGTGTTTTACCGCATGTTTACTTGGCTCACAGGAAAGAGAGCAAGGCAGGTGCCTATTAAACTCTGTAGGGAATCATGAGGGCTGTGGAAAAGCATTCTGGAAGGGGCTTTTGCTCAGGGGCATTCAAAATTGCTATACGGATAGTTGAAATCATACTGCATAATTTTTCTCGTTATGAGTTATCACAGATTCGAGGTTATTATTCAGTGAACTTTCGCATAGTATATGGTCACGAGATGCACCGCAAAAATCTAAGAGTGATGTAAGGTAGAAATGATCCATTTTATTTTGCAGAATGAAAAATTGAGACTCAGAAAAAACTAGCTTACCCATGGTCACGAATTGTAAATGTTACAAAATTGGGATTGTAACTAAAGTTTTTCAGACCCTTTCTCACACCCAGCATCACATATTTGGAACCTGATTGTTTGTGTGTGTGTGTGTGTGTGTTTTATGTATAGTTAGTACCAAGGAATTGCTGACATGGAGTTCCATGACTATTTTTAAAACTTTGAATGTAGCTTTTGTTTAAACTCCTTGATCACACATATTGAAACTTACTGTGAAACATTTTTAGTTGTAGCTATTTTCAAGTAGCATGATATATGTACTATGACTATGACAGGGGAGATTTTAGATACTCACTAAGCCCATGTCAAAGTCCCTTTAAATGAGAAATGTTACCCAAAATGTAATTGTATTAGTTAATATTGGGTATATTAAAAGAGTCACTATTGAGATATTTGGGAGAGTCATAAATGAGAAAATTCTAAATTAAACAAAAACAGAAGTTCCAACTCACAATGATTTCACCCATATCCATTATACTTGTTACTTTAAGGGCCATATTTAGTTTATTATTTCACTAATTCTAATTTTAGAAATAGTTCTTATATTTGGTTAGGCATACAAGGAAGAGAATTTAATTATCTGATCAATGTGTTCAATCACACAGAATAAAACTAGCTCAACCTGTTCCTTTTTAAAAAAATATATTTTGTTGATTTTTTACAGAGAGGAAGGGAAAGAGGTAGTTAGAAACATCCACAAGAGAGTAATCGATCAGCTGCCTCTTGCACACCCCCTACTGGGGATGTGCCTGCAACCAAGGTACATGCCTTTGATGAGAATCAAACCCGGGACCCTTTAGTCCCCAGGCTGACGCTCTATCCACTGAGTCATACCAGTTTCGGCTCAATCTGTCCTTCTTAATCTCCCTCTAAAATAGAGTGATTTTGGTGAAGTTGTCATTATCTGTGGAAACTCTGTTTAAGCCAAAGTTTTGCTATTTCCAGCCAAGTGACTCTGGATTTGAAACTAAGTTGGCAAAGTTTATGCTTGTCAAAAGCTAGGTCCTTAAATACTTAGTCTTAATGAGTGGCCTCGCCTGCCTGCATAGATGGTCACTAGCAAATGCAATGACCTCAGCATGTATTTCCCATCCGGTTGGGTTTTCTCATCCATACTTTTGCTTTCATCCTATTTCTAATGGCAAAATATGCCATCATTTCCTTGTTCTTTATTAAGTTTAGCATAAATATACTTTTTCATTTACTTTAGTATGTTCCTATAGATTGCTAGTCATCACTGTTTTAATTTGAATCTCTCCCCACCACTCAACCCTCTTACTGCCTTACTTCTATGATTCCTGAATTCATATTCTTTCACTAGAATAAGTAGAGCCACTTCTTTCTCCCAATTTTTCTCCTTTCCTATTCCCTTCCTGTAAATTCCCTAGTTGGACTTTGTACGTGAGGAGAGCCTACTTTGGGGAATGAGCCTCAGGTTGAGAGCCATTTCATACTAAGCAGGTAAAATGGAATATTCCCCAACTATTATGCAGATGATCCAGTAAGGACAATCAGGGTACCAGGGACAGTGGTAGAAAGATCATGGAATTTTGAGGCAAGAAAGCCTTTGGTGATCACTTTCCCATTCCAAGATTTTCTTTAAACCAAGGATACTATTGCCTGCCTCAAAGGGTTGTTGTAAGCACTAATGACAGCAGAGTCCTCAATAAATGCCAAGAACTTTCCCCATTCCCCTGTGTGGGTTCATCACTGGGTTCTGGTTTAAAATGCTCTGGGTTGCAAATTCTTCCTGCATTAACTAACTTACTCCTTTCTGTCTCCTGCAGACATCAGTGGTTATAGAATCACCACCATCCCTACAAATGGCCAGACGGGATATTCCTTGGAAGAAGTGGTCCATGCAGATCAGAGTTCCTGCACTTTTGAGCACCTGAGTCCTGGCCTGGAGTACAATGTCAGTGTTTACACGATCAAAGATGACAAGGAAAGTGCCCCTATCTCTGCTGCCATCGTGCCAGGTAATGGGAAAATAAGCTGTTATCCTCAGAATGGCAGCTGCAGTAAGCGTGGGGATTAACATCTTAATCCCCAGGGGGTTAAGTGTGTCAGAGAGAGGGGGGATTGAATTCTGACCTCCCAACCACACTCTTGAAAATGGAGACGTCAGAGCAACAATTTGGACAAATGCTTGCTGTTAACGCTGCTCACTGCCTGCTTCACTGGGAAGCTGTCTGTTGTGATGAGTATGTGATGGAGTGGCAACCGTGGCATTAACTCTGTCTGCTCCCGTGGAAATATTACTAAAACGATGTCACATGTCTGTACTCAGTACCGACAGGCTAAAAGTAATATGGTAAATGCATCCCCGCAGTCCATTTGTGCCTGGTCTCACAGTCCATTGGTCAGCTGCTGTCTGTAAAATAGTACGTGTAGCACCTGATCTACACATCTAGTTCTTTAGTTTCAAATCCTTCTTTTTTAAAATTGAAAAGAAAAAAACAAAAAGCAAACTGAAAAGACTGTCCAAGGATAGACTTGTTGTTTGTCCAAAGTGGGACTGTGACGGATGAAAGCGGACAGATGGCGTTCCCCTTCATGCATTTTGGTAGAATGCTTTTAATAGTGATAATTAAATAACTTTGATCATGAGTTAAACACAATTTTGGCACTGGCCTTGGCCTCAGGCCAGTCTGTCTTCCCCCTGACTATGCTTTTAGATGGCATATTTCACACCATATATTCATAATGTGTTAACATTGTGGCCATATCTTGTCATGAGTTTTTGTATGGGGAGAAAAATGAAAAAACTCACCAATCAAGTTTTTAAACAAATCTTCCTGCAAGCTTTATTTTCCTGCTGAAAATTTTTGGATTTTTAAGACAACATTGCTGATACTACAGATACTATGTCCAGATCTGTAGGGATGGTTTTGACATCCTAAACAGTCCTATAGTTTTTAGGAGCCTGAGAAGTTCCAATTGTACAGTTTAGAGACATTTTCAAAATGCAAGAGAATCTCTAAGAATAGTGTGACTTGTTTGATTCTCACAGGGAAGCAAACTATTCAGGATGCTCAGAATCTTTCAGATAATTTGGAATAGACTGCATACTACTCTCATTGCTTTAACATCCCGTCAATTTTACCACTAGTAACCTGATGTACACTGCTTTATTTTTTCCTCTTTTTTTGCCTCTATTTTCCTTGTGCCCCTCCCTCCCCCTTTTGCTTTGTAACTCAATAGAGGTGCCCCAGCTCACTGACCTAAGCTTTGTTGATATAACCGATTCAAGCATCGGCCTGCGGTGGACCCCCTTAAACTCCTCCACCATTATTGGGTACCGCATCACAGTAGTTGCGGCAGGAGAAGGTATCCCCATATTTGAAGATTTTGTGGACTCCTCGGTAGGACACTACACAGTCACAGGGCTGGAGCCGGGCATTGACTATGACATCAGCGTTATCACTCTCATTAATGGCGGAGAGAGTGCCCCTACTACACTGACACAGCAAACGGGTGAATGTTGAAAACTTCTGTGTTTGAGACACGGATGGTGTTGCATGCTGCCACCAGTCACTGGTTAAATATGGATGTTTCCATGGGGAAGTCAGCCATTTGCCAAAGATTAAGAGAAGATGGTTTGGGGGAGTAAGGAATCCAATGCAGATGCTAAACTGATCGGGCGAAGACCTAATCAAGCAGTCTTTAGTAGACTTTCATTCAAAGCACAAATATGTATAAAGCTAACAAAATGTCAGTATCTGATCTACAAATACAAATTTTAATTGAATTTCCAGACCTGTGATTTTTTAAATGATCTAACCTGAATGCCAAATTGTATCATGAGCACCAGTTATTAATAAGAAAGTACTTCCAAAATTTACCATTATGTGCTTCCTTCTGTCTACTCTTGATCAATACTACCATATTCCTTCTTTGTAGCTGACTAAAAACCCATGGAAATTTAGGGTAGAATGGAAAGGGGTTGTTTTGAGATAGAGAAAAAACAAAACAAAACCACAAAACTTTGGCACACTCTAAGTTCTATTGCTGTGGCGAGGTAAACTCCTCTTTAACCTCAGCCTGGGGCGAGCATGCAACATTATAAACGTTCTCTGCCCTGCATGGTAAGGAACATGCTGAGAACCCATTTGCATGAACCCTCTTCACTTGTGAGCAGTAGTTATGGAATGGAATTGTAGCTCTCATCCTCTCCCGTCAGGGGGACAGATAGGACCCTGTCTTCCTTTTGTCTGTGTGCATGTGTTTCTTTGGACAGTACTGCTATGTTTCTCTGCTGTGTGGCAACTTGAGCCTCTTCAGCCTGGGATAAAATAATCTTCAGTATTTAAAAGCAACATATGCGGATGTCAATTAAAATTATTGTTTAAGTTATATTGATGGCAGAAAGGTGAAAGGGGCCTAACAGTACTAGGTGTAGTGTTTTATTTTTAACAGTACAATTGACCCTTAAACAATATGGGGATTAGGAGCACTGACCGCTACACAGTTTGTATAACTTTGGATACCCTCAAAACTTTATTATACTAATAACCTACTGTTGACTGGAAACCTTACTGATACCATAAACAGTCAATTAACGCATATTTTGTATGTTATACAAATTATATACTATATTCTCACGGTGAAGTAGACTAGAGAAAAGAAAACGTTAAGAAAATTATAAAGAACAGAAAATAGATTTACAGTATTTTTAAAAACCTAGACAGACCCATTCAGTTCAAACCTGTTTTGTTCAAGGGTCAACTATAGTTTACTCTCATTTAGATTAGATTTAGATTAGACTATGCATGATGATGACTTGTTTCCTTTATGCATGAAATATTGTTTTTACCTTTCCAGCTATTCTGTTACCTTTCATTTAAAAATGATAGTAACTTAGTCTCCCTCCTTATTTGAAACCAGCTGTCCCTCCTCCCACTGACCTGCGGTTCACCAATGTTGGTCCAGACACTATTCGTGTCACGTGGGCCCCGCCTCCATCCATTGAATTGAGCAACTTCCTGGTACGCTACTCACCCGTGAAAAATGAGGAGGATGTTGCAGAGCTGTCCATTTCTCCATCAGACAATGTGGTGGTCTTGACAAGTAAGAGCTCAAATATTTCTGTTCAATCAATACCAAGCATGAGGAAAGAATTCTCAGTTCTCAAGTGGGAGCAGATAAGATCAAAACAGCTACAGTAGAAGTACAAATTAAAGTCCAAGTCTGACCTGAGGCTTTGTCAATTTTGAAAGATGTCATGTTTATTGTTATTTTAATACGTCTTTCATATCTACAACTTTAAAAAAAAAATCATAGTAGAAAACACCAGCAATGAAGTTGAAAGACAGAGCATTAAAACATGCTCTGCTTCCAAATAAGCACATTAAAATAATGTATGTCAAGAGAAATTATATGACTAACTTTGAATGTTTGGAGAGAAAATGAGGATTGAGAATAATATCACTGTAGCTATTTTATTCTCTTTTTTGTTCCCTAAATGTCAGCAGGCAGTCTGTTTAGCATCTGAGAACATGGGACAGTGACTGGTTACTCAGGATAGATCAGGATGCTCTTTGAAGAAAGAGCCAGTTTGATTTGTACTTCAGAAAGAATCTGTTGGCAGGATTTCTCAGAAGGCTGGGGACTTAAGAAAACTACTGACATGAAAATAAACAACAACAACCATTTATGGAAACTGCCTCTTTTCAGTTTCTACTCTTTTGAAATAGATATCTTTTATTAAAGAAAATATAAGAGGGCTGCAACATGGTGCTGTGTTTCAAGTAAACGTTACTTTTCACTATTTTCACTGTACTAGTTAAAAGATGTACATAAGAACAGCCAACGTTGAGACATAGTTCATATGTAGGCCCATTACCAAACGGTGGTCTGAAAACATTCTCTGTGTTTCAGACAAAGTATGACCATAGTTTTGGTTTCTCATTTCGTGGCTGAGGGCATGAGCTTCCCTGTTTCTATCTTTCAGCAGGAAGGTTGTTTTGATCTAGAGCGCTGGATCAGTAGCTATAACCTCACCCAATGCAGAAGCCTCGGCTTCAGGACCACCATCTGCCCCATCTTAGCCACAGATCTGTCACATGTCCATCCTGTGTTCTAAGACCTCATTCTAGATCTCAAGGTAGCCAGTTTTCCCTAGAGCAGCCGTCACCAACCAGTGGTCCTTGGATCACTGGTGGTCTGTGAGGTCTGAAAGGTTGGCTATTGCTGCCTTAGAGTAGCCATTATATCCTGTTTTATAGATGAAACAACAGAGGTGCCCAGAGTTTAAGTAAATTGGCCCTGGCCAAGCAGAAAGGAGGATAGTGGAGTTGAAGCTCCATCGGGGACCTCTGCAGAAATGCTGAAGGGGAGTTGATATGGAGGGGAATGGGGGTTATTGAGTAGGAGGTCAATGGTTAGAAACCTTACTATGGACCTTTTTCGTTCCTCAAAATGAGAAGATATCCAGGAATGTATATTTAAATTTTTTAAGTGTCTGTTCTTACCTTAATACGGCAGAACCAATCACTTTCCCTTTGGGATATGCCTCTCCCAGTGAAGGTTAATTGTTAAGACCATGGGTCATGGTCTGGGTCAACTCCTGTAGGATCTTGGGCAAGGATATCAAAGGAGATCACTTCTTTATGCCTCACTTTTCTTATTTGTAGAGTGGGAATAATTATAAGCCTATCTTTGGGAGGTAATGGATTCGTTCAATATCTTTAATGTGGTGATGGTTTCACAAGTGTATACATATGTCAAAGCCTGTCCAACTGTACATTTAAAATATATGTAGTTTATTATATGGCCAGAGAGCTGCTTTAAAAAAGTAGCAGACGGCCTCACTGGGTTGTTCTGAGTAAATGATCATCTACAGTGCCAAGGTCATTGTCAGCACATGACCCCAACAGACGTACTATGAAGTGGATGATAGTAATATTACTGTGCTACCACAACTCCATGGTATTGCAGATCGGGCTGAGTCCCACTCATGGAGGTGGAACAGAGGCCGGGGTTTAGAGATGCTACCATTCCTTATCACCCAGTGGCAGCCCCATCTCCGGGCAGCCACCCACATTTACGTAGGAATAAGTAGGCTATCGGGCTGGACTCTTGGATATTTTGTAAATTGACATAGTCCCAGGGGTGCTTTGGTTTTTGATGCTTTCAAGGACAGTTTTAAAGTCCCACTTGCCTCCTCAGATCTCCTGCCTGGCACAGAATATTTGGTCAGCGTCTCCAGTGTTTATGAACAACACGAGAGCACACCTCTCAGAGGAAGACAGAAAACAGGTGAGTCATGTTGGCAATATGCTTATGAAGTAGTGTTCACCGACCAACTTGAAATAACAAAAATGGAATACTCCTTCTAAAAATAACGTCTCCATCTGTTGTGGTGGTGATGGTGGTGCCCATAGCCTTGTCATTACTTTGTGATCACTGGTCTTGAAAATTAAAAGACACCTTATTCAACTATTACCCTGACTTCCTGCCACTAAGATTCTGTTCTCTGCCGAAACCGGTTTGGCTCAATGGATAGAGCATCGGCTTAGGGACTGAAATATCCCAGGTTCGATTCCGGTCAAGGGCATGTACCTTGGTTGCGGGCATATCCCTAGTAGGGGGTGTGCAAGATGCAGCTGATCGATGACTCTCTCTCATCGATGTTTTTAACTCTCTATCTATTTCTTCCTCTCTGTACAAAATCAATAAAATATATTAAAAAAAAAAAAAAAGATTCTGTTCTCTGTTTCCAGAGAACACTGAAAAGTTCAGAAACTTTGTTGTCTATCTTTCTAAAAACTCTCCCATGAAGAATATCTCATAATGTCTATTATTTAGGCATTGTAAACATTCCTTCTCTTTAGGGAACTCCATCTAATGGCTGACCTAACACTGTCATTGTCATATTTTCCCTGTTTAACTAAGATAAACAAGTTTATATCTTTTTTTCTACTTTATTAAATCTTCATTTACCATAAAAACAAAGTTGAATGAATCCCATAACATGTCCTTTCTTAAAGGTTACTTTTTTAATTGTTCCCTTTAAAAAAGTGCAATGCAATATATCCACTAATTAATTCATTACAGTCCACTTGCTTCCAAAAAGGTGTTATAATATCTCTTTTGGTTTGATTATGTTACCTGATAGAATAAATGAATGTTTTAACTGAGACAAATTTGTTGGAATTCCCAGAGAGGTCACACGATTTAAATTTGAGATAAATTTCAAATTCTCTCTGATTTTTCTGCATTGCACTAAATTGCAATTCATGAGAAATTACTTGCATTGCAACTTGTCTAGAATAGTGTCTTAGTTTTAGAAACTTTCATGTTGGACATCATCCTTACCTGTTGACATATCAATTTCCTCTTGAGTGTAGAAAGCTTTGAGAGCCAAACACTTAACTCAAGAGTGGGAAGACCTTCTCATTTTCAGAGATACATTTACAGGATAGAAACACAGACTACTGAATGCTAAAAAATTTAAAAATATCAATTTTCAGAATATCTTCAACACCTTTTCTTCAATAGCATGTAGAAACCTCCTGTAATGACACTTGGAATGCTTAACAAAAGAACAAAGAAAAGAATGCTTGAGTTGGCCATTTTGAACTGAGTCATTTATGATTTTGAAATTTATATGTGGCTTAGAATCAGTCCATCATAACCTGAGTTTATGGCACTTCCTTGTGATTTAAAAAAAACAAAAACATACAAACAAACAAAAAAAACACCCAGAAACATCAGATGTATGTTACTTTCCACCATTTTCTCACTTTGTAATCTGGTGGTGTTTTTCCCCCCATCTTCCTCTCTCTCTTTTTCCCTCCTGGGTGGGAAAAACAGGTCTTGATTCCCCAACTGGCATTGACTTCTCTGAAATCACTGCCAACTCTTTCACGGTGCATTGGATTGCTCCTCGAGCCACCGTCACTGGCTACAGGATTCGCCATCATCCCGAACGTGGTAGTGGAAGACCTCGAGAAGATCGAGTGCCCCCGACTCGGAATTCCATCACCCTCACCAACCTCAGTCCGGGCACAGAATATGTGGTCAGCATTGTTGCACTCAATGGCAGAGAGGAAAGTCCCTCATTGGTTGGTCAGCAATCAACAGGTAACTTGTTTTCTGGTCTTCAAGGAAACTCAGAGGACTTTTCCTAAGCACGTGGTATATTCTGTGAAAGAAGTTGGTGTAATCTATGTCATCATCTCTTAAAAATCAGATCATGTTATGAGACATAGGGAAGTAAGAGAAAATCATGGCGAAAAATCTCCTTCTTAGAGTACATGAGAGAAGATACTTTTTTTATTCTAAGAAATTTCGCACCTGATTGAAGCATTTTTAATAGCTGCAGTTTTATTCAAAATATAGAAAACACTTTCAAAGTTCTCTTAAAATCATGATTATTTTAATGTAATAGTGTCAAAGTTCTCGATAGATGCTGAAGTACTTAAGGGAGCATTATCATGATACTTGTACCCTAGTCTCAAATGTTACCAATTACCAAATAACTAAAGGGGATATGAGTGTTCATTATATTATTTTTGTGGCTTTTTTGTTGTTTTAAATTTTTTCAGAAAAGCAAGTTTGAAGGGGGGAAAGAAACATTCAATAAATTTGAAATAATCATTTTATTAGAATTTGCATTGACGCCTTAAAACCTCTTACCTTTTTTCATAATTTTTAATTTTGTACAGTACTTACACTACTATATTTAAAAAAAACACAAGAAAAACCTCAGGATTATCTGGAAAATGAACAAAGAGTGAATCTGGGCATTGTTTGAAAGTTACGGATGTGAGAACTTTCCTTTGCTTTTTCTAGTTTCTGATGTTCCACGGGACCTGGCAATTATTGCCACGAACCCCACCAGCCTCCTGCTGAGCTGGGAAGCTCCCCCCGTCACAGTGAGGTATTACAGGATCACCTATGGAGAAACAGGTGCGTCAGTCACATGCTACTTCCCATGTAATCAGGTCAGAGCCTGGAAACCCAACCGGGAACACACAGTTAACGACAGCGTGGCAAGTGCATTCAGCGGAGCCTTGTCTTTCCCAAGAATATGTGAAAAATATTCGTAAAATAATCGATAGCAACATCGGGAGAAGGCGTTGTTTGTATAGTCCTGGAGGGGGACTGGTGGAGCCGAGGAAGAGAGGATTGCAGATTCACATACCTAGTGTCAGCAGTGAAGTGATAAAGGATTTGTATTTTTCTTTTTACTTTGTATTTCAAATAATTTTATTTAACATGGATATATTCTATTAAATTTTTGAAAAAGGAACACAGCTCATGCAATCCTGGGTGGAGGATGTACCTTCTTCTCCCTTCTCACGTTAATTTACACTTCTGACTTTTTTACAACTGGAAGGTTAAAAAAGCATTAACCGCAGTATTCTCCCAGTGTTCATGAACTCATGAAGGTTTATTGCGTGCATAAGTAGAGTTTTTTGTTCAAACCCTATTAAGAGCACCTTTTGAAAGGGTCACTTGCAGGCTGCTCTCAATATGGTAATGCAGAAACTCGGCAATCCCCACGTTTCTCTCAGCCCCTCACACTTTCACTAACTTCTTTCCAAACAGGAGGACATGGCCCTGTCCAGGAGTTCACTGTGCCGGGGAGCAGGTCTACAGCAGAAATCAAGGGCCTTACCCCTGGAGTAGACTACACCGTCACTGTGTATGCTGTCACAGGCCGCGGGGACAGCCCGGCAAGCAGCAAGCCAGTTTCCATTAATTACCAGACAGGTATTGGCTCCCCTGGGATGAAGAACACCTCCTGTCGATAGTTTTTAACCAAACAGACAACGAAATGGCCACGAAGGCAGGGGTTTTTGTCTGTTTTGTTAATTGACGTATTCCACATGCCTACGATAGTGACAGACATAGAGGTTGTTTCATAAATATGTTTGAATGAATGAATGAATGAATGAATGAAGCGCTAAGAAGATCAACACCTAACTCAGCATAGAGTTTTTGTGTGAATGAAGCAGCCATCTTGAAAATAGGTCATGGTATCCAGATGCTTGCCCCACCTCCCAAAAGTTGTCTCTGTTTTTGCAAAAGAAATACTTGGGAGTTGCTAATCACAGGAGGGGATTGTCCTATACGTAGCAGAGCTGGAGGACTTGTTCAGTCTTGTTCTCATGGGCTGTGGCTTCATTGGTTTCTCCTCTTTTTTTTTTTCCCCCCCTAGGAATTGACAAACCACCACAGATGCATATCACTGATGTTCAGGATAATAGCATCAGTGTCAGATGGCTGCCCTCAAGCTCCCCAGTCACTGGCTACAGAGTGACCACTGTTCCCAAAAACGGCCGGGGACCACCCATCACGAAAACTGCAGGTCCAGGTAGGTGTTGCAGCATCTTACGTGCGCCAGAAAAAACGGGAGGTCCACACATTGTATTTTTTTAAAAAAAAAAACAGCCACCTACCTCCAAGTACTATGTATTCTTATATCATATGTTACAGTTCCCCCATTTGTGAATTCAGGTCTCAAGATTGTTCCTCCCTTTTCAGGAGAACTTTTTGGATAAGTGCATTTCTGTTTTTGCATGCACAGTCCTGCTTAATGGTGTGGACATCTTAAATTATGAGATCCACCTTCGTGGTTTTGCTCACTGTGTACACCAAGAAGAGAGAGATTGGCCTAACTGATTTTTTAAATATCCTTTAGCCCTTGTTTTTTTTTGTTGTTGTTGTTGTTTTGTTTTTTTTTCTTCCTATAAAATGTGAAATGTAGATCCTAAGGTAATATTGTTTTTTTTCAAATACAAGTAATAGTTTATTTAGAAAGTCACGGAGGTAGGAAAAGTGGGCTCAGGAAACAAGTTACAGAAGTCAAAAAAAATAGGGGGGCAGGGGCTTTGGATCTTAGGGGAGAGAGAAGCAAAGGTATTCACCATCAAGGAAGAAGTGGGGGGTGGGGAGGGAAGTGCAGATATTTCTACAGAAAGAGAGAGAACGCGCACCTTAAGGCAATATCTTAAAGTCAAGTTTTGTTGTTTTGTTGTTGTTTTTTTTTCAAAATTATTATAATTTATTGTTGGGGCATCATATTAAATTTTGGAGCTTATTCTTTAGTATGACTGTATTCCAATGTGATCACTTGTATTAGCAATGAACACATTTATCTAAGAGGCAATCCATCTCTGACTCCTCTATATTTCCTGATAAGTCTGCCAATGAAAATCTAGGTCACCACACATTTTTCTACCGAAATCCGAATGTCTGTTGGATGACAGTACAGCGGAATGATATAGATGCTGCATTTGCTTTTCACTCCCCTTGCAGATCAAACAGAAATGACCATCGAAAGCTTGCAGCCCACAGTGGAGTATGAGGTCAGTGTCTACGCTCAGAGTCCAAACGGAGAGAGTAAGCCTCTGGTCCAGACGGCCGTCACCAGTACGTAACCCATGCTCATCTTCCATTGTCAAAGTCAGATCTTGTTCGTAGGCTCCGGAATGTTTTCTGCATGTCATTTGCGATTATACATGGGGAAAGCCAACTGGTTGGTCAGTTTATATGTTGAGTTGAGCCCTTTACAAGCATAATTTTTCTTCCTAGTTCCAAACAATGAACATATAGGGAAAGACGTGTAGCCACCATAGTTGGTTGCTGTGCTTTAAGTTTCTTTTGCCTAAATGGCCTCAGCAAAAGCTTATTTGCCTATTGCACATGTACAGAATGTTTGGCCAGCAACGTCTTTTCGACAGCAGGATGGTGAAGTTGATTGAAGTCTTTCTTATGAAGCTGGTATGTTTGGAACATTTGCAGGACTGCGGCTGCACCAAACTTATTAAAGAAGGATCATAAAAATCTAGATCTAACATTGAATATCAATTTTACCATTCGTAGAAAACCCAGGTCCGTGAGACTGACATCACATTGCAAAATTAAGTTATGGTACAAAATCTTTAAATCAATGCACATCAATCCTCTCTGAGAGGACACTTTGCAAGGGTCTATACATCCCGTGTACACCTGTTTTAATAAGTGATGTAACATCAAAATCAAAAATACTTCAACGGGTTCAGGTAATTTTCTCTGTAATAGTGGGTTGATTGGAATTTAATTCATCCAAGAGAATGGTATCTGCAAAACTGCTTTGCATGTTATAAAAAAAAAAAAATGCTTATTTCACAACTTGCTTTTCACATAACCTCTTACCATTAATTTGCCTAACAGACATTGATCGCCCTAAAGGACTGACATTCACTGAGGTGAATGTCGATTCCATCAAAATTGCCTGGAAAAGCCCACAGGGGCACGTTTCCAAGTACAGGGTGACCTACTCGAGCCCTGAGGATGGAATCCATGAGGTCTTCCCTGGTGCTGAAGAAGAAACTGCAGAGCTGAAGGGCCTCAAGCCCGGTTCTGAGTACACAGTCAGTGTGGTTGCCTTGAACGGCGATAAGGAGAGCAAGCCCTTGATTGGAACGCAGTCTACAGGTATATCGTTCATTGCACCACTGGGTGCTCATGGGAGCAGAGGCTTTATGCCCTGCTGAATGAATTTGTCAGGCTGTTGATTTCCATGTAAGGGGGTAAAAAAAAAAAAAAATTGCCTCTGTTAGGAAGGCCCTCTTTACGGGGAATAGTAGTAAACAATGAAGTTTAGGTGATCTTTAAATCAAGTCTAATACGCGGACATTTTGGAGTAGCTTGGCTCATCAACAAGGCCATAAGGTGAGACGTTTCAAAATAATTCTAAAATTTTGGATTATTTTCTGAGCCATGCCTCCCTGTGGCTGTACTCACTGTGAATAAAGAAAAGGAGTATGGCATCCTAGAGCTTACTCTGAAAAAGGTAGCCAAAGTGAGCCATTTCATAGCAGCATATTTCTGAGAACTCGTGGGTAAGACCTTCTTTCTCTGGTTAGACAGTCGTGTGCCCGGTGAATAATTTGCTTAAAAGATTGGGAACCGGACACATAGGGCAAATGCTTTCCACAATACTTTATCTTCTTGTGCTTTGTTTCTGAAGCACAGGGGCATGCTAAAGATGTGTCCCTGTGACAGCATAAACCCTGCAGGTGACAATCTGTGTTATTGCTCTTTGCTTCTCTTTGCTGCTTCTGTTATGATCCAATTTTCTTATGCTGCACCACAGAGAATACTTCAAATTTAGCAGTAATATCTGCCACAGGGTCCAAATAAAGCAAATCAAAACATAATTCTAACTTTGGGGGAATGGAATACTCTGGAAAATGGATTTCCATACAAGGATAATTTATATCGGAAGAGGGCTATTGCTCATCTTTCCATACAAATGAAAAATCAATCTCAAAGGCCTACATCAATCATTCTGACTTTTCAAAAAAAAATGTTTAAGGGAGAGCAAAAACATCTTCTACAACCTAAAGTCTCAGAATCCTGACACTTACCTGTGTTTCGAGTGATTCTGAACATTGGTGGATATAAAACATGCTTTCAGCAAACATTTTCTTTCATTTTGCATTCCTTTCTCATACTAAACCTTTGAACAGGGAACTCACCTAACCCAAACCAAGCACAATCTGTTCTACCACTTGGGACTCACTTTACTGTCCGTTTTCCCCATTTCCTATAAGATAACCTCTAACCAATGACCCTCCTGACAGCCATTCCTGCACCAACCAATCTGAAGTTCACTCAGGTTACCCCAACAAGCCTGACTGCCCAGTGGACAGCCCCCACTCTTAAGCTCACTGGCTATCGGGTGTGGGTAACCCCCAAGGATAAGACGGGACCAACAAAAGAAATCAACCTTGCTCCCGATAGCACATCTGCGGTTATCTCAGGACTCATGGTAAGAAGTGCGCTTTTTCCTTGGAATATAGAACTAGGCCATCTCTTACACAGTTTAAGGTGGTAGAAATATATCATATTTAAATCTAATTATTTTCTTGGCCCCTGCCATCAAAAACTTTTATTGTGATTTTGTATCAGTGTTATAAATAGCTTTGGATTTTGCACCGTTCTTTAAATGTATTCTGTTCACTTTAAAAGGGTATGTGTGGGTGCAGGGGGCAATTTAGAGTCAGGTTGACTGCATATATCTTCTTCAGTTATTATACATTTTCTGTGCTGTTACCTTGGCGAGGAATATTCTCCAGCTTGTACCAACCCAGCCTGACCCTACCTTCATAGAATCACTTTTAACCCTTCTGGACTTGCATGCAAAAAACTAGCCAGTAACCTAGGAAATTGATATACATTTAACAGAAGTCCAGTTCCAGAAAAAACTATAGAAAGAGGGTTCAGAGGTAGCGTAGTGTCTCTACAACTCTATGATCAGAAAAATTCACAGTTTATTCTCGTCTGTTCATGAAGAAACAGGCTAATATCCATTTTCCTCATTTTGTATCAGCTTAGTATAAGTATGTCAGTTATGGCTTACTTGGGCTTTCCCCCTATGGGCATTTTAAAATTGATATAATTTAAATTTGCTGTTGATCACCTGTAGTGCAGGGATGAAATTAATCTATTATAGGAATGATAGTGCTGTAGGTTTTGTTAGTTTATTTATTTTTCTTTTATAACTATGGCATCTTTCTAATGCTGCAGTGAAAATCACTGGGCTTCTGGTTGCTGAAGCTTACGTGCCCTTCTTTCTAGGTGGCCACCAAATATGAAGTGAATGTCTACGCTCTTAAGAACACTTTGACGAGCAGACCAGCTCAAGGAGTTGTCAGTACCTTGGAGAGTGAGTGATCAAACTTTTAAGTATCAAAAAACATTCTGTATAAACTAAAATTAAAGAATGCTAAATAGTTTTATAGACCACTAATTTAACAATGGAGTGATTCCCAATCTGGGAATTGATTTGCTCACCCATCTTTTTTACTTAACTACTGGTGCCTTTGGTGTTATGAACAAAGACTAGTTTATGCTCTACTTGTTGGAATTTGTTTCCATAGTGTTAAGTTTGGGGAGTACATGCTGCTTTGTACTATATGTTAATAGTGCAGTAGTATCGGAGCAAGTTGGGTCCAGATTCTAGTTTTCTGCCATATCAATGAAGTCCCCGTATATTCTTTCAGAAATCGTATAAAATGTCAATGTTTCCTTATCTATAAAATAAGGATAGCATTGTATTTGTTGAGAGAGAAAAAATATGAAGCCCTAAGAAATGACAAAATACTAGCAATGCATATATCTATCATTGCTGGCTGACCGTATTATCCTAACTCCTACTACACATATTTTACATTTTAATAAGTTAATAATTTTCACCTTTATTGAGGGATTTGTAGATGCTATAAACCAGCCTTGGGAACCACTGGTAGTATATCTTAACAAGCTTTTCAGTTCTTCCAAAAAGAGAAGGTGAATATTTTTATATTTCTAATTATTGTCAACCTTTGTTTCTGGCTGCCATAGGGGAAGTGTTCTATATTGTCATGTGTAGAAATAGATATATTTTTTGTATAATAAGGAAACATTTAAAGTAAAATATCAAAGCCTTCCCCATATAAGCACTAATCTCAGCCTGTGATCCCACGCAGATGTCAGCCCTCCACGAAGGGCCCGCGTGACAGATGCCACTGAGACCACCATCACCATTAGCTGGAGAACCAAGACCGAGCCAATCACCGGCTTCCAAGTTGATGCTGTACCAGGAAATGGCCAGAGTCCAGTTCAGAGAATGATCAGCCCCGATGTCAGAAGCTACACCATCACAGGTAAGGACACTCACTGTGCGGACCGTACTTCAATGCTGCTCACAACATCCACTAGTTCAGTAGTTAGTCCAGCACTTACAGGATTAAATTATTTCTAGAGCTTTATGATAAACCAGCTCTGTTCTTTAAAACTTATTTTCAAACAATAATCAGAAATTGGTTTGTCCTGTGAATGCCTGATTTTATCTAATGTTTGCCAGAGAAATGGCACAAGTTCCATTAATCATTTTGATTTTTAATCATTGTACCCTTTCTTGTATTAAAAAATTGTAACGTAATGCTTACAATGAAAAGTAACTAAAGTGATTCAACATTAACATCAATGATATAGCGTAATTAAATTTTAAAAAAATCAAACAACACTATCAAGATTAAAGTTGTTTTTAGAGAATGTTCAATATCTGGGTTAATTCAGCTCTTTTTGAGATTTAAAATTCTGATTCTAGTTACCAATCAAAGACCATCTGATTATGATAAAGAGAAGACACTCAATAGGTACTTGCCCCTCATTCTCTAAGAATATAGGATTGTTATATTCTCAAATTTATTTTAGCCAGCATGTTGGTATGCATCAGTGATTTTTTTTTTTTTGAGATACATTTCTCATTTACAGTTTTTACCCATATCATGCTCTAAATATATTGTTCAAATATAAACCACTTCTGTTTCATATAAATATGTGAGAGTAAAGGAACCATGAAAATTGCAGATGAGTTGAAACGTCCTAGTGAATCAAGATCAGATCAAAATTGTCTCTTCGCAAATCCCAGGCTTACAACCCGGCACTGACTACAAGCTCCACTTGTCCACCCTGAACGAGAATGCCCGGAGCTCCCCTGTCATCATCGACGCCTCCACAGGTAACTATACTTTTACTGAAGACATGCCACTCACTTGTCTGTGACCAGGCATGTGAACTTAAGAAACAAAAATGAGGCTGCTACTTTTGTATTCTAGATCACAGTGGATCCTTTATACAGTGTACAGAGCCCTCAGGTTCTCTCGAGTCTGTTTTTAAGGCTGGAAAAGAGTGTGGGAGTGATATTCTTGCTCATTCATTTTCTTAGAGACTTAATTTTGATTTCTTTTAGCCATCGATGCACCATCCAACCTGCATTTCCTGGCCACCACACCCAACTCCTTGCTGGTAGCATGGCAGCCACCCCGAGCCAAGATTACTGGTTACATCATCAAGTATGAGAAGGCTGGGTCCCCTCTCAGAGAAGTGGTCCCTCGGCCCCGCCCTGGTGTCACAGAGGCTACTATCACTGGTATTGCTGCTTCCATGCTGTCATCCTCTCCTTACTCCCTGGGACAGAAAGGGCCTCGCAGACTCCAGCTGCATCTTCGGGGTCATACCATGAGAACGAGAAGTCCAAAGAGCATTCTTGGTGTAGGAGCTGTAGAGCTCAGTACTTCCCAAAAGGCATGAGTCCATGTGAAGGAAGTAGTTTCAGTACTGACCTAATGGCTGAACATCTTTTTATTTGCTCTATATTTGCTGGATACTGGTCAGTCCTAGAAAAATACATGATTCAGGGCAAACTAGCTCGTTGAACCCTCTTCTCTCTCACCTCCCTCAAGATCTGGTGATCTTGCGGGACTTGCCAGGGTGCCACCTGCCCTCGCCCCTCATTATCCACTTTCACAGGATAGGTCTTGAGGCCAAGTAATGCCCAGCTTCCCATATTGGAGAGAATGCCTGGCCTGGGGACTAGGCGTTGTCCATCTCGGTAGGAAACATCAGAAGCCTCTGGTATTATTTTTCTCCCAGAGATTACATTTTCTAACTGTGTATAAGGTGTTGTCTGGGCTTTCAAATCCTATAGAACACAAAGGTACCCGAAACAGACACTGTATTTTTAAGAAACTTTGAGGCCAGGAAAACAGAATTTGATATGAGAGGAGTTGAACTGGATACTTCCTCTAGGGACCCCACAAAGATTGGTCATTCTCTCCTTCACAACCGTTACCTGTCCTCTGACTTTGCATTGATCCTGTCGCTGAGGGCCATCTGATTATTAGGCTTAATTAAGCACCTTCATGGGTACTGTCTGCCACTGTCTTTCCCAAATGTCTACTCCACAATGCTGAAAGATTTTTTTGCAATTCAGAAAGCAAAATAAGATCACGTGCTAAAAGAATGCCCAGGAAAATTTAGCATGAAAATGCTTATTCAGCTGCCAAGTTTGATAGTGAGGTCGTTAATTGGTTTAGTGGCCATCGCATGCACAGCATTTGGGTGTTTATGGGAGGAAAGGAAGTCAGTTTTAGTTTCCAGCAGGACAGTGGGCAGAGGACAGAGGATGCTTGCTCTCAGGGGTGATTCCCAGTGAGATCTATTTCCACTTGACAAGCGGAGCCCACAGATGTCACATGATGATCTGTCCTTCAGGTCTGGAGCCAGGAACCGAGTACACAGTCCACATCATTGCCCTTAAGAACAACCAGAAGAGTGAGCCTCTGATCGGGAGGAAAACGACAGGTAAAGAAAGAGTGCCTTCTGGAGAACCTGGAGACGGTCAAGGGAAAACCAGTGACAAACGTTTACTAATCACAAATTTTGCGATGCAAAGGTTCTCCAGGTTTCGATGCATTTCTCACGGAACTTTGTTTTTCTAACAGCGCAGCGTCTGTGCTGTGCTCTTTGATAGCAGGGATGGTAACCTAACGTAATCTGTGAGTTCAGCCTTATTCTTTCCTTAGCCAGTCAAAACAAAGCCTTTGAGTCGCCTTTAAACATTTCTAAACAGATCTGGAAATGTACAAGTGAAATGGCTACCGCTGCTATTTGTCTCTTCCTTTTGTTGATGTTAAAAATGTTTAAGAAAAAAAAAAGTTGGGAGAAAATTCCCTATTGGTCTTTATTACTTGATTTCTGAAACTTGCAGCCAACAAAATGTCTTACTTTTTCCACCCAATTTCAGTTTAATTTGAAGAAAGTGCTATTATATATGTATGCTTATAGGAAAGTAAAAATGAACATGTATGCATTTAACCTATTTCTACCATTTCAAACCATTGACCCAAACCTCTGGAATTCTCCTACTTCAAATGCTGATATAATTAATGTGCATTTTAGTCCTTAAACTCGATTCTCAATTGAAAAAAAAAGGGGGGGGGGAGGGGCTGCATATTTATATTCCATTAGACTTATTTTGAGCAGAGGCAGCTTCTGTGGGGCTCAGCGGTCTGAAGCTTTGTATGATAAATTCATACTAACACTTTTTCCATTTTAAACTCTAAAGCGTGGGTGGGGAATGTTTTTTATGCCAAGGGCCATATGGAACATTATTCGAGGGCCATACAAAATTATCAACTTGAAAAATTGGCCTATTATATTTGGTCAACCATTTAATTAAGCCACCCCCATTGCCTTGGCAGGGCCAGACCACATGATTCCACGGGCCTGACTCGGCCCATGGGCCGGATGTTCCCCACCCCATCTCTGAAGGAATCTTTTGAGGGGAAAAATCATTAAGATTTCTTTTTGGAAAAAGTGTTTTGTGACCTAAGAACTGCTAATTTTCCAGGGGCTTTGATCAAATCGATAAACAGTCATTGTTGCCTGAGTTGATGATGACTATTGCTGGTACTTCGGGGAGCTTTTTAACAAGCTTTGCTTTTTTGGCTCTAACCTCTCTTTGGCTAGATGAGCTTCCCAAACTGGTAACCCTTCCACACCCCAATCATCATGGACCAGAGATCTTGGATGTTCCCTCCACAGCTCAAAAGACCCCTTCTGACAACATTCCTGGCACTGCAGGTGGGCAGCCCAATGATGCTCGACAAATGATCTTTGAGGAGCATGGATTTAGGCGGACCACACCACCCACAATGGCCACCCCTGTCAGGCCTAGGCCAGGTCTGTATCCACCGCATGTAAATGCGGTGATCCAAATTGGTCATGTCCCCAAGAGGGGTGTAGACCATCACCTCTACCCTCTCCCCTCATGTTGTGGGACTCAAACCAAATGCTTCTACAGGACAAGAGGCTCTCTCTCAGACAACCATCTCTTGGACCCCACTCCAGGAAAGCTCTGAGTATATAATTTCATGTCATCCAGTTGGCACTGATGAAGAAACCTTACAGGTATTTAATGGCTTTTCTCTTTACTCCTGACTGGGAAGCTGGGAAAGGAGCAAGCTAGACAACAGAAGTGAGCAAAACTCCCATATCAAGTGGCTGACATTCCAGGACCTCTTAGCTCATTCGATTTAAGCCCCTAATATATATATTTTTTCTTTTTCATCTCAATGTGCTACTACTTTTGGGTGGGGGTTGGGGGGAGTGACATTCGTTTTTATTTAGCAGAAAGAATGAAACCCTCTCTTAGTTTCTTTTTTTTAAAATCTCTATATTTTATTGATTCTTTACAGAGAGGAAGAGAGAGTTAGAAACATCCGATGAGAGAGAATCATAGATCAGCTGCCTCTTGCACACCCCCTACTGGGGATGTGCCCGCAACCAAGGTACATGCTCTTGACCGGAATCGAACCTGGGACCTCTCAGTCCGCAGGCCGACGCTCTATCCACTGAGCCAAACCTGCTTCGGCAGTATTCTGTTTAAGTCTGTGCTCATAAGGGCTGACACACCATCCTATGGTTTGTCCTTGAAGACTCCCATTATCTACGATAGGTCTGAGGAGAAAGAACTCAGGGGAAGCTGTGCATATCAGCTGTTGTAAGTGATTGATTCTCTAAAACTTCTGTTCTTTAATTTGTCTTGCTGGCATCAATTTTATTGTATTCTTAGTTTTAGAAAAGTGGCAGAATTTTAAAAACTGACTGCAACTGTGGAAGATTTATGAGCTTAGAAGCTTGAGTTGGAGGATTGTCCAAAGTGTCTTAAGGATCCCAGTGGGGGTCCGGATAGAGAGTTAGAAACATCGATGAGAGAGAATCATCGATCAGCTGCCTCTTGCACACCCCCTACAGGGGATGTGCCCACAACCAAAGTACATGCCCTTGACCGGAATCAAACCCGGGAGGGATGGATAAATCTCCCTGCAGTGCCCACCTTCTATGTGAAGGGGGCATGGCCAGGGTTTCCCGGGCTTGTGCAGACCTGCTGCTGCAGCAGCTGGAACAGAGACTGTCTCCCCAATTACTGAGGGCTCCTGGTGACTGTGGAGCACATGGGGTAGATTTTTGGCAGGATAGATTTTTGGCAGGTAGATTTTTGGCAGGATAGATTTTTGGCAGGTAGAAGTGTTGGCCATTCACCCCAAGTTCCATTTCCCTTCTTGGCTGTTACGGACCTTTTATCCCCTCTGCTTTCTTAGTGTCCCTTTATTCTATTTACACAGTGAGGGTTATTGATAAGCGCATAGGGAACGTTATAGATTCCTCTCTCTAATGCTTTCTCCTCTCCTTTGGATGTGCCAATAATGGTAGTTCCGAGTTCCTGGAACTTCTACTAGTGCTACCCTGACGGGTCTCACCAGAGGGACCACCTACAACATCATCGTGGAAGCAGTGAAGGACCAGCTGAGGCACAAAGTTCGGGAGGAGGTTGTTACTGTGGGCAACTCGGGTATGTGAACGCCTGAGCTACCCCGGCCCGGGCTCCCCTCGGGGGCGCTTTCTGCCCCGACTGCTCCGCTGCTGCTGCTGTCCTTGAGCTTTGGGAAGTAATGTTACACCGTGAAGTAAACGAGCAACTTTCCATTGAGTTACAGTGGAACCCCCTTTCTCAAACTGAGTTCGTTTCCCCCATTAGAAAGAATGTAAACTGACCCCCCATGATTTCCTGTCTTAATCTTTCTCCTATACAGTACATGTCTAATGTACTATTTATAAATGAACACTTTAAAAACAAAAAGGACATGAAATGTACATGAAAATTTAACAAAAAGGAAATGTATGGTAGGAAAATGGAAATGAAGCAATAATTTTAAGCAGCAAAATCAAAAACAAACAAAAACAAAACAAAACATGAGAATATTCACAGCACAATATCCTGAGGTTTTCACAGTGTTAAACTGACTCCCATGTGCGCCTTCCCCCCTCTGTCACCGGGGACGTGCGTGACTGATCAGACAGGCGTCAGTATGAGACGGTGGTCAGGTTGAGAAGTGAATTGTTCAATATGGGAGACATTTGAGAAACTAGGTTCCATTGTATTTCTCTAGTATCTTTGTAAAACACATACGTATCTGACAGAGGCACAAACTGGGACGTAATGATTGACCTGGCACAAGCTCAGATCCTTCGTCGGACACTCCCGAGTCCTCGCCAGTGAGTGCCTTTCTGAGCTGATACAGGGCACAGGTCCCCTGCCCGCTCTGCCCAGCCGTCTCCATGTCTCCATGTTGGAGTCCTCTTGAGTGATTCTTAACTACCTACCGGACCCGATGAGAGGGACTTCCCCACCCGTGGACATTACGGGCAGCTGGTGTTTGTTCCTCGTGTAAAATGCTACCAACACAGTCATTTCTGATTAAGGGCTTCCTCATTCATTGTGAGCTCTATTTTTTTAATTTTTTTTTATTTATTTTTTCTGATGACCCAGATCCAAAACCTCTGTCGAGGTTAAGTGGTCCTTGACTCTCTGCAACTCCCGGGACATCCTTTTAAACAAGTAGCGTGTCTGTCCTTGGGTTCTTCAACCTGCAGCAGCTGAAGATTCTCCAGGAAACATAAGATCGGGAGTAATCAAAACCCTGAGTCCTGAATCTTCCCGTCAGAGGGTGTCTTACCAGCAGGGAAGCGAAATCCTTCCTCTGCCCAGGACTGGCTTTTTTATTTTATTTTATTTTTAAAATATATTTTATTGATTTTTTTGCAGAGAGGAATGCAGAGGGAGAGAGAGTTAGAAACATTGATGAGAGAGAAACATCCGTCAGCTGCCTGTTGCTCACCCCCTACTGGGTATGTACCCACAACCAAGGTACATGCCCTTGACCGGAATTGAACCTGGGACCCGTTAGTCCCCAGACAGATGCTCTATCCATTGAGCCAAACTGATTAGGGCTGGCTTTATTTTTAGGGCCAAGGGACTTAGTCTCAGCATCCTTCCTCATCTGACGGTGCTGTTTACATGTATGAATGCATGTGAATTAAGCAGTTGCATAGCTGGCAGAAGATGGGGGACAGGGTGTTATTTGTGCTAGTTGTAGTGTATGCCCATGGTAACGCATGCCCTTTGCCTTGTGTAGTTTTACTAGCAGAATGCCACGTGAAAGGGATTTTTAAGAGCACAAAGGTCCTTGTGCTTTTCCACATCTTTTTTTTTTTTTTTAAGATTCCATCTCCCTAACTTTAGTCCGGTGGAATTTTGACGCCTGGCTATTTTTAGGAGGCTTAGTGAAACCCCTCGTAGCTGTTATACGTTCCTTCTATTTTTCTTTCCGCCTCCGTATTCCCAGAAGTGGCGTTCTGCATTCTAGCCAGGCTCTCCTGGCTGTGAAACAGACTTCAGTCTGCCCAGACTATTTTTTTCCAAGGTGTTGCCTTTAAAAATAGTAGGCACTTCAAATATCTATGGCTTTGGAGCTTTTGATTTTTGCATTGTAAACAGTGAGATTGCAGACCCACTGAGATGCAAAGACACAGAAGTTAGCTTATTTAAGTTTTAAAATAATGTGAAACATGCTTTGTTTGCATAAATTACTTTACAATAAGGTTTCCCCAAACACGAAGATCTAGATGTTGGCAACGTGAAGGGACTCCATTGCCGATTTCTAAGTCATTCATTTCTATTGCTTCCTCTTATCTGGAACAATTGATTTTGTTGATAAAAAGCAATCCTACCATTGCAATAATGTACAAAATGTCAAAGTTTAGCATTCTTTTTGCAAAACTTGCAAAAATAACGGTGAAGGTCACATTATAATGGAGTATTGCAGTGAAAACAAAAGATGCCCTCTGAAAATTATTCTTTATTTGGTGAGCCCATCCTAAGTGTTGGTAATGGACCAGTACTTTGAATTCATGAGCTCACCTGGCCTTCTCAAGATGCAGAGCAGGTAGAGATGTTTTGAGTATTATCCCCATAACACAGATCCCTATAATATAATAACTAGCTTAAGGGCAGCGGGTACTGATGGAGAGGTGTTCCCAGTCTTTGCATCTTAACTCGCTTAAACTGAGTCGAGATCCATTCTGTAGACTAGACTTACCAGAAAAGAATTTTTAGAACTGATGACCAAAATGAAAGATGGGTTTATTTTCAAGTGTCCACTGGCAGCATTTGAGTGTTGCTTATTAGAGCAGCCGCTACGCCATGGACAGGTGAATGCTGCTGAATGGTGCTGGAGCTTTTGGTCAGATTAAATCATTATGTGGGAAAGTCAGTTTTCTTCTTATCCTCCAAAACTGCCAATAAGATGTCTTTTTTATTGCCTCTCCCTCCTTTTCTTCACGCAGTTGACCAAACTACGGATGACTCGTGCTTCGACCCCTACACGGTGTCGCATTATGCCGTTGGACAGGAGTGGGAGCGGTTGTCCGAGTCTGGCTTTAAGCTCTCCTGCCAGTGCTTAGGCTTTGGCAGCGGTCACTTCAGATGTGACTCGTCTAGTGAGTAGCTTGCTTTGTCCATCCACTTGTCTGTCTCTCTCCCCCAGCCCCCACGCCTTCGCACAGTGTGCCAGGGACTCATGTTTGGCAGGCGCCGGCTCTTCCAAACATGAAGCAAACAGGGCGAGACTGCTTGACTCAAAGTAACATTTTGCATCATAGAAAAATGATGGGAAATTTTACTTGTGGAACATTGCTGATTTCAATTTTATTTTCACTGTCCTATGCCAATAGGACAGTGAAAATAAAATTTGTGGTGGTAATCTGATTAAACTCTTCGGTTAAGATACATGAGCTTAAGTCAAATTCTTTGGAGCCAGGTCAAGTGAGAGACAAAAGAAACCCCAAGTTTCTTTTAACCTTTAGTTTGAGTCAGCTCAGAGGTAAATATTAATGTTTACAAACACTCTTTTCTTTTCTTTTTTTTTTTTTTTAATAGTTTTATTTATTTCAGAGAGGAAGAGAGAGAGATGGAAACATCAATGATGAGAGAAGGTCACTGATTAACTGCCTTCTCCATGCTCCCCACTGGGGATGGAGCCTACAACCTGGGCCTGTGCCCTTGACCAGAATCAAACCTGGGACCCTTCAGTCTGCAGGCCGATGCTCTATCCACTGAGCCAAACCATCTAGGGCAACACTGTCTCAACATAAACCAAACAAACTTGTATTAGAGTATATACACATGCACACTCTCATATCACACATACATAAATGCGTACCAGGTAGTTTGAATCTTTCTAAGTAATGCAGGGAGTGCGAGGATATTATGTATAGATAATTAAGAATCTTTAATTAAAATTTATATAATTTTCAAATTATAAAGAGATGGTAATACATGAATTATGTTTTAGTTAAAATGATTTGATGAATTACTATATTTTGAGACTCAGTAGTAGAATTTATTAATGCTTTGTTTTTAGGGGATGTATTATTGATAATTGGTTCATTTTTATAGGTGTTCATCATTATGCCTTATAAATAAACCTTCTATAGACATAAAAGTAGTTCAGTTGCATAAATGAAAAAAATCGCCTAATATGTACAAACCTTGTAAACTATTTTTAAGTTTGTATATTTAGTGCCTATATAAAAGTTAGATGCAATTTTGAGTGCAGAGCTATAATTTGATTTATGTGGCTCAAATGACTTTTTTTTCCCCCCCTCAAATGACATATTCTTTGCTTACATGTCTTAACTGTTGATTAACTTAAAGTGTAAGGAATGACATCGATAGAATGGAAGTAATATATTGTTTTACAAACTTCTGAAGAGTGTTTTGTTTTGTTATGAACTGTGGAGATGAAAAAGTTAACTGTTATGTGTAGTACCCTGTTTCCCCGAAAATAAGACAGTGTCTTATATTAATTTTTTCTCCCAAAGTTGCGCTAGGTCTTATTTTTGGAGGATGTCTTATTTTGGGGGAAACACGGTAGTAAAGACGTATAACTGTGACCGTTAGCTCTCCTTAAAACCAGTCTTATTTTTAAGATAGTAACCAATGCTTTATCTATTGTTGGCTTTTTTATTTTTTTTTTTATATACAGGTTTGTTTTTCTCTTCTCATTTATAAGACACATATCATGGCATAAAGAAACCTGTTGATCTTTGTGGGAGTTTTTTTGGTTAATGGAGCTACTTTGTATCTGCAAATCCAAAGTGATTTTCTTCTCCTAAAATCCTCAAATCCTACGTTAGTTTTACCTTAATAATGAGGATTCAAATGAAGGTCACTGACTGTTCTGGTGATGTGATTACGGTGGAATAAATTAAATCTTAAAAGAGTCTAGAAAATGTAAAATGGTAAAGATAATATTTTAAAGTCCATCCCCCCTCCCAAAAAAAAATGGTTAGTCTTAGGCATGATGACCTTTAACCTTCCTTACCATTCCTTCCAGATGTGTGTGTGACATGTCCCAGGGCAGTCACTGTCTTGTGAGTCTGAACCCACCACTAACTCTTTGCCTGACCTCCCCTTACCCCCACCCCACAGAGTGGTGCCACGACAACGGTGTGAACTACAAGATCGGAGAGAAGTGGGATCACCAGAAAGAGAACGGCCAGCTGCTGAGCTGCACGTGTCTTGGAAACGGAAAAGGAGAATTCAAGTGCGAGCCTCGTACGTGGCCACAGATCATTATTAGGGTCTTGTCAGGCACTCCCCCACTCGTTACCGAGCTGCCGCTCTCATTCATGGAAAGGAGGGGAGTTGTGAGGTCTCCCTGAGGCATGGACAGTGGGCTTATTAATCTTGTGATCTGGGAAAGCAAGAGACAGGCTTCCAAAAAGAGCCACGATTTTAATGTTATCACAGGACAGGCACCTTAGCGCTTTTCCAACCTGAGCGTGTTGACCATAAACTGCAGTGAAAAGTCATCAGAAAGCCTTACGAGTCTTTACACTCAGCTTTTAAAATACGATCTCCGTCTTCTCAGTTTATTAGATCAGGTTTTTGGAAATGCTGCTCTGTGGTCCGTTCTATGACGAATTGTTCCCATGAGCCTGTGGCGCTTTGGTTGTGCTGATGCACATGTAGGCGGAGAGAGAGGCCACACACACACACACACACACACACACACACACACACCCGCACCGGGGTCCTGTCTGTCTGGTGGCTCTCAGTCTCACACACACTTCTGACTTGTGTCTCCGTGTAGATGAGGCCACGTGCTACGATGATGGGAAGACATACCACACGGGAGAGCAGTGGCAGAAGGAGTATCTCGGCGCCATTTGCTCCTGCACATGCTTCGGAGGCCAGCGGGTAAGGCTCTCTGCCACTTAGATGAGATCAGGAGAAACTGGTTCAGGGCTGAGCTGCTTTTGTGCACACTGTACGCACAGGTGTGGCAGTGCCCCCTACGAAATGTTGAAGCACCTCATTTCCTGTTGGCACAGAGCTGCCTGGGTGATACCCTTTCCAGTCCTCCCCTTTGGTGGCAGCCCCAGCCCCAGCCTCTCCCATACCCCTGTCCTCAGGCTGCTCTCTCTTTGGCACCTAACCTGTTCAAGTTGGGTAGCACTCGGCTTCCAGCTCCAATTGAAAGAACAGGTGCCCCTTTGGCATTGTCAAGTGTTGGATAACACCCCGGATCTAAGACAGTGCCCCTTCCACGCACCCTTCCTCTTGAGGAATCAGCCAACGTATATTCTACAAACGTTATAAATCCATGAAATCACCATCCAAGTGTCCTGCGTGATCGAACTGCTTATAATTTGCCAAATAAGAGCTGACATTCTTTAGTAACCCACACGCCAACCCTCTGGCGTGCTGCTCTTCTCGTAACCCCATCTGACTGCATGCCTCTGCCCCCAGGGCTGGCGCTGTGACAACTGCCGCAGGCCAGGCGCCGGTCCCGGCCCCGAAGGAGCTGCTGGTCACTCCTACAACCAGTATTCTCCGAGATACCCACCCAGCTCTGTGAGTACCTGTGCACGAACGTGTCTCCCTTAAGTGCAACTAGTCACATAGTGGGGACTCTCTTTCCATGGGTACTTTTCTTTTGAACGAACCTATTTTAAAAACAAAACAAAATAACCTTTAAATAACTTGAGTACTGCATCCTATAACTTAATTTTGGTTCTAATGATAACCTCTTGAACATAACCTTTTACCCAGTTTATTGAGTTTGTTGCTAGTTCTCTCTCTCTCTTTTTTTAAAATATATATTTTTATTGATTTTAGAGAGGAAGGGAGAGGGAGAGATAGAAATGTCAATGATGAGCGAGAATCATTGATCAGCTGCCTCCTGCACATACCCCGCTGGGGATCAAAATCATAACCCAGGCAAGAGCCCTCACTGAGAATCGAGCTATGACCTCCTGGTTCATAGGCTGATACTCACCACTGAGCCACCAGTTGGGCTATTGCTAGGTTCTTAAAGCTAGAAACATTCTATCTATTAGATAGAAGTAATCATCATGGAAGCCCACCCCCCTTCCTTTTTTTCTGTACCCTTTGCAGTATTTGCTGCTCATTTTTCTTCGTCTTCCATTTCAACAGACTGTCGACTGCCCAATTGAGTGCTTCATGCCGGTAGGTGTCCAGGCTGACAGAGAAGATTCCCGAGAGTAATGTTTCCAGCCCAGAAAACCACACGTGGATCTCTGCCGAGGCCTCTCCAAGCTGGAGCGACATTAGCAGACCCCATGCTAGAGTGTTTGTTTCTTCCTTAAGCCTTTTGCTCTGGAGAGTAACTTCTCCAGCTTCAGCTCAGCCCACAGCTTCTCCAAGCATCACCCTGGCAGTGTTTTGAGATTTTTCTGGTAAGCAGGGGCAGTTCCTTGCCTGTGCTGCTCCAGAGTGTACAACACTGCTCAGTATTTTTAACGAGATGATTCTAACGGGTGATTTGGTTTGGGTTCCGTTGGGGAACACATGCACCAACCCAGATGCAGAATGTACTGACGTGATTATTACCAAAACTTTAAGTGGGAAAGTTACCCAAACGCTTCTGCTTCCAGGTAACCGTCTGGCCCGCAATATTGTAGGAACGGCATGTCCCCGTGACATTTAAAATATCCAGTGCTCACTTTTTCCAAATGATTCTAGTAATGGCCTAGAAATATCTTTCTCTTACCTGTTATTTATCAATTTTTCCCCCCCAGTATTTTTATATGAAAAAAATTTTGCATTGAAGACACTTAGTATGCAGTTGATAAGAGGAATTTGGTTTAATAATGGTTGGTGATTATTTTTTATACTGTACATGCCAAAGCTTTACTACTGTGGAAAGACAACTGTTTTAATAAAAGATTTACATTCCACAACTTGAACGTCATGGCTCCTTTTCTATGTACAGACGTTTTGGGGGAAATCTTATGGTTGTCCTTTTTCTTCTCAGCTCAGCAACACTTCAACACTTCTGTGTTCAGCTCTCTAATTCTTGGAGATTTCAGTACAAGAGTTTCTAAAAAGCACAGATTCATTCTTATCCTTTCACCTCCTAGGCAATGGAGAGTTTTATATTTCCCACTTCACCACATTTAAGTGGATGTAACTATTCATCCAGCTTGCTAGCTAGTTCTTCAGAAGTAAGGTCAAACAACCCCTAGTTGCTCTTTTCTAATTAAAATTCTTCCCTCCCCAGAGATTACCTTCAAGGGGAATGCAAAGGTGGCAGATGCAGAAGCTGCTTGAATAGAAGAGCAGGAAGGAGTTTGTCCTAGGAAAACCCTGGGGTGTGAATTGCCTCAATCCGACCTGTCTGCATTCCTGTCAGCCCGTTTTAGGGTCCCCCAGCTGGACAGTTAGCTTAGTTTTGGTCTGCAAAAGCCAAACTTTGGGGAAACAACAGAACTCGAGATTAAACCTGGCACACTGAGACTAATAGCACTGGGAATAGTTGATTATTAATTAGTAAAAACACATAAAATAGAAGACATGGAAAATACATTTTATATGCTACTATGCAATGTAGGGAAATATTTCAATGAGTAACCTGGTAATGAATATTAGGATTCTATAGAAAGATTTCCTCAGGTTTCTTTGTTTTAAAAAGCAAATTTACATTTGAGTTGATTTCCAGTTTATAAATGCTTTGATGGTTAGCATCTCATTGGGGGTAGGCTTTATGGTCTCATTTTATAAAGACTGCTGATGTCCTAGGTGCAAGGATTCGTGCACATTGAAAGGAAGTTAATTAGAAGAAATATTTTCATATTGCTATTTGCCCTTTATAATAGGTGTCAACCAAATTCACAATAGACAATGACAAATCAAAACATGCATGTGATTGGTGGGCAAATTGTTAAAAATCGGAACTATGCCGAAACCGGTTTGGCTCAGCGGTAGAGTGTTGGTCTGCGGACTGAAAGGTCCCGGGTTCGATTCCAGTCAGGGGCATGTACGTTGGTTGCGGGCACATCCCTGGTGGGGGGCGTGCAAGAGGCAGCTGGCCAGTTTCTCTCTCATCGATGTTTCTAGCTCGCTCGCTCGCTCGCTCTCTCTCCCTTCCTCTGTAAAAAATCATTAAAATATATCTTATAAAAAAAATAAAAATCGGGACTGTCCCGCCAAAAGCGGGACGTCTGGTCCTTATTCAAGACATGAGAAGGTGGGAATCGTGTTTAAGGGAAAAGATTTTTAGCCGATCGCAGGTGTAACAGGTTATGGAAGTGCACGATTACGTCATGACGCAGGGAGACGCTGCCCTCCCACCATGCACGTGGCAATCCGGCGGGGAGAGCTGGTCTGCCTCTGGGCGCCGAGCGGTGCCCCCTTCTCTGCAGCTGCAGAGGGCACCTCCCTGAAGATGGGAAACACTTCACTCCTCACAGCGGGAAAGGTAAGTACCAGCGTTCTCCGTCCGGAGAGGGGGTCCACAGCAGACAACTCCCCCCAGGTTTGGGCCCCGGGGACCACCTGCTGTTTAGAGGCAGAAAGCCCGGCCTTTAGCTGATGAACAGAAACCGAGGAGACTGATGCCATCTAGTCAGCGCTGCTCAGTTTCTCTGGCTCATGGGATGGTTCTTAGAAGCTTCGCACAAATACCTAATGTTTTGGGATGTGCTGGGCTCCAGGAGGTCGGGATAGCCCTGTATTTCTTACACACAAATGTTTGTTATGCCTAGATCTTTTTCCTCCCCCCAATAATCAGAGAAAGTTTGGCCAGAGGTAATGGAAGTGAGCCGGCTGGGCTGCGTAGGTTCAGAAAACCAGTTACAGAGGCAGAGGGCCCTTGGAGCTCAGAAGGCAAAGGTAGCACACCTGGGGAGGAGGGGCAGCGGGAAGGCACAGCATGCCCGAATGGGGAGCACGACTCAAGAGCCTGCATCTTTAGGACAAATGACACACCACGACTGGACACCACGAATCCAAGGTTATCATTCAGATTTATTGTCTGATTTTTTCCAAAGTATTTTCAAAACTGCCCCCATGATTTTTCACCCCACATATATAAACAAACTTAAAGCACGTGTGATGAGGTTAGTGGTGAAAGAGCCGAAGACTCGTGTGAATGAGGACTATTCCCAGCTCATCGCAGGCCTCAATCACAACCTTGTCAGCAGCAGAACCGGACGGAGCGGCAATATACGCCACGCCACTCTGGGGGGGAAGGAAGGGGGAATAGTTACTGATTTTCAGAACACAATGATATGCTAAAAAGCACAAAAAAAATCAGCATTACCAAAGCGTAAGCTAAGAATGACACACTGCAGACTGATTCACTCAGACAAAAGACAGAAATAACAGGACCACAGTTATCCATACGTCACATGGAGAAGTCGGACAGTTCTCCAACTATGCTGACACAGCACACAGAATACATAACTCACAGAACATACAACCAGCGGCAGGGTTTCTGCAAGGTGACCAGTTCTCTGCACCGCACACGCATGCCACATGCCACACTTACCCTCTTAGCTCTGTCCACATTATCCCGGAAAGGAAAGAAGGCATCCGAGCTGATGCACACTTCCCTGAGCTTGCCCACCCATTCCTTCTTCTCGGCCTCGGTCAGTAAGTCAGGGGCCTCCTCAAACAGCGCCTTCCACTTTACCAGATCTTCATCCTGTGAGTGGGGGGGCGAGAGGGGGAAGGTACTGACATCCATCCTCTTTAGGACGATCTGATGCCACGATGCTGGAGAGCACTTGGGCATTTCTCCCAGCACCTCTCCATTATAAACAGGAATTTAATTAATCAATTCATTCATTAATTATAGAAATTATATTCTAGAAATAAATGCCAATACATAGTGGCATTTACATTCATGCTCATATTTCTAGAATCTCTCTCTCTCTCTCTCTTTTTTTTCCATACTTTAACATTTCATTAAGGAAGAAAATCGATTCTAAGTGTAGCAAATAAATACTATACCATTTACATTCTAATCAGTTTATCCCAAATATATTTTCTTCTTTAATAGCTGCTCAAGTTAAATCCACCACTTTATATTCCTGTATCAAAGCAAAACTAACACTACATTTACACCATTAGCCTCAAGTATATCGAGTCTTCTTGACAAATCAAAACGCAATTCATAATATTCATATTTTAAGAAAGTGCTTCCATTTTGGGTGGTTTTCTTGGGGGGGGGGGGGGGAGGAGGGGGTTAAGCCACATACTTTTAATCCTGTTCACATGTAAAGACATGTCCAGGAAATTCAGAAGGGTTTTGCCAAACAGAAAAGGACGCAATTAAAGGGCAAAGGAAAAGCTCTTCAGTGCCACTCGCTCTGCCGGATTCCTGACCCCGAATGAACACCTCCGTGTAGCACTCAGCCCTCAGAAACCACTGAGGTTCGATCACAGGACCTTTCTCTTGTTTTCCATCCAATGTGCCTTAAGCTCTTGCTAATATCCAGAAACCTGACTAACCCCTATTCTTTTGGCAGGCTACCTGATTCTTGCCATTTTTAATGTTCCTCTACACCTCCTTCAGAACAAAAGATATTAAAGAACATGAAATATAACAAAAGCATGAGTTGTTAACGGTGCTTGGAGAAAATATGGGTGGAGAAGGGAGATACTGGTTACCTGCTTTCAGGCAATTTGTATGTAATGTTGAACATACACCAAACATGTAGCGTCATGCGTGGATGCATGAAAATCAGTCCATCCTGTCAAAAACGTATCAATAGGGGTACTACAAACACACAGAGCTAAACTAATGGTTGTAATCTGAAAAGACAGAGAAAATGTGTGGTGACAGAAAGGGATGAAGAAAGGTAAGTGAGAAAGAGGACAATGAGGAATTGGTAACAAGTGTAGAGGAACCATTTTAAATAATACAGAATTTCAAAACAATAGCATTTTCTCTTTGTAGGGATGAAGATAAAAGTCACCCAGAAGATAGTGAACATGCTAACACACGCCACTCACGGCCCAACGAGAAGCCTGTACCTCGCCAATGGTCCCGGTGACATACTGGTCGATGGCGTTGGAGATTTCCGCTCTCTTCACTCCGGTTTTGAACTTCATGGAGAGCACCCGTGGGTGATGCCGAAGCCACCAGAAGTTCGCCTTGTCTCCTGCCAAGCGTGTGCAGTGGATCCGAGACTGCTGTCCCGCGCCGATGCCGATCACCTGGACAGCATGGCCATGGCAGTGAATGCCTCCCCAACCACACAGCCGTCTCAGAGATTCCCCCAAACCCAGCTACTGATTTCGTGGGAGAAAGAAGCAGGCCGAAATAAGAGACATGGCAATACGTTTGAAGTCATTAATAGGTCACCTATTAATTAATAAGTCAGAGGTTTATGACTACTATTTGTAGTTTACCTCTTCATATTCTGGAAGGTTCTACAACTCCTGGACATCAGTAGTGCAGTGGTCTTACTGGGACCTATTAGAACCTGAGGAGCCCAGTGGCCACAATCTCCCAGGTTCCTGCCACCAGAGACGAGCATCTTTTAGAAGCCTGAGGGTTTCCCAGGGCACACACTAATGAATGCCCACCCTCCCCCTCGCCTCAGGGGCCAAAGGAATGCCGAGGAAAGAGCTGAAGACGGCCAGGAGAAAAGAGACTGGCTGGTGGGGCATCACTGTTTTTCACTCCTCTTCTACCAATGGCGGGGAGGGTGAATAAGCCAGTTTTGTAGCAGCTGTTCTAGTCCCACTACTCCGAAATGTGCCAACCCTGTGGTTGGCAAACTGCGGCTCTCGAGCCACATGCAGCTCTTTGGCCCCTTGAGTGTGGCTCTTCCACAAACTACCCCGGCCTGGGCGAGTCTATTTTAAAGAAGTGGCGTTAGAAGTTTACGTTTAAAAAAATTTGGCTCTCAACAGAAATTTCAATCATTGTGCTGTTGATAGTTGGCTCTGAGGACTCATGAGTTTGCCGACCACTGTGCCAACCCATGCGAGGCTTGAACCGTCCACCAACTCAGGAAGTTCTGACAAACCCCGGAGAGAAAAATTTGGCAACATTTCCCCTTCCGGTGGGCCTAGCACCACAGGCAGGCGGACCTGAGCGTCATTTTGTAAAAGCACCGGCCCCGGGGGTGCCCCGCTGGTACCTGCCCGTTCCTGGCGTAGCACACGGAGTTGGACTGCGTGTACTTCACCGCCACGGTGGCCACGATGAGGTCCCGGAGCGCGGATTCCGGCAGCTGCACAGACACAGGGTGATGGTAAGTGGCACGGGGCCTTTTAAACTTCATTTCACTGCATGCATCTTAGTTGGCTTTTACTGTGATAGCCTTACCATGTGGTTAACTGTTCGGGCTGAGCACTAGCATGAAAAGATCAATATTGGACGTATTTGTCATGGAACTTGGCGCAGCGCCTAATGCATCACAGATTCAAACTGACACCGCTTTGCAGCAGCTTTGGCTGGCTTAAGCCTGTTTACAATGTCACACACGAGATGAAGAGATGCCATACCCACTGCAACACTAATACTGTTTCCTCTACCACAGTGCCAGCAAATTCCTGGAGGCACGATAACATTTACATTCAGAAAAAGACACTGACAATAATTGTCGGATATTACAAACCGCGGTGATGCCCACACAGCCGAGGCCGTTTGGGGAAAATCAAACTAGGATAGTGTTCTGCTTTATCTAGAATAGCCTGAGTAGAAATATTAAAAAATGCATCGCCAACTACCAGTTCCAATATAAAACAAGAATTATAGCCTCAGAGTCACTATCCTTTAATATAACGGGAAATACGAACTGAAGAGGATGATGATCTGTGTGGGAATGCTAAGTGGGCAGAGGACCTAAGCAGCAGCTAACTGATAAATTAGCTAACTGGAAAACTGATGAATCAGACTTCATCAAAATTCAGAACTTCTGCTCTGCAAAAGGCCTGCCCAGAGAGGATAAAAAGACAAGCTGCAGACTAGGAAATAATTGCAAACCGCACACCAACAAAGAACTAGTGTCTAAAACATATAAACACCTGTCAAAACTCACCCACAACAACAATCTAGTTAGAAAATGTTGACAAAAGACACAGACACATTTCACCACAAAGGATATACAGATGGCAAATAAACCCATGAAAAAAATCCCCAACATCTGATAGTAGGAAACGCTAATTATAATGAGACAATGCCACACACCTATGTTTAAAAAAAAAAGCTGGTACGAATGCAGAGAAACAGAATCACTCATACACCGCAGATGAAAAATGTAAAACTCCCCAAAAAAGCTTGTCAGTTTCTTAAAATAAACATGCAGCCCAGCTGGTGTGGTTCAGTGGTTGAATGCCAACCCAGCCTTCATCACCCGAACCCTCCCCCTCCTTGTGCCCACTGGCTGTGCTTATATGCATACACGTTCTTTGGTTGACCCCCCTCTCTCTCTTTAAAAAGGAAAGGAGAAAGATAGCTAGAAACATCAATGAGAGAGAATCATTGATCAGCTGCCTCTTGCACACCCCCTATTGGGGATTTGCCTGCAACCAAGGTACATGCCCTTGAACGGAATCGAACCTGGGACCTGTCAGTCCACAGGCCGATGCTCTATCCACTGAGCCAAACCGGTTTTGGCACGTTCTTTGGTTGATCTCTTTACCCACAACTACCTTCTTACCCCCAGGCCTTCCCTCTTGAGATTTGATGGTCTGTTAGATTTTGTTTCTGGATCAGTTTATGTTGTTCATTATTCCTCTGACTGGCTTATTTCGCTTAGCATAATGTTATTGAGGTCCATCCATGCTGATGTAAATGTTAAGTTCTTTCTTTTTTACAACAGCATACTATTTATTCCATTGTGTAGATGTACCAGTTTTTAATGCACTCATCTGCTGATGGGCACTTAGGCTGCTTCCAAATCTTAGCTATTGTAAATTGTGCTATGAACATAGGAGTGCATATATATACTTTCTGATTGGTGTTTCTGAAATCTTGGGATATAGTCCTAGAAGTGGTATTAAGGGTTAAATGGGAGTTCCATTTTTAATTTTCTGAAGAATCTCCAGACCGTTTTCCACAGTGGTTGCACCAGTCTGCATGTCTACCAACAGTGTTCAAGGGTTCCCTTTTCTCCACATCCTTGCCAGCACTTGTCCTTTGTTGAAGGTAGCCATTCTGAGTGATGTGAGGTGGTACCTCATTGTCGTTTTTTTTTGCATCTCTGGAATAATAGGTGCCTTTGAGTATATTTTCACATGCCTCTTGGCCTACTGTATGTCCACTTTCGAGAAGTGTCTACTTCAGGTACTCTACTCATTTTTTTACTAGATTATCTTTCCTTTGTAAAGTTGTATGAGTTCCCTATAAATTTTGGAGATTCAACCCTTATTAGACATCACATTGGTGAACACGTTCTCACATGCACAAGCTCTCGTTATTTTGTTGATTTTTTTTTCCTGTGCAGAAGCTTTTTATTTGATGTATTCCCATTTTTTTTTTTTCTCTCTCGTATCCATTGTCCTAGGAGATATGTTGGTGAACATACTGTTGAGTTATATCTGATATTTTGCTGCCTATGATTCTTCTAAGATTTTTATGGTTCCCCAGCCTACATTTAAATCCTTTATCCATTGAGTTTATTGTGTAAGTTGATAGTTTATTTTCATTTATTTGCATGTATCTGTTCAATTTTTGCAACATCATTTATAGAAGAGACTGACTTGACTCCATTGTATGTACTTGCCTCCTTTCTCATTGTATGTACTTGCCTCCTTTCTCAAATATCAATTGAGCATAATATCAACCCAATTGAGCTTTGGGTTGATTTCTGTGTTCTTTGCTCTGTTCCATTGGTCTATATGTCTGTTCTTGTGCCAGTACCAGGCAATTTTGAGAACAGTGGCTTTGTAATGTATTATAGCTTGGTATCTGGTATTGTGATCCCTCCAACTTTGTACTTCTTTCTCAGGATTGCTGTTTGTTCTTTGCAGACTAATCCTCTTCAAAGAACAAACAGAAAAACTAAACATAGAGCTAATAAAATAGCAAGCAAAGACAGGAAAAAATCTCAGACACAGAAGAAGGAGCGTGACCATCTATACCTTTTCCCTCAAGGCACTTTCCAAGATGCAGGCAACAAACTCAGAGGTAAATGAGCTGAGTAACCTTTGGAGTCTTACAGGACTAAAAGGCAAAAATGGAGTTCAGTGTGTATCAGAGAAGAGTGGTACTGGTGGACACCTGTGGCTTTCAGCAGAACAGGGGCGAACCATCAACAGACCAGTCCTGACAAAAACTCAAGGCCAAATTCAAATTAGCTCCATTCCTGCCAGAATAAAGATGATCTACTTCTATTTGATCTGCCTTCCAGAAGCATAAGTCTACCCTCTGAAGAAAAAAATAATGCCATCCAGAACCTCAAAATATCTCTGTAGTCTGATTATAAGCAATGACCAGCCACCAATAAAAAAATACTAGGCACAGGGGCAGACAAGACCAGAAAATAAGAGTGACACATCTGAAGTACTAAAAAACAAAAACAAAAAAAATGTACAGTCAACATTAGACCCAGCAGAAAAAAAAATCCACCAAAATGGAAGCCCAATTAAGAGAGTTAAAGCTCATCTATTTGTTTATTGTGAAACCTTGGCAAATTTCTTAACTGTCTTCAATGTCAGTTTTGACCTTTAGAATAGAGAAGATAGTAGTTCCCTCCCACCTCCATGGAGTATTGTATTCAATGATGAAATATGTAATTACAAAACAAAACAAAAACATGGTTATCATCCCAGGAATATGTCCTCCTAAAAGATGACTACAAGCATAAGAGCAAAAACGTGTCTACACAAAAACACAGATAACAGCACAAAAAATGAAATCCACCCAAGTATCCAAATAGTATGTCTATAATGAATTGCTCTATGCCTTTCAGATGGAGATGTGGATATGTTTACTGACACAGAAACACATTTGTAACTTGCGTGACCTACAGAACTACTAACATTCAGTTCAGATATTTTCATACTTACATCTTTATTCTTGGTAACAACATTGTTAAATAATGACCTGTCGATGACGCCATTATTCCTCTTCTGGCTTAAACAAAGGCCAAAGAGAGTCCGAACTTCATTTTCATCTGGATTGTAAGATTGGTCCATCTGATTATAAATATGAAGAGTTAAAAGTAATATATCTACATCCCTCAAAAACATTCATCATTTATATCCAAAGGATTTCTTTTTAAGATTACGTGTGTTGCTGAAACCGGTTTGGCTCAATGGATAGAGCGTCGGCTCGGGGACTGAAGGGTCCCGGGTTCGATTCCAGTCAAGGGCATGTACCTTGGTTGCGGGCATATCCCCAGCAGGGGGTGTGCAAGAGGCAGCTGATCGATGACTCTCTCTCATCGATGTTTCTAACTATCTCTCTCCCTTCCTCTCTGTAAAAAATCAATAAAATATATTTAACAACAACAACAACAAAAAGATTACGTGTATTTTTTATATTTTGTTGATTTCAGAGGGGAAGAAACATCAACTATGAGAATCATTGATTGGCTGCCTCCTGCATGCCTCCTACTGGAGACCAAGCCCGCAGCCCCTGACTGGAATCAAACTAGAGACCCTTTAGTCCACAGGCGGATGCTCTATCCCCTGAGCCAAACTAGCTAGGGCTGTTTTTCCCCTATTTTAGCATACATAGCATCATTTCAATACAGGTATGAAAGAAAGGCCCGGCACTAATCATTTGTGTCAAAAATTTTATAGGTTTTACAACTCTGTAGGATATTGGGAGTTTGCATGTTTTTATATAACATTAGAACCAATAGTTTCAGTGAATGCATGTTTTATTGCATTAATTAAAAGCACTGAAAGATTAACAGATGAAACAAAATATGCTAACAAATAGGCAGTGGCACAAAAATTCAATTTTCATTTTCTGAAAATCTATTATAAAATACTTAATACTTGAATTGCAAGTTAAAAAGAAGCTAAAAGGTGAAAAACAGGACTGATAGTCTGTTGTCTTTGCTAATTGAAAGGGGATATGTCATTTATTGCTCTTTCTCTCCTAAATCTTGAGCAAAAGATAAAAAAAAAAAAAAAATGCATATAATTGCTAAACATGTATTTCAGGAAAAAATCAGCAAGAAATTTTATTTAGTTGCTCTTAAACAAGGTAACCATGGCAGAGGGAAGGTTGGGAGACTTTTCTTCAAATGCCTGTGATACCTATTGAATAGAAAACTGTAAATACAGTATTTGAACCTCTCAGAAACTGATGGAGATGGAGATGATGGAGATGGAGGAGTTAGAGGAGGAGGAGGAGGAGAAAAAGGCAGGATTCAGGAGTGTCAGCAAGGACAGATTAAATGTGGGGGAAAGGATACAAAATGGAAGAGCATTGTTTCAGACATGAAATTCACTAACCTGAAGAACACAGTAGTTCCCATTTTTCTTTTTAGAAAGTATTTTCAAAGCTTCTTCTTCATATCCTGGGGCAATAATACCGTCAGATACCTATAAATAAGTATTTTCTGTTTTAAAAAATTACCAAACACCTAATCAAATAATGCTGCCGCATATTCTGGTTTCTACCTCTAAGGCAGTGCTAATCCAGCAGGCCCTCAAATAATGTCATTTTGTGGATGAGGATGAGGATGCCAGAGGAACTGGCTCTCATTTAAAGCATTAGTTGGTTTCACCATACATCATTTTGCTTAAAGTCACAGACCCTACCTACAACCTTAAGTGAGGACATACTTTCTGTACTAGATTGGGAAAGATAAGCCTATGTTAGAACACAATTTTCTACAGCTGAGCTCATCTCATCTGCTGTCTTTTCCAAGTTTTTGGTTGTCATTTGCACTTTCACCAATATAGGAATGATTTGCTCTAATACCCTTGGGAAGGAAAATTATTTCTTACTATTCTGTTCATGGGGTGGCGTTTTGCACGAGAAAGAGCATGTTCAGGCTGGAGATGACAGTGGTCATGGGAAGAATCCCTAAATATTATAAAGCCACATATCTCTTTAAGCCGGTGGTTGGTAAACTGTGGCTCTCCAGCACATGCGGCTCTTCCACAAAACACCATGTGTGGGCGCACATGTAAAACACAATGGAAAATTTGAAGTCGGTTTTCGGCCTGGACGAGTCTATTTTGAAGAAGTGGTTCTAACGTGGAGCCACAGTCAGGGGGCCAAAGAGCCGCATGTGGCTTGCGAGACGCAGTTTGCCAACCACTGCTTTAAGCCTTCACTTCTACCCCCCCTCCCCCCCTTTAAGCTATTTGAGCTATCCCCCCGCCATCTCCTCACTCCCAGCACCACCCTCACTTTTCTGAAATCCTTGTTTGGAACTTGGATTAGTTTTGTAAAGTAGTTTATAATCCTTCTCATTATACAGTCTCTTTTGTTATAGGCCCAGGGAGCTTTACAGTAAAGTCCATTATGGCATCACCATCCAAATAACAGCCTCTGCTCTTTAGAAAAAATAACTTTGGAATTAAGATAGCAACTATTAGAAAATTTAAAAGAATTAAATAAGTTAATTAAAACTTTTATCTTCACAGCCAAATATGTATTTGAAACATCAGTTCATTAAATCTATAAATTATAATTCGGTCACGATTTATGTTCTACATAACATATGATCATTCTAGCTGGGACCGTTTTGGCTCAGTGGATAGAGCGTTGGCCTACGGACTGAAAGGTCCCGGGTTCGATTCCGGTCAAGGACATGTACCTTGGTTATGGGCACATCCCCAGTAGGGGGTGTGCAAGAGGCAGCTGATCGATGATTCTCTCTCAGCGATGTTTCTAACTATCCCTCTCTCCTCCTCTCTGTGAAAAATCAATAAAATATATTAAAAAAACAAAACAAAAACATATGATCATTCTAAATGATAAATTAATTTATATATGGTATAAATATAACTATGATAGGTTACGGTTTCGGTAAACACGGAATAAAGCTTGACTCTGTCATGCATGGACCAGGATTCATGCATGCCCACTAACCTCTCTGGAGATAATTTTGGCAGTAGGGACATCACATGTATCAGACAGGGCAACAAAGTCACCAAATGAAGACATCCTATCGGCCCCTGAAAATAAAAATTAAGATAGTGTTTTGTTTTGTTTTAGTTTTGTGGCCACATGGTTTCTCGTGTGGCCCCTGACCTACGTAGTTCTAAACCAGCCATTGACACATCGACAAAGGGATGTGGCCCTGTTCCAATCAAGCCATTCACAAAAAACAGGTGGCGGGCTAGATCCTGCCCATGAACCATAGTTTATTACCCCTGGTATAGAAGGTAAACTATGACATCAGGTTTCTTGATAATCCCCCATAAATGTTATGATAACATTCACAGGTTATTAAACTCACAAATTAGATATGTATGAAACATAATTCTAACCAAATTCAGTAAAGCCGAGAATAAACCATGCAATTTTAGCCCTATATTAAGCAATTCAAATGCATTCAACAGCCTAATCTGAAATTATATGCATCAGATTCCAATTATGTTTCCATTTATTACATTAAAATGCTAACACACTTTTATAAACAAATTTATTCTGAGGCATTCATACGAACATTCAGAAGTATAAATAAAAAACAAAGATAATTTAAAATCTTATATGAAACAGATATTACTATTTTATTCTATTTCAGATAAAATATTGCTTTTTCTGTTAAAAACAAACAAACAAAGCAAAACACCACAAAACCCCGTTATTCTCCTGACCTCTTGCTCGGGCGTACGCAGTGGCTACGGGTGTGAGGGTTTTGTACATGTCGTGGACCATGCACACCTTGGCCTCATCCTCACTAAGGGGAACGCCAACGGCAGCGCCTGAGAGAGAAAACCATAAAATAAGCCAACAGCTTCATTGTCTACACAGCATAATTCCTAGCACCTGTGCCAAATTAAACAAAAATCTGCTTGGCCAGATAATCTGACATAATAAAATCCTAATACGCTAAGTGTCTGGTCGTCCAGTGATTGTTATCCAATCAAATCATAATATGCTAATGATATGCTAAGGCTGCTCAACCACTCGCTATGATGTGCACTGACTACCGGGAGGCAGATAGTCAACCAGTTGCTATGATGTGCACTGACCACCAGGGGGTAGACGCTCTGCCTGGTAGGTTAGCTTACTGTTGGGGTCTGGCAATGGGGACTGAGAGAGATGGACCAGATACACCCTGGAGCCCTCAGATGGTCCCTTCCTGGCCCCTCCCTGGCCCCATTGTGCACTGGTGGGGTCCCTTGACCTGGCTTGTGCCCTTGCAATCTGGGACCCTCAGGGGATGTTGGAGCCGGCTGCTGGATCCCACAGGCCACTCTCTCTGGGAGGGTATCAGATGAAGGGCACACGGCTGTGGCAGTGTGAGACTGACTGGCATATGCAGTGGAGCTGGGATGAGCAGGGGCTGCAGGCCCCCAGAGGGACCACACCTGTGCACATTTTCGTGCACTGGGCCTCTAGTTAAACATAAAGATTAGAGCTGCAGGGGAGGCGTCGGGGAACCTCCCTGCTCTGGCCTCTCAAAACAGAGCCCCGTGTCTGAAGCTGGCCAGCCCCAGGCATGTGTCTGAAACTAGTTCACTCCATTACTGACTCTATCCTGCTTCCTACCATGTGACATTACTGCTTCCCGGCTCCCATCACTGTAACACTGAATCAACACTGGAGGACCGATTTACGTGTTGGGCTGTCAACAGATCTGATGACGTTGACTTAAATGTAAAAAAGCAGACTCACAAGCTGGGTCTAACGTTACAGATAAAGTGTCCTGAGAATAACGTCTCTGGGCCACTCAGTTCCAGCTTCCAACATGTGGGAAGCTATTTAGTCACGCTGCATTAAGCCATTTTACTTTTTTCTTTTTTAAAAACTTCATGTTCCCACTCCCAAAACAACTAGTTCCTGATCTCCCCATCACAACATGTCTGTCTGTAAATATCTTTCTCTGTTACTTACTGTGGTACAGATATTATGATGTTGCTAGAGTGAAAGTATTAACAGGCTTGAGAAAAAATGGCTTCAGCCATCACAGAATGTCTGCATTCCCCCAGGAGCTCCCCAGGTCTCATCACAAAGAGAAGGAAGTGCGTGTGGAGCAGCTCAGGCACGCGTGCTTTACCTGCGGGGCTGACGTGCTTGAAAGAGGCGGCGGCCGGAACGCCTAAGGTCTCTTTGAGTTCCTTCACCAGCTGCCAGGCATTCAGCGCATCGCACAAGTTTATAAACCCAGGGGCTCCGTTTAGAACTGCATACAGAAAATGCACAAACGTTACCGCCTGGTCACTAGGTCAGATGTGTGTCCATTTCTTAAAGCCTGTATTAAAATGGCGCAAATACGTTTTAAGTGAAGAGGCAGACAGATCTACACAAACATATAGAAGAATTGATGAGAGGGGTTAAAACACACACACACACACACACACACACACACACACACACACACACACTCCAACTACCAAATCCAGCCAAGGTAGAAATAAACCAAGAGCAATCCAGAGCCCAGCCGGCGTGGCTCAGGGCTGAGCGTGGACTAGGAACCAGGCCACAGTGCGGTTCCTGGTCAACATGCCTCGGCTGTAGGCTCGATCCTCAGTATGGGGCATGCAGGAGGCAGCCGACCAACAACTCTCTCATTTTTTTATGTTTCTCTCTCTCTTTCTTTCTCCCCTACCCCCCACACTTCCTCTCTGAGGTCAATAAAAATAAATTTTTAAAAAACAGCAATCCAGTAGGGGAAATAGAATGATAACACTAGTGATAACCAGGGATCCATTTCAGTAAAGAGCTAAGATTAATCAAGTATGGCCATTACAGAGACAGCATAAAATTAAGTTACAAGCTTTGTTGATTTAAGACATATCACAAACCGAAGTGCCAAGAGCTGTGAAAGCAGGGAAAGTATATTTTTTTCTTCGTTTACATCCAACTCGGTAGGTCCTGCCTAAACCGGAAACAGAGTTAAAAAGAAGACTGCCATCCAGAGCTCTGCATCTTCTTAACAAAGGCAGGACTTCTTAGACGTTAATACCTCTTGTGAATAAATGTCTAAGTTCAGCACATTTTAAAAAATTGTGGGCCATTAATGAAAAACAAATTTACAAATAATTGCATTTCCTTTGTGTTATCTTAGGTACTAAATTCTTTTTAATGTAAAACTTTGCCAGATATTTACTGAGGCCTGGCCAGCATGGCTCAGTGGTTGAGCATCGACCTATGATACTCATGGTTTGATTCCCGGTCAGGACGCATGCAAATTATGGGTTTGATTCCCAGTGTGGGGCATGCAGAAAGCAGCTGATTTATAATTCTCCCTCATCACTGAGGCTTCTATCCCTCTCTCTCCCTTCCTCTTTTAAATAAATGCTTACACACACATATATATATATTACCTACTGCAATATTAGGCATTGTCCTAAGTACTTGAGATATTAGCTATGAATAAAATAGCCCCCATCTCTCCCCAAATCACTATCTTCATGGAGCTTATAGGAGAGGCATAGGAGAAACAAAATAAGCAATAAATAGTAAATAATAGAAAATATTAGGTATTTTTCTTTAAACGTTTTAAAAAACAATTTTATTGATTTCAGAGATGAAGGGAGGGATGGAGAGATTGAAAAATTAACGATGAGAAAGAATCATTGATCGGGTGTCTCCTGCATGCCCCCCAGTGCGGACATCAGGGCTGTAATCCCAGCACGTGCCCTGACCAGGACTCAGACTGTGAGCTTGGGTTCATAGGCTGATGCTCAACCACTAAGCCATGCTGGTTGGACAAAAATATTAGGTATTTGTACAAATAGGTTGAAAACATGGGCTCACAAAAACCTATACTTGAATGTTTTTAACAGCTTGTATTCAAAACTGTCAAAAATTGTCCTTTCATTTTTTATGTCCTTCAATAGGTGAATGGAAAAACCAACTATGGTACATCCATATGCAACGGAATATATTTAGTGATAAGAAATGAGCTCTCCAGTCACCAGAGGACATAGAGGAACCTTAAATGCATCCTGCTAAGTGAAAGAAGCCAGGGCGAAAGGCAGGATAGCATATGACTCCAACATTCTAACATTTTGGAAATAAAACCCTGGAGACAGTAAAAACATCTGTGGCTGCAGGCACGAGAGGAGTGGAAGTTTTAGGTGGCTCAATTATTCTGGGTGATATGATCAAGGCGACTACATGACATGCATTTACCAAAACCCACGGGATACAGATCAGAGAGCAAACCCTGACGTGAACGATGGCCTCGGCTCGCCCTCACCTGTGACGGGCAGCTTGGGCCCCCGCGTGTACAGCTGGGCGGGCGTCTGATGCGGGTTCATGCCGTAGCGCAGCGGCAGCTGGGACACCCCTTTGCTGAACTGCCTCCGGAAGAAATCCGAAATGGCTTCGTCGTACTGTGCCGTGTGCGTGAAGGCCTACAGGAGGCGGAACTCTGGTGAGCCACAAGCAGCACCTCCCAGAGGGAACAGGATGGGTTCATTCTGTTATATAGTCAACTGCACCCCAATACTAAATACACCGTGAGTGATCCCCTTTCCAATTCTCCGCGGATCTCCTAAGGGAGTATCTCTAATATGTGATCTCCTCATTGATAACCAAAGGGGAGCAGCTCGCTCCGAGCAGAGCCCGGGTGGACGGTACAAACCAGTGAGAACAGACAGGCCACCACCTAAAGCGCACCCCACCAAAGGGCACCCCACCTTCAGGGCCAGCCGGCGCCGGGTCTCCGGGGCGGTGTCCCCGCTGTCGGAGCTCTGCATCTCCGCGGCCACCGCGGCGTAGTCCTCCGGATCGCACACCACCGTCACCCGGGCGTGGTTCTTGGCTGCCGCTCTCAACAGGGTGACCCCGCCTGTCAAAACCAAACAGCATTTGTATTTGCACGTCGGTTTGACCTCTTTGCAACACAGTCCCTGTACACAGACTTCAACCCAATTCTTGTCCTCAACAAGAAGGGAAAAAGACAACCCACGTGAATCCCTACACAAAGTAGTAGCTGCACCCCGGCCAGCATGGCTCGGTGGTTGAGTGTCAACCTATGAACCGGGTCCTGGTTCGATGTGCGGTCAGGGCACACACCTTGGCTGCGGGCTTGATCCCCAGGGTGGAGCGTGCAGAAGGCAACTGATCAATGATTCTCTCTTATCATCGATGTTTCTAGCTCTCTCTCCCTCTACCTTCCTCTCTAAAATCAATAAAAGTATATTTAAAAAAAGACATAGCTCCCAGCCAGTTTGGCTTGGTGGATGGAGCAGAGGCCTGCGGACTGAAGGGTCCCAGGTTCAATTCCAGTCAGGGTACATGCTGGGCTTTCAGGCTCCATCCCCAGTGGGGGGCGTGCAGGAGGCAGCTGATCAATGATTCTCTCCTTCTCCCTTCCTTTCTGAAATCAATAAAAAGATAAAAAAAAAAAAATAAAAAAAAAGAGCTGCAAAAATATAGATGAATTAGAGTGATCCCAGAGTACAATCTGGGAGCAGTAACTATTTTCTACTCCCTCAATAGTGAATTTCAAAACAAAATCTTGTTTAAAATGTAAACAAACCTCTCCTCTTGTCAGTCTTCAAATAATGGTTTTCCCAACTCACCAATATCAATTTGCTCAACAGCCTTTTCAACAGTTACATCTGGAGAAGCCACTGTCTTCACAAAGGGATACAGATTACAAACCACAACTCTAAAGGAAGAACATACCTGTTATTAAGATTCAACTCACATGGCAGCTACATAGAAAAAATAAGTTAGTCACTATTGATGTACAACCAAAACCCAAAAAAGATCTAAAGCATAAACTGAGCCTGACAGGTTAGAATTCTAAAGTTGAAGAGTCAAAATCTCCCATGTGGCTGAGCACAGGTTAACAGAAGTAGCTTAGGAGCAGATGCTCTCAACACACATTGTTGCTGCCCATTACACTATCAAACCATCAAAAAACTTTGTTTTGTCTTCAGGGAGGTTATATACAATCAAGGTAAAAGGTGAGAGGATTAAGTATAGATTGGTAGTCATAAAATAGTCATGGGGATGTAAAAGGGAATACATCGTTAATATTCTAACAGCTATGCACGGTGTCAGATGGGTACAAGATTTACTGGAATGATCACTTAGTAAGTTATATAATGTCTACTCACTGGAGTGCACAGCTGAAACCAACAATATTGCATTAAATTTAAATTTAAAAGGAAAACAATGGAAGCCAAGAACAATCTAAAATACAGATGAGCTAAAATGAACAACTCGTGAGGCACGTCCGTTCTTGGGCTGCCCGTGAGGAGTTCTGTGGCAGGTTCCCCGGTGAAACAGCTCAACTGGAAAAACTAATAAAAAAGAGACTAAGGCCGAGACCGGTTTGGCTCAATGGAAAGAGCGTCGGCTTGGGGACTGAAGGGACCCGGGTTCGATTCCGGTCAAGGGCATGTACCTTAGTTGCGGGCATATCCCCGGTAGGGGGTGTGCAAGAGGCAGCTGATCGATGACTCTCTCTCATCGATGTTTCTAACTCTCTATCTCTCTCACTTCCACTCTGTACAAAATCAATAAAATATATTTAAAAAAAAAAAAAACAAACAAACCAAAATGCCACAAGAAAAAGGCCAGTATCTCTTACAAATACACAAAAGTCCTCAACAAAATATCAATAAACTGAATCCAGCAAAATATTAAAAGAGGTCTATACCATATCCAAGTATGGTTTAGCTTAGGAATGTACGGTTTGTTTAACATCTAAAAAATAGCTAATATAACATAAAGGACAAAAACTACCTGATCATTTAAATAGGTGCACTAATAGCATTTGTGAAAACGGAGCACTCATTCATGATAACACTCAACAAATTAAGAAGAGAACTTGCTTCACATGATAAATGGTATTTAAGAAACCCATCGCTAATTTTATACTTAAAGGTGAATGACTGAATGCTTTCCTTTAAGCTAGGAACAAGACAGGAAGGTTCACTTCTACTTAACAGTGTACCAGAAATTCCAGCCAGGCCAATTAGCAGAGAAAATGGAACAAAAGGCAAGAGGACTAACGAAAGAAGTGAAGCTATCTTAGCAGGTAACACGACCTTATAAAAAGAAAACACCAAGAAACCCACACTCAAACCATTAGCATTCATAAATGAGTTCAGCAAGGTTGCAGGATATCTGAACAATCTGAAAGTGAAATCAAGAAAACAATTCTACATATAATACTATCAAAAACAAAAAATTAAGAATACATTTAACAAAAATACAAGACGTGTGTATGAAGAACACAAAACATTATTGGAAATCTAAACAACTTTGAATTTTTACCTTATAAGATTGAAATCAAGTCTGGCCATGTCAGCATTATCTTCTGGGGTATTACGAGCCAAGATTCCTAATTTAACAAAGTTAAAACATTAATTCAAAAAACAAGGCAGAATAAGTCACTTCTTTTCAATACAGTTCCTCAATCAAGCTGAAAATTCTAATATAGCCTAGTTAAGAATAGCAAACAGAGTTAAAATAAGATTAGTGGGTATATTTAAAAATCCTTTGGCCCAGCCAGTGTTGCTGAGCACTGACCTATGAACCAGGAGGTCATGGTTTGATTCCCAGTCAGGGCACATGCCAGGGTTCTGAACTTGATTCCCCAGTAAGGAGCGTGCAGGAGGCAGCCGATCAATGATTCTCATCATTTGTTTCCCTCTCCATCTCTCTAAAGTCGATAAAAACATATTTTTTAAAAGTATTATTTTTATCAGTTTGAGTCCTCTATTCTTTTTCTAATGTTTTATTGAATGTATTGAGGTGACTGGTTAATAAAATTATATAGGTTTCAAGTGTATAATTCTATATCAATTACTTATTGTATTGTGTGTTCATCACCCCAAGTCAAATCTCCTTCCATCAGATTAATGCCCCTTTGATTTCTTTCTCTTTTCTTAATCAACAAAATGTAAAAGGAATTTCCCCATAACTGTTGCCAATCTATGTGCTCCAATAATAGGTGGCTTGTCTAATTCTTAGCCTTACAGCCTTTTCTGCTGCCATATTTTACTGTAACTGGTAAGTTAGCAACATACCATTTTTGATTGACATGCAATTCGTTGTCTCAGATGAACAAACGAACAATGTAGAGTACTTTGAAAAAGAACTCTTTGGAAGTCAGTGATATGGTCATGCTGTATGCTAAAATCTTTTCACTCATAAAATCTAAATACTTTCATCAACTCCAGCAGAAAAGACCACTAAGGTAATCCTCAGGTTAGCACGGCCAGCACAGGCAAAAGAAAACCTGAGTTCATCCCATAAAAAGCAAATGAGTTTCCAAACGTTCTAATGTATCATGAACTTTAGCAGCAAGCGCTGACGCAATCAATATAGCCTACGGGTTTTTTCCTTTTTCCTTGTTTATTCTACAAAGGAGCCAGCTAACCCTGAAGACCCGGATTATTTTAAAGGGAAAAGCCCCGCCACGTACCAGCATGGACCGCGGGGTGCAGGGTCTTCACGCGGCCCCCCAGCATCTCGGGGAAGCCCGTCAGGTCCGAGACATCCCTGCAGACAGACAAACAGAACAAACACTGCTGCTCCCGCTCACCTGGCACTCCCACCCAGCTATTCCACAGCTGCTTCCCACAGGAAGCCTACTGTCTTCCTTTTGAGATTTTTCAGCATCTAAATTTTAAAATTCAGAAATTGAAACATAAGCCATAGCGATAAAATATTTTTTAAAATGTATTTGGTTTATTTTTTTTCAGAGAGGAAAGGAGAGGGATAGTTAGAAACATCGATGAGAGAGAATCATCGACCAGCTGCCTCTTGCACACCCCCCACCGGGGATGTGCCCGCAGCCAAGGTACATGCCCTTGCCCGGAATCGAACCTGGGACCTTTCAGTCCGCAGGCCGACGCTCTATCCACTGAGCCACACCGGTTCGGGCCGATAAAATATTTTTGAAAGTAAATTTAACTGAGAATTTGGCAGTATATAACAAAAAGCATTAACAATGTCCTTGTCTCAGAAATAGACTCAAGTAAAAACAAACAAAAAAAAAATAGTTGTATGATTAAACAAGCATAAACAAACCAAATATGTGAAGAAATAAGATTGTTTAGTAAAGTGGTGTTGGTATTGGAATAACTGGTTAACATCATCCCAAAATAAATTCCCAATGAATCAAAGGTTTGAGGATTAAAAAAAAGTACCAAAATTAAATGAGAAATATATTCAAAGTAGAAGGAAAAAAATATAAAAAAAGACACGTAAAACTTTCAACAAGATTTTAAAAACCATATTAAACAAAGATTAATAGATCTGTCTACGCAAATGTTAAAAACTACAAGGAAGCAAAAAAAGTAAGCTGGAAAAATAACCGTGAAATATGAAAAATTGGGAAAAAAATTTAAATATTGATCCACATTGCCAAGCTAACATGAACCCTCTCTCTGGAAGAATTTACAAGCAAATTTAATTACATGAGAAAAAAAAAGGCCCACAATACAAGGTGGGGCAAAAATAGGTTTGTAGTTGTATCTGAAACAATAGAGTATAGAATTTCCTGAGGGCCTTTTGCAAATGATTGAATTTGCCCAAGGACTTCCGGTTCCAATATAAACAGACGAGTTGGTGACATTATGATTTCCAATTTAACCTGTTAACCGGGGAGTTCCCTTTTTAATTATGCAAGGTACAACGGGCGCATACTCCTTCACTAAAACGTCACGCCCAGTGGACGTAATTTTATATTATTATTACTTTTTATTTATACTTAATTAAAATAAATGAAATATATATTTTTCGTTTATTTATATATAAAGCACAAAGGAAAATACAAAATTACAAACAAATAGAAAATGAATACCAACAAAAAAATGGAAACATCGAATAAAAAATTATAAATTTTACAAACAAAAGATTATAAAAAATATATACCGTCCCTCTCAGGGCGCAACATATATTTCAAGGACGTATTCATACGTCCTACCCGTTCCCAATATTGTTTACGTTTGACGTACTTATAGGTCCCGCTCGGTTAACAGGTTAAAATTCCCTTTCCCAGAGCCCTGGCCCAGTAGCTCATTGGGTGGGAGCCTCTTCCAGATATGCCAAGGTTGTGGGTTCAATCCCTGGTCAGGGCACATACAAGAAAACCAGTGAATAAGTGGAACAACAAATTGATGTTTCTCTCCCTCTCACTTTCCAATCAGTAACTTAAAAAATTAAATAGGGAAACATTTTTTTTTAATTCCCTTTGTGTCCTGGCCAGTTGGGTCATCCAGTGATCGGAAAGGCTGACCATTCTTTTCCTGGTCAGGACACACGCCAGGGTTGCAGGCTCCATCCCCTGTAGGCAGGGGGCAGCCGATTGATTTTTCACTCTCTCCCTCTGAAAATCAATAAAAATGCTTTTAAAAACTTCACTTTCCCAGAATTTAAAAAAATAAAGTCCAGTGTCTCCAACCGAGGATAATTGCTAAAAGAAGAAAAAAGGCAGATCTATACTTAGTTGGTGTAGGAATTATGCGAGTTAATGTATTTAAAAGTGTGACCAATCAGTGTCACTTTAATAGGGAACATAATGACATCCCCAAATTAAAAAAAAAAAGACATCACCACAATGGGGCTAAACCAGGAATAGGTAGAGGTACAGCTAGATAAAACAAGACTAAAGAGTTGATAAATTTTTAAACTGGAGGATAGGTATGTAACACGAGGGCTCCTATTTCTCCTTTTATGTCTGAAATGTCTGCATAATACAAAGTTTGATGGACGGGGAAAGAGGATGCAGAGAGGCCTTGCTTAACTTGGAGGGTCCAACTGCAAGCAAGCCCCATGGGGACCGCGGAAAGAACAGTTCAGACTGGATTCTCGCCGCCACCTCCATGACTCTTAGGGGCTGTGGTGCCAACATCAGGGCGGCGCTGCAGCACAGACTAGGGAAGGTACAGGGAGGCACCAGTATAAGCCACAGGAACCTGGTGAATTTGGGGAAGCTGTGTACTGCGCCCTTAGGGCAGGATTACAGGATGATAAAGGTAATTCTTTACCACCCCTGGGTCTGGAGGACAAGAAGCATCATCGTCCTCGTGACCAAAAAAAAAAAAAAAGGGAAAAAAGCAGGCAGATCTCTCACTCCTCTTCTCACACATATTTCAGGGTGGGCACCGCCTTCCTCTGGATTCTCCCATCGGGGTACGAAAGCCTTTTTCACTGTCTCCATTCTCAGGGGCTGCTCCCTCTCCCACCAGAATGCACCTCCCTGAGGTCAGGACCTGCAGCCTGACTGTTGTGCTTGTGATCCCCTCTCCCCGTCCCTTCCGCGGAGCGCTGAGCGGGTGTGGAGGGAGGACCGAGTGATGGACAGGCTGTGTGACTGCATAGGGTCACCAGCGATGCTAAAGGCTGGCATCTTGATGTCCACAGTTTAGTGACGAGCCAGCCAAAACAGATTGTGCAACTGATAAAGTCTGTCTTGCAAAACAAACGGCCTAAAGGGAGTTTCCCGTCGGAGGACCCCTGGGGTTCTGACCTTCCCTCACTCTGCAAACCTGAGCGGCCCTTTCCCGCCCCCCCGGAGCCGGCCCTGCAGGCAGGAGTCGGGGAGAGCTTGCAGGGTCTTGCTCGGGGCCTGCAGGGCGTCACTCCTCCCGGGCGACCCGATCCCGACCCCACCCCTCCCGATGGGCTCACCTGACGGCCAGGCCGGCCTCCCGCAGCGCGCGGGCGGTCCCCCCGGAGGCCACCAGGCCCAGGCCCGCGGCGGCCAGGCCCGCGGCGAAGGCGGCCAGGCCGGTCTTGTCGGAGACGCTGAGCACGGCTGGAAGGGAAGGCAGGTTTCCGCCCGCTCCGGGCCCCCGGCCCTGCGGACGGGTCCGTCCGGGGAAGGGCACCCCCGATCTCCGGCCCCATCGCCCGCCGCTCCCCCCGCCCCCCCCGGCCCGGACTCGGGCCTCATTCGGACCCGGGCGGCGGGCCCCCGGCGCCCCACGGCGCGGGGAGGGCGCCCCGGGGCGGGGGGCGGGCGCCATCGCCGGGGTCGCGGGGCTCACCGAGCTGGCCGGGCGCCATGGTGCGCGGTTTGGGGTCCGGGTCCGGGTCCGGGTCCGGGTGCGGGTCCGGGGCGGCGGGCAGCGGGCACACACCACGTGCGGAGGCAGGAGGAGCGGCCCGAGCCTCTGGATCCGGAAGAGAGGGGGCGGGGCCCGCACGCGCCACGTGGGTCACCTGAGCCCGCCCCGCCCATAGCCTCGCGTCCCGCCAAGAGCCCTTCCCATTGGCCCGCCCCGCCCATTTCCCCGCCCCTCCCGTTGGCCCGCCCCGCCCTTGTCCCCGCCCCTCCCGTTGGCCCGCCTCGCCCATATCCTCGCCCCTCCCGTTGGCTCGCCCCACCCATAGTCCCGCCCATAGCCTCGCGTCCCGCCAATAGCCCCTCCCGTTGGCCCGCCCCGCCCATAGTCCCGCCCCGCCCCGCCCGTTGGCCCGCCCCGCCCACAGTCCCGCCCATCTCCCGCCCCGCCCCGCCCCTCCCGTTGGCCCGCCCTGCCCATAGTCCCGCCCACCCCCGCCCCGCCCATTGCAGGACGGGACCGCGGAGCCTGGGGCTGGCAGGGCGGGCGGGTGGGTTCCTCACCTTCCTTGTCCTCACATGGACACTAAGGTTCCCGGCCCCTCCTGCCCGCCGCCCGATCCCTCCGGCCCGGGCACCGGCAGCCCCGCCTGCCCCGCAGCCCGCCCCCAGCTGAGGGGTGAGCGCCGCCCAGGAGAAGCTCCTGCAGGTAGACTGCCTCGCGTTTTAATACGTCAAACAATACAATACAGTACAGTACAATACAGTACAATACCATACAATACAATACAGTACAATACAGTACAATACCATACAATACAGTACAATACAGTACAATACCATACAATACAGTACAATACAGTACAGTACCATACAGTACCATACAGTACCATACCGTACAATACAGTACAGTACAATACCTTACAGTACAATACAGTACAATATAGTACAGTACAGTACAATACAGTGCAATACAATACAGTACAGTACAATACAATACAGTACAATACAGTACAATACCATACAATACAATACAATACAGTACAATACAGTACAATACCATACAGTACAGTACAGTACAATACAGTACAGTGCAATACAATACAGTACAGTACAGTACAATACAGTACAATACAGTACAATACAGTACAATACAGTACAATACCATACAGTACAATACAGTACAATACAGTACAATACAGTACAATACAGTACAGTGCAATACAATACAGTACAGTACAGTACAATACAGTACAATAATAAAATAAGATAAAATAAAATAATAAAATAAGTAAAATAACAAAATAAAATAAGTAAAATATAAAATAAAATAAACGGAAGACTTAAAGAGGAAAGATTCAGGGATGGACGCCACCGTTTCCGCAGCGGAGGCAAAGCAAAGCGGCCGCTCCTCTGAGTTATCAAATAGCTTGAAACCTGCAGCTCCTTGCAAATCAGTAAATAGTATTTGAGTCACACCAGAGAGGAATAGTAAAGACTTATTTTTGGTTCATTAAAAATAGGAAAACTGTCCAGCTGTGTGGCTCAGCGGTGGAGCATCGACTTGTGAACCAAGAGGTCACTGTCGGTTCCCAGTCAGGGCGCGCGCTGGGCTTGTGGGCTCAGCGCCTAGCCGAGGGCGTGCAAGAGGCAGCCGATCAATGGTTCTCGCTCAGCATTGATGTTTCTGTCTCTCTCCCCCTCTCCCTTCCTCTCTGGAATCAATGAAAATATATATTTTTAAAAAAAAAGGAAAAAAAAAGGAAAACTGCCGAAATCGGTTTGGCTCAGTGGATAGATCATTGACCTGCGGACTGCAAGGTCCCAGGTTCGATTCCGGTCAAAGGGCATATACCTTGGCTGCGGGCACATCCCCAGTAGGGGGTGTGCAAGAGGCAGCTGGTCGATGATTCCCTCCCATCGATGTTTCTAACTTTTTATTTTTTTTAATTTTTAAAAAATATATTTTATTGATTTTATACAGAGAGGAAGGGAGAGAGATAGTCAGAAACATCGATGAGAGAGAGTCATCGATCAGCTGCCTCTTGCACACCCCCTACTGGGGATATGCCAACTACCAGGGTACATACCCTTGACCGGAATCGAACCCGGGACCTTTCAGTCCCCAAGCCGACGCTCTATCCATTGAGCCAAACCGGTCCCGGCTGTTTCTAACTTTTTATTCCTCTCTCTTCCTCTCTGTAAAAAATCAATAAAATATTAAAAAAGAAAAACAATATATTAATTTCTCTTTGAAAATAACAATTTGCATATATATATATATATATATATATATATATATATATATTACTGTCTACAGAAACTTCTAAAATTGTTCTTTATTAGAATCACACTACAAAAGCATACACTGCCTATCTTTTATTCCCCAGCTGGGGCTCCCAGCTGCAGAAAGGAGTCTGTTTTCTCATTCCTGTGAAGGAAAGGAGATCTATGGAAAGTAACCTCCCAGGGTGAGCTAATCATAAATTCCTAGCTGGGCAGATCTTGGTGGGTAGTCTGCCCCAGTCATATAAAAGATTTATCTTTGCTCTAAGCAAGCCCTTCCCATTGTTTTTATGCATCTAGGTTAACTCTCCTTTGAAATACCAGAAATAATACCCTTTGAAGTTATGAATGCTCAAGAGAGCACAAAATCTTAACTATCTTGTACTCCATCGATTTTCAACCAGCATGCCCCAAGAATTTTTAAAACAGATTGACCTCTTTTCCCTTAGATTGTCAAATTAAAAAATGACAACAGCTAACACAACAATAGCCATTAGTGTGAATGGATCAAAATTATACCTATTTTTTTTTTGAAAGATGGGCCAAAATATAATATATATATATTTTATGTGTTGCAGAATGTTAGTAATTAGTTTCTGGGTGCTATGAGATGAAAAAGGCTGGAAATCCACTGCTTTAATCCAGTCCCCTGCTTGCTTTCTCCAGTGTCTTAGGTGTCTGTCTTCCTCATGTAAAGTGCCTAAAAGAGCTGAAACCGGTTTGGGTCAGTGGACTGAAAGGTCCTGGGTTCGATTCTGGTCAAGGGCACGTACCTTGATTGCGGGCACATCCCCAGTAGGGGGTGTGCAAGAGTCAGCTAATCAATGATTCTCTCTCATCGATGTTTCTAACTCTTTTATCCCTCCCTCTTCCTCTCTGTAAAAAATCAATAAAATGTATTTTAAAGTAAATAAGTAAATAAAATAAAGTGGCTAAAAGAAGCCGCAAAACGTGTTCTGAGGAGCATTTGTGGTCTTGCTCCCTTGTATAGTTCATCAGTTTGGCTCAAGTGAACTCTCATACAAATTATCTACAAGTCTGGACATTTCTTATGTCAACAAGGTTTTTCTAGAAAATAGGTAGCAAAGAAAAAAAATAAAATAATGCTGAGATGTAATAATAAGAGAAAAATAAACGGTATCTAGACACTCAGCATCTGTCCTGCATGCGAATTTCAGCTTTTCAAAATTTTTCTTTTAATCCTCACCTGAGGGTATTTCTTCATTGATTTTTTAGAAACTGTGGAAGAGAGCGGGAAAGAGAGAAATAGCGATGTGAGAGAAATACATTGGTTGCCTCCTGCAGGCCCATGTCCCAGGCCAGGCAGGGGAGGAGCTTATAACCGAGGTACGTGCCCTTGATTGGAATTGAAACCGAGACTCTTTGTTCTGCAGGCTGATGCTCTACCCTCTGAGCCAAGCTGGTTAGGGCTGACCATTTTTAAATTTAGAAATAAAAGTTGTGTATATACATAGATTTAGAAGTGTTTGACTTAGTATCTGGAAAAAAAAAAAAAATATATATATATATATATATATATATATATATATATATATATATATATATAGTTGATTTTTACAGAGAGAAAGGGAGAGGGATAGAAAGTTAGAAACATTGATGAGAAAGGAACATGAATCAGCTGCCTCCGGCACCCCCCACCTCCCACTGGGGATGTGTCTGCAACCAAGGTACATGCCCTTGACTGAAATGAACCCGAGACCCTTGAGTCCTCAGGCCGATGCTCTATCCATTGAGCCAAACCGGTTTTGGCTGGAAAAGTAAATTTTCATATAATAGGATTTTCATAAAAATTTTATCTGAATTAATTTTTTAAAATATATTTTATTGATTTTTTACAGAGAGGAAGGGAGAGAGATAGAGAGCTACAAATGTCGATGAAAGAGAAACATTGGCCAGCCTCTTGCACACCCCCTACCAGGGATGTGCCCCCAACCAAGGTACATGCCCCTGACCGGAATCGAACCCGGGACCTTTCAGTCCGCAGACTGACGCTCTACCACTGAGCCAAACCCATTTCGTCTTATCTGAATTAATTTTTATGTGAAATAGGAATTTTTGGGGTAAAATAGGCAGGTTTAGGGAATTTTAAAAAATTAAAGAGGTCCACGGAAAAAGCACAGGCTACAGAGCTGCAAAGAAAATTATACTTTCCTAAGATGGGATTTGGGGGAGGCAGAAGTTACATTTCCATAAGACTAGGGAACTGGGAGTAGTCAAAGGTCTGTATTTACAAAATAAAGGAGAGCCTCACTTGTCCCCTGTGAAGTTTGACCTTTGAGCTCAGGAGTTGCTATAGCGACCAAATCAAAGGGGATTAGTAGCCAATCAAAGGGAATGTTGAGGCACAAACTGTGCAGCCTTTCTAAACCAGGGAAAAAGGAACTTGGTGGGACTCTTTCCCCCTTCCGCTGTGGGAGTCTGTACTTGTCTATAATAATAAAAGCCTAATATGCTAATTAGACCTCACGTCCTTCCAGAAGCTGGGACTGTGAGGGAAGCCTGGGTCCTGGGTGCCTGCCAGCAGCTGGAGGGAAGGTCGGGTTCAGGGGCCAGAAGGAAGCCGGTGCTGGCAGCCAGGGGAAGGCCTACTCTTGCACAAATTTCATGCATCAGGCCTCTAGTTCTTCAATAAATTTCCACTTTGCTATACCATCTTCCATCTGTGGTTTCTTTTTTTTTTTTTAATTGAATATAT